TTACCCGCGCACTTACGTTACCCGTTTCATGCAGACATGCCAGGAACAAACAACAACATCAACCGCGAAAGATGAGATGAGATGCTGAATTCTATTTTTCTTTCGTTCTGCTAGTGGACTGAAGAGACACATGGTTCGGTCTCTTTGTCTGCACTTTAGTGGGAAACACTGACAGGAAGCATGGAGAAAGAAATCATCGCGAACGCGGAAACCCCCTCTTCTCTACCCTCAATCATGCATTTGTGCGGACCAAATCAACGGCGACAAAGGCAAAGACGAAGAAAAACGAGATATCATGCCATGACAGCATGCAACTTGTCCCAAAGAGACAAAGAGGGAAGACGCTTAGGACACACACAAAAGGACCCTCATGCATGCATGCTTTGCTACACGCCCTTTCGTTCCGTCGTCATTTTCTTTTTTTTTGTCTGCTCCCACATGAAAATAATGCACGTGCGAAAAGTACCCACTCTCGCCCGTATTCACTTCCCTCTCCGCCTGTGCAAACAAAGCATGTGGAACTCATGGACCAAGCAGGCAAACAAACCTTCTTCCCAGTGTTGCATGTCGCATGTTGTCGGATTTGCTGGCCCATGCTCACTTTCATTTTCACACACGCGTTCGGAGCACACACTTCTTCATATGTAAACGCGCCTATATTTATTAAATCAAAGCATATCCAAATCACCGACTTCTAGGCACGAGAGATCGCCGTCCTCATCGTCGTCTTGCTGAAACACTCCCGCCTTCCGATCGGTCGTTGATTCGCGTGTCATGCCGAGAGAGCCAACCATCCCGGAACCCACTAATTGCGACCATCCACCAACATCTAGATCCTCTATCCGTTGAGATTCATACGCGGCAGAAAACCGTTTCTGTCCATCCTGTGACCCATCAGTATGCTGTGACTGAAGGCCTTCATTGAACTTGGGCTGCGTCGATCGCTCAACCGAGTTTTCAAACAAGGCGGATTTCGGAGCTTCGTTGACCTCCTCTTCCTCTTCACCCATCTCCCATACAACCTCCTCTTCGTCTTCAGTAGGTCCCTCAGTTGAATGCATGGGCTCATCCTTGACAGGCTTCCGTCCCAGTTGCTGCTCCTCTTCAACCAAAGAGCGTTTCGACGAGAGATCAACTCTGGGAGTATCAGTCTGCCGAGGCACATTTTCCTGCGATGAATGACGACTCGGCTCTTGCTGCGCGGGAATAAAGTCCAACCGACGAGAGTTTGCATATCGAGCCCTTGCAATCGCGCTAGCAGTGTTGCTGTGCGGTGCGACACGCGCGAAGTCCCTCCTGGTTCCTGGGCTGGACGAGTCAGTTACGTGCCCCAGTGCAGCTTCCGTAGAATCAATAGCCTGACCCATTACCTCAGAATGACTATAAGCGTTAGAGAAATTGACTACTTCACCATAATACTTTCGCGCAGAACTGCTGTTCGAACGGCTGGCATAGTGCGTTCGACTCTCCGGGACAATTTCGGACGCGTCATCACTCTCTTCATCGTTCTCCTCGTCTGCTTCGTAGAGCATGTATGTTCGACGAGCTGCAGGCTGAACAGCAGGTTCCGAAGCTGACTCGCTGTCATGGTCGTGCGCAGCATAGTCGGGCTCGTCATAATCATAATCCGAGGCATCTTTGTCTGTATGACCATCCTCATGGTCATCTTCATCCTCGGATTCAAGTAGATGCGGCGGCTCGATGTCGACTTGCCGTACGAGCGGTTTAAGAGCTCTCAGTCGCGGCATAAATTGATCGCCGCTCATGAAGCCGTCTGCAAATTCTGCAGATCAAATATAAGTCATACCAATAATTAGCATTTGGGCTGCATTTTCTGCGATGGCTTTAAACAGCCTTGCAAACGTTGACATACTGCTGCAATGGTCTTTGATAATGGGGCCCCAAATGCTGTTTGAACTCAGCAACCGGGAGTTTCCGACGATAAAGAGATGGCTAAATATGATAAAAAAGCAAGAAGTTACTAAATGGGCACTTTCAAGGGAACTCATGGGAATCATCATATTCCATATCGACGACTAACCGTTTGCTACGCGTCAGCGCAACATTAACACGCTGGCGGTTGTCGATGAATCCGATCGAATCTGTTCTCACTGTTGATACAATGATAACATCCTTTTCAGATCCTTGAAATGCGTCAACAGTCGAGATCTGGACGCCGCCTTTCATTCCAGAGCCTTTCAGCTGTTCGCCCAACTCTGCCTGAATGGCGTCTGCCTGAGATTTGTCTACACATATCGAAAAATATCAATACATTTCTTTGACATACTCGCTACAGCGCCTATGGCAATCAAGTTTTGTTACTTACACAGCGAGATAACGCCAATATCGCTCTCCGGGATATTTAGGTCCAGAAGCTTCTTAATAACTGTGACGACCAGCTTGATCTCTGCTGCATTGGTATACGACTTCGTCCGCGTATTCAGGATCTCTTGACCAGCATTATCTACAAATGTCAGCGTAGGGAGGCCCTCTATCAAAGGTGCACGCTCATCAGGATTTGGCCCAGTCCGCAAAACATTGGAGTAGAACAACGCGTTACTGATCTCTGCTATTCGATGATGACAACGATACTGAGTTCGAAGCATGACCGGCTAAATATTTGGAGAATAGTCATTAGTCAGCGAGGATTCGATGCAAGCAACCAGTTCTACCAACATCTCGACAGATTCAGTGCCGGTACCTTTAGGCCCATCTATCAATAATCATGAAACCGAAGCATGAAAAGTTTAGAATTAAGCAGAAGTAAAGCTATCAGAAGTGCATCGGCATCTCCTATAGTAGATTGCAGGGCTGTACCTCCACAGACCGGTCAAAAAGGGTTCGCGAAAGACCCTTGCCAGCATTGCATTTGTCTTCGCTGGTGCTTATTGGCGGCGAAAGCTGGAGCGGATCGCCCACCATAATTAACTTCTCAGCAGCAGCTCGGCATATGGGTATCAACGACATTGCTTCTAGCAATTGACTAGAAGTACAGAGTCAGGGACTGATCCCTTGAACGAAACCTGTCTTTCACGCAATTCCTCGCTCGTTTGGCATACCTCGCTTCATCCAGGATCACGATCGGAAATGATATATTATCCAAAACTTCGAATGTTGAAGCAATGCAGGTCGCTCCTAAAGTGTAAAGCAGTGTCAGAGATCCTATCATTTCGACCATATTCGAGCAAGCATAGTAAACAGTTTCGAAGGACCATTTACCGACAACATTGGCGCCCTCGACAATACCACGGTTTTCCTGCTTCTGAAACTTCCTCATTGCCTCCCTGACATACTGACGCTCTTTAATAGACAAGCTGTCGTCGTCAAGAATCGACTGAAGCTCTTTGATTTCTACAAATGACACAAAAAGGATATGTAAGAAATGCAGTTAATGGTATAGTCGTATAGTAAACATTCCAATGTCATCGTGGACATTATTCGGGAACATACCTTCAGCTTGTCGATTACTTGTGGATTGTGCAGTGTACGGAAGCACTCTTCTTGCGACCTTTTTTAGGCTGCCGACGCGTACAAACTTATCATAGTTCAGGTCAAGCAGAGCCTAAAATGCACATAAACGTTAGTTATGCTGTTTCAAATGACAACCCATTCTTGTTATAGCAATCGCACAATAGAAGGTACCGTCAAAATCCTATCCACTGCCACGTTCTATACCGCAAAGAAATATGACGTTTAACACCTGTGCTTTCTATCCTCAGATCGGTTATCAAGCTGAAAATTGGCTGCTACGTACTGTCATGGATGCGACCAAGAATCGACAAGATCTCTCTTCCCTTGGAAGAGGACGAGCTTTGTTGATGATATTATCGATAAAGACAATCAACACCGCAATAAGGAAACTATTAGTGCAAGGGGGATAAAGCTGTAAGACGAGAGTTCATGCATCACGAACAGCGCCTCAGAACGCGATGCTCCCTGCTTGCCTTTTTCCAGCACCGAAAACACCTAATAGTCAACAAACAGAATACAAATCAGGATTACACGGAAAAGTATCCCCGAACTGTACAGGCAATGGAGACACTGTATACATACCATGGACCAGAAGAACTGACGATGAATCTGAAGACTTTTGCACCCAACCAGGAGCCCGGATCACAGCCTGCGCAAAATTTCGAAGGACAGTAGCCTGTTCCTCATTCAATCGATACTGAGCAATAGCCTCACGGATCTCCAATTCCACTTCAATGCCGTCCTCATCTGTCAATACAATGCATCCCGATTTCTCGGGAATACGTGAAGGCGCTTTGAAAATTGATGCCTTGGACGCCTTAACGAGCTCTGGAGGCACATAGTTCAACAGGGCCGGAAGTAAAGGCGTGCGGGTCAAATTTTCTGACAAGTTATCTATGTCAAACGTAAACGCGGTGGTTTAGTATTGCTTCAGAAGAGTATGCGCGAAGAGATACTAGATACCTACCTAGCATCATAAACTCGGACATGGCGTTGAAAAGCCGTATAGCGCACACTTGGTTTCCATTCGCGAGTATGTTCCTGGCCGCATTCGAATCTTTTTGGGACAGGCAAAGCAACTAATACATGTAACATTGAGTAATCGATATAGATTATTGGATTGATAGTGGACCAGTGGCTTCGGAAGGAATTCTTACCTCGACATCACTCCCAGATGGCCCATAGAATATCGAGCGTGCAAAAAAAGTCGATGCTGTGTCGAACCGAAGCGTGGTGGAGACCACCCACAAGTCGTCTTTGGAGTATCTATTACACGAAAATAAGCCCAGAAAATGTTTGAATAGATTTCATTACTGTATTTGACGATAAACTAACAACATGCTCAGCGTACTTTGAGTGATGCTCTTTGTTGGTAACAGATAAAGTAGCCCCCTGTTGTGTTGCGGGCTGGACGAGCGCAACGCTTGCTCCCGGAGGATCTGCTCCCTTGAACGATCTTTCACTGTACACAGGAAATCCAGGATAGGCATCGCCTCGTCTCCGCAGTGTCGACCCAGAGTGCATATGTATTCCGCGGCTCCTGTACTGTGCATCCAATGACTCTCCTTCGCTCATGTTGGCATTCGTCTTCATGCTCCACATAGCAATAGCGCTCTCGATCACCACAAGCTGTAGATGCTCGTATATCAGAAAAGACATGCCATCCTTGTACTGGTTGGTGGACATAAATCGAGCTCCAAGCGCCAGTGAACGACGAAGTAATTGATTTGAGTTTTTCCCAGTAAAATTGGTGCAGCGAGCGGCATTTGGAAACTCGAGCTGTGTGCTAGGTGGCCGATGTGGTGATCCCATAGTTAGTTGGATAGACGAGCTTATGGCATTCGGAACTCTCGATAGTCCCACTTTCCGCCTTTTCGGAGCAGGCCTCGCTGTAGTCGTAGCGGTTGCTAGTGTTGCTGTTGTATTCGTAGTCGTAATTCTCGCACTAGATACTGCTTTCGAAAGAGCATTATCCGTTTCAGTTACTGTATGTCTCAACTCCTCCTCCTCATCCATAGTGCTGGGAAATGCTTCCTGAATCTCTTGATAGTCGATTGACTCCCAATCCCCGCCACTTGATGACCAAGATGAGGCTGTCGGAGGTGCTGTATTTGTAAATGGTGACCGCCATTTCTTTCGCTTCGTTTCTTGTGGTATAGTGACCAAAGAAACACTTTCCCCGTCGTTTCCTTGCTGCAACGTGGTCTGATTGACCAACTCAGATGAAGAAGATGCCGAACCATTGGCCGGATGTTTGGCGTTATTCGAAGGCGAGGACAATGCAGTGGATCTCATGGTCGATACTGCTGACGAAGTCGCCATGATGGAAGTCTTTGTTGCTACTGATCTATGTAGCGGCGCTGGAGTCCTACGCACGAGCGTTGCTGGAGCTGGAGTTGGAGTTGAGTGCGATATCTGCCGCTGATCTCCAGAATTAGTGGCGTAGGCTACTGTCAAGTCCTCCACAGTTACTAGATGCTTGTCCATATCCATATCATCGCCAACAGCAATTGCGACTCCGCGGCGGAATGTGCTGTCATTTGAGAGTGCGACCTGCGGGTTAGAGTCAAGTGTTCCAGGCTACATTGCTATCCAATGGACCCATCGATCACGCATACCCCCATGTACCTGTCAAGGACGCCGAACTTGGTGTCATACAGAACCACCTGTGTAAAAGAGCTTGATTACTAAGCTTTCAGAGCTTTCAATGCGATAGTTCAATTCCCTGGATACAATTGCCTCCAATTTACCTTGGAATTGTTGTGGAAGTGTCGAAGGTGGCCTAGTGAGATTCATTCCGTGATTCGACTGATTAGTCCTTTGATCCATTTGAGCAGAAGCTGGTGGAGCACATCGAAACTGTGCGCTGTATCGCCTCATATGTCTTCTGATCTCGTTTATATCCATGTACCATCGTGCCAAGTCTTGGCTTTTTTCAACTTCTGACTCGTGTAGAGGCAGGTAAATTCCGAGTATGGGTTCATGCTGCTGCTTGGCTGACGGTGAGAAGCAATTACCGACATCAGAACTTCGTTGTGTGTCTGTGCGACAGGGCAACGCGTTCGAATTGTTATGATTGGCTCCTTTTGCATTTCTAATCTGTTCAGGACTGCGACATTTGTTCGATCGTTTGCTGGGCGAAGACATAAGGGGGTCAGCTCCTCCCTACCTCTCATTCCTCAACCTCTCATTCATCCTTCCTCCTTCTTCGCCCCAACACATCTATCTACTCTTTCGTCCATTAAACCTACCATAATACACTAATATCCAATCTCAAGATGGCATCAATACAATATACCTATAAAGGAGCAAAATACGACCTGACTATCTCCGCATCGACTACCATTCCCGAGTTTCTGGCGGCAATTTCGGAGCAAACTCATGTGGCCGTATCAGGCCTCAAGGTCATGCACAAGGGCAAGGTCGTCAAGTCTAGCGAAGCCAATGATGCTCAGCCTCTCCTGAAGAGACATCCTGACCTGGCAACTGGAGCCAAGATCTTTGTACTTGGCACGACAGCAGAAGACATCGCTAAGGTTCATTCAATTGACCAGCATATCACTACAAGGAAGAGCTATCGTTCGCCGCCTGCAGCAAAGGTACGAACGAGAGAAGGATTATGTCATTTCAGGATGAAATGTTTACTATGAACCAAACGCTAACATTTTTTTATTTGTGTTCATTGCTATCGTAGCGGGCGAAACCAGTGAGGAATCTTGACGATGACAAGTACACATTTGGAGACATTCAAGTACTACCGCAATTCAGCCAGCAGGACAAAGCCAGGGCAGTGCTGGAGCGACTGAAAAGGGACAAGGGTATCATTGGAATCATGAAGCTACACAAATGGCAGGTCGGATCTCTGATTGAATTGTCACCAGCGGAGAAAACAATTCTTGGGTATAATCGAAACAAGGGAGAGCTGATTGCGTTAAGGCTGCGGACTGACGACCTGGAGGGGTTTCGACATTATGACGCTGTGCGAAAGGTGTTGCTGCACGAGCTTGCACATAATGTAAGTCTCGGAATCCTTCTCGGGGGTGACAGCAACGTGTGGGGATGAGATCGTCCTGGAAGGAAGATGTGCTGACCGTCTACGATTCTGCTTTTCATTACTCCAATACAGGTGTGGTCCGAGCACGACGACAATTTTCACTCACTGAATCGGCAGCTAAATAAGGAGGTGCAGCAGCTGGATTGGACGGCACAAGGAGGAAACAGTGTTTCTAAAGATGTCTTTTTCAACCCATCAAATGGCCTGCAAGGATATCTTGATGATCTCGAGGACTCTGCTGTAGACCAGTCGTGGCAAGGTGGAACCTTTATCCTCGGTGGGGGCAGCAGTCGACGTGACCAGAATTTGACACTGAGTCCGCGGGAACTCGCAGCAAGGGCTGCACAACTGCGGCAGATAGAATCTGAAAAAGACGAAGACGGCATGTGTGGGGCGGCTAAGTAGAGCAGCACCCAAAGCAGTAAAAAAGTATGATTGTTATACTCAGGCGCGTCCAAGTTCGAGTGTGGACACAAATCACGTTTTGTTTGTTTCTTTGGAAACAAAAAAGAAGCCGATGGTGGCAAGTTTTTTTTGTCTCTTGTCTCAGCGCGTTGCTATCCTTTCTCCGTACTCTATCTATAAACCCTTCATACAGCCAGCATGGACCAATACGTCGACAGCCTACAGCAGACCATGCAGCAGGTCCTGTTCTCTAACGACAACAACCTGATCAAGGAGGTAGCCAAATAACGGTTGTTGGAATCTCGCATGCGGTCGAATCAGAACAACGGTGATGCTGTTCCTGAGGAAACTGATCATTCAACATGCCTTTTGGAAATGAATGCCCACCACATAGGCGACCAAGGCTCTGAACACCCAATACTTTACCGACGCCAACTGCGTCCCTGCCCTCGTTCATATTGTCGAAGTTTCGCCACAAAAGGAGGTATGCTGCCCTGCGAGCACTGAGAGGCATGAGCTCGTTACGAATCATTCTCAGGCGCGAATTTTCGCGCTAGATTTTTCTCCCTACGGATGTGTGGACGCTTTTTTTTTGTGCTCTCATACTTACAACTGCATCAATACCTTAGATTCGTCAACTTGCCGCGGTGGAACTTCGGAAGCAGGTCGGAAACTGGTGGTCAAAGCTGGATGATGACACCAGAATCGCAGTCAAGGCACAGCTTTTGAACATAATTGTCAAAGAGCAAGAGTATGTTTCACCAAAGTGTAATCGTATGGTTGATATAGGTGCGCTTATACACGTCTATGTTCTGATCAGACATTTGAAAATGATATAGTCCGTATCCTCGCCACTCCACAGCTCGAGTTATCGCTACCATCGGAAGAGTTGAGATCCCAATCAACACCTGGCCAGAGCTCATCACCTTTTTATTCCAGTGCTGCTCGAGTGCTACTGCAGGACATCGCGAGGTCGGGGTCTATGTCATCTACGCCATCTTTGAAGTGACGGATGCCTTTTCCGACAACTTGGGACAGCTTTTGGAGTTATTCAGTCGTACGATCGTCGACCCAGAATCGCAGGTTGTCCGCACCACGACCGTCCAGGCTCTGGGCAAGATGGCCGACTTTATCGAGGATGATCAAAAGAACGAAATCGCAATGTTCACCGACCTTGTCCCTCAGATGGTCCATGTTCTGAAACAGTGCCTTGATAACAACGACGAAGAGTCCGCCGCCAAATGCTTCGACGTCTTCGACACCCTTTTGCTGCTCGAGATCCCTGTTCTTTCCAAGCATGTCCAGAGCCTAATCGAGTTCTTCCTAAGTGTTGGCGCCAACAAGTCGTACGAGTCCATCATGCGTGTCCAGGGGCTTTCCTTCCTCATGTGGGCAATCGTTTATAAGAAGACCAAGATCCAGCGTCTCAAGTTGGTTGGCCCCATGATCCAGGCACTGATGCCCATCGCTGCTGAGGAGGAGCCTGAAGATACAGACGAAGACTCCCCTGCGCGCCTTGCCTTCAAAGTTATCAATACTCTCGGTACAAACCTCCCTCCTCAGCAGGTGTTTCCCATCGCATCTGAGGGCATACTTACCTACATGCAGAACCCAGATCCTCTGTATCGAAAGGCCGCCATGGTCACATTAGCTGTCTTGATTGAAGGCTCCGTCGATTACATCCGCCCCAAGTTCAACGACCTTTTGCGGATTGTCTGCACTGGCCTCCAGGACCCCCAACCCGCTGTCCGTCGTGCTGCCTGTATGGCTTTGAGCTCCCTCGCAGAGGAATTCGACCAAGAGATTGCAGAAAACCATGCCACGCTGCTGCCATTGGTCTTCAATCTGATGAATGAGCCCACGCTTGAGATCACCAAGCAGGCATGTAACGCCTTGGATGCCATCCTCGAGGGGTTAGGAGACAGCATTCTCCAGTACCTTCCAGAACTGATGCAAAAGCTCCTGCACATGCTGGACAATGCTCAGGGCGAGACTCGCGCCATTGTTGTCGCTGCCATTGGCAGTGCAGCACACGCTTCTGGCGAGGCGTTCACCCATTACTTTACTGAGGTTATCAAGCGCTTGAGGCACTTAATGACTCTTCGCTCGAACGAGGACGAACTCATGTTGCGTGCCGTATCGACTGATGCTCTCGGTGCTATCGCAGAAGCTGTTGGCAAGGAAGCGTTCAGAGTAAGCCTCATTCCTTTCTTTCAAGCTATAGCTGTACGTCCATGAATGCAATACTAACATTACGTCTACTTCAATGCTACAGCCGTACCTGAACGATCTCATGAACTTGGCCATGGAGGGTTTGAACCTGGATAACTCTCGCCTTCGCGAATGTGGCTATTACTTCTTTGCAGGAATCGCCCAAGTGTTTGAGGACGAATTCTCTCCCTATCTGGGTGCTATCGTCCCACAGCTTATCCGCTCCTGTCAACTGGATGAGAACAATACTCGCGTGGAGAACGAGACCGAGGATCTAGACGACGTGGATGCAGATGAAACTGAGGAGGATCTCAACTATGTTTTCAAGTCTGCGATCGCTGACGAAAAGGAAGTTGCTGCGGATACCATTGGCGAGCTCTTCCAGCACACTCGCTCTGCTTTCTTGCCCTATGTGGAGTCGACTGTCAAGGAGTTAGTCGAGCTGTCTGCACATATGGCAGATGGAGTGCGCAAGGCGTCGTGTGCCGCATTATTCAACTTTTTGCGCACGTTCTATAAGATGTCTAACCCAGAAGAGTGGAGGGCTGGTCTTCCTGTTGCGGTTCCCCTCAACAACAATGTGGTGCAGTTGAACTCTTTGGTATTGCCTGCAATTCTTAATATGTGGACAGACGAAGATGAAAAGTAAGTGTGTTTTCTCACATCTGCTGTGTGTTATGAACTATACAAATGAGATATTTCTTGCGCTCCAGTATTAATAGTTCATTGGCGGGTTTCCTCATAGGATGGTTGTTGTCCAAATCTGTCAGGAGATGGTCGAGACTGTCAGACTTTGCGGCCCCGGAATTGTTGCCGAAAGTAAGTATTATATGCCTTCGAGGATGGCGCTTTGTCATACTCGGTCTCTTTGGCAACAACATCTCATCACTTTTCATCATTTTCTATTGTGTAGAGATCGATGCGATCGCCGAACATTTGAACCTGATCTTCGAAAAGAAGGCCTATTGTCAGCAGGAGCTCGCTGACGACGAAGGATTGTTAGATGAGGATGAGCAGGCAGAATTTGATGCCCTGCTGATCTCTGCTGCGTCTGATTTAGTCGGTGCCTTGGCTGCCGTCCTGGGCTCCAGCTTTATCCCATATGCCAAGGTCTTCATCCCCCACATCGCCAAGTACTACAAAAAGTCGAAGCCAAGCACTGAGCGCTCGATGTCGATCGGCTGCTTGGGTGAGATTGCCAATGGTATGGGCAATGGCATTACCGAGTTCTCGGAGCAGCTCTTCCCTTTATTTGTGAAGAGCCTCAGCGATGAGGAGGAAGAAGTCCGCAGTAATGCGGCCTTTGCGATCGGCGCTCTTTGCCAAAACACCACCGTCGACATGTCTTCGTACGTATCTTCTCATATTAGGAAGCGTTTGGTGTTCCTGTGTTAGATACTGATTGGTAGCTGGCTTTATTTGCTTTTTAATATCAATCTAGGCAATATCCTGGTCTCTTGACGGCGTTGTACCCGTTGTTCCAAGGCCAATCTCTGCCAAATGTCACGGACAATGCCTGCGGCGCCGTTGCTCGAATGATCATGAAGCACCCGGATGCAGTTCCTTTGGATCAGGTCCTGCCTGTTTTTGTGCAGGCGCTGCCCTTGAAGTGCGACTTTGAGGAGAATGAGCCCGTGTACAAGCTGCTGTTTTCATTGATCCGCAGCCAGAACGCGTGGGTTGGCAACCACATGGCTCGGTTGTTGGCGATCTTTACCGAGGTCCTATCAAAGGAGGACGAGCTTAAGCCGCATACGCGTCAAGAGATGATTGAGACCATCAAGGGTTTGAACCAGCAGTTCCCCGCACTGAATATTGCGGCTTCGCCCCTGGGCCACTACCTTTCGTAGACGTGACAACGTTTACCATACGTTCTATGAATACAATATCAACAACAGCAACGGACACAACCACAAATTCAGCACAAAGAAGAACCATTCACATTCATACATATATCCTCAATAAAAGCATGCCTTTTCAAATTTATTGTTATGGATAATAGTCGTAATAATAAAACTTGAAAAGGGGAATGACGACTTGAGGGTTTAAATGCTGCTTGGAATGCATGCCTGGCCATGACCATGGCCATGGCCGTCCGGCATGTCACGCGTCACAAGCCCATAGAAGAGTACAAATGAATGGCTCTTTTTCTCCTCCTCTTTTTCTTTCCTTCTTTTCTCTCTTTTCACTTGACTCTCTAAATACTAGACACGCAGGATTTAAGGAATACCAAAACATAGTCCCTACACTGTGCATATCGAACCTCCAAGGAGTTCAATTTCAGGATCGACCAAATACAACAGCCGGACAGCCCAGGGAGCAGGAATAAAGAGCGATGATGAGCGAAGAAGGCCGGGCTATGGTCGGGCTGCTGCTACGACCAACTGAAACCTGTCAATTCATATCAACTCTTGTGTCTGTCTCCGACATTTTCTGTGCTTTCTGCGTTTTCTACTCTGCTGTGTATTTTTTTTTTTTTTGCATTGCATATTTTGTTGCATACATCAACTGCAGATCCTGCAGGAATAGCTTTCACTGGCCCATGCTATATTATCCTTAACTCTGTGTATCATGCCTCAAACATGTTTTATGTCTTCTTTGCAATATCCTCTTTTCTATCCATTACTCTGCTCAGGTGTTGTGCGTAGGCGAGAACGGAAACCTCGAGAACAGGATTCTGGCCATTATTGTCAACACACAAGCCGGAGTAGAGGAGTCATGGTATGATCGCAATTGGGGCAATAAAGGAGGAGAGTGGGACAGGAGACCGCGTGAGTATGTTGAGCCCAATGACGTTCGATCGCAGTAGCTAACCTACTTCTTCGGATGACCATCTTTTCAGCATCTTTATCATCAAAAGGACTGGCCAGATGGCGGGCGTGCTGCAGACAGTGCTGCCGGTCTACTTCGATTTCCGGATCTCTGTTGGTAATAACACTATGTCAGTTCTATGGGAAGAGCGATTTGCTTGAAAGTGCATAGGCTTACCGTGGCCCTTTCCGATGCATTACATAGCCCAAACAAAACCGGTAGACAAGGACGACAAGCAGTCTATTCAAGAATCTAAGAACGGTAACTATAAGAATCAAACTATACAAAGCCGTGAACTTCGACATGGCAATGTTGACTCTATCCTGTCCGGCGCAGTAAAACCAATGCTATACTCTTTGTAGATTTCACGCTCAAGCTGTTCTGTGACCAAACTGAAGTCAGTGTGCAAACAGACGACCTGGAAACACTTCAGGGGCTGCTCAGGGAACTCAGGAGGAGCCATCTTATTGCACGTATGTACTTCCTCTTTCTTTTTTTCTTTCTTTCTTTTCTCTCTCTCTCTCTCTCTCTCTCTCTCTCTCTCTCTCTCTCGAAAAGGCTGGATTCGTGGAGATATTTACATTATAAAATCTCCCCCTAAGTTTTCTAACCCCGTATTTCTTGTCAAATAACAGAGGACGACAACTTCTACGCTGGTGGAAGCAGCCATCGTTGGATTCAGTACTACACAACAACTGAGGACGACCAAAAGGATGCTGAACAGACATCAGGGTCGATCTTGACGATGGACGAATTTATTGCGTCGACCAAGAACCCCTTGGCCAAATATTTCCTTCAATCGGAGGAAAATCAGCCAAGCCTGCCATCTGCAGGGCCTAGACTGGATCTGGGGACGGTCAAGGAAAATTGGGTCGAAAAGGAGATGCGCGCTAGGGAAAACGATTTCACTGAATATGGCTTCATGCAGTATGTGCTGGATTTCGCTTCTATTGTATACGATGTGGCATGTTGATCAGGAAGCGATTGCAAGGTTCTGACACTTGTCTTCTTCATCCTTTTCCCCACGTTAATCATAGTGCGTTCGTGGGCACATGGAATGTTAATGGCAGAAACGCTCCAGAGAAGCTGGATTCTTGGCTAAAAGTCGAGGGTGAAGTCCAACCCGATATATACGTGCTCTGGTAAGAAAGGTTTCTTTTGGATTATTTTTGTCCGCAGAATGGAGTTGCCAGGTAATTAACATTCTGATTGTTCGTGTTTATATCAGCTTTCAGGAGCTTGATTTGAGTGCTGAGGCGTACATTGTACTGGATGGATCGAAGGAGGAAGAGTGGACTAGGGCCATTGCCGAGAGCCTCGGAAGCGGCTATCAAAAGGTATTAGAAAGAGAATTATGTGACCTTCAATTGGAGTTAATTATCTTGTTTTATTAATGCCTCTACATTGTTGACTCTAAATAGGTCATGTCGAAGCAGCTGATTGGACTTTTGATTGTCATGTATGTGGCGAAGGACCATGCAAAGTACATCAGGGAGGTTACCGCTCACTCTGCGGGTGTCGGCATCATGGGCATGCTCGTAAGGCTTTTTAAATACTTGAAAACAAATGATATTCTGCGCAAATCCACAAGGGCCAGTTTAGTAATTTCCAAACTACATACATTCTCACATCTTAGGGAAACAAAGGCGGTGTGTCGATACGTATTCGATACAAGGACTCGTACTTCTGTTTTGTCGACTCTCACCTCGCAGCAGACACCAACCAGATCGACCGAAGGAACCAGGATTACCAGGAGATCTGTCGTAGGCTCACTTTCCCCTCGGCGAGCCCATACGACATTACGAAGAGCCCGGCAGGAAATGCCGCCCTTGGTGTTGCCAACAAAATGGTCTCAGTTTTCGACTGCGAGTAAGGATCTTACTGTTATCATAATGCATGACGTCCTTGAAATATCTCAACGAGGATATAATAATGGTCTAATGGTTTTTATTTTCATTTCTTTTGTCCAGCCATACCATCTGGGCAGGAGATTTGAACTATCGCCTTGGGCTCCCCGAAGACCAAGTCAAGAACCACTTAAAGACTAACGACTATGAGGCGCTCATGAAACACGATCAGTTGACGGCGCAGAGGTCACTGCTAAAGGCGTTTTCGGATTTCGAGGAACATCCCATCTACTTTCACCCAACCTACAAGTACGATGTCGGCACCAGCACATGGGATTCCAGGTAAAGTGGAGCTAGCGATGATGGCCTAGTGTAGTGTACGAAAGTTCATATGAGATACTGACGTGGTATATGTGGTCGTTTTCTGCAATAGCGAGAAGCGTCGTGTACCCGCATATACGGATCGCATTCTATGGCGCACCAAGGATTCGGCAAAAGACAGTGCCGAGGCGTTGTTTTACAGGTCCCATATGGATATGACAATCAGCGACCACAAACCTGTCAGCGCATACTTCAAGCTCAAGGTATGCTGAGGATATTTGATCTTTTTTTGAGACCCAGCCGCTGCCACGGTGCATCTTGACGCTTATGTTTTATTTTGCCCTTACTTTTACGCTAATCTTATAGGTCAAGACGCTCCTGCATGCCAAGCAGGCAGAGGTGCATCAAGCGATCGTCAGGGAACTGGACAAGTACGAGAATGAGTGTATGCCCGACGCCACGATCTCTTCGTCCAACATTGTTTTTGAGGAAGTTCGATATCTCGAACCTAAGAAGACATCGATCGTGATTAAGAACACAGGACAGTTCCCGGCACAGTACCGATTCAAGCCCAAGCTGCAGGATGAGCGATTCTGTAAACCGTGGACATGGGCGAACCCGCCTGTCGGGATGATTATGCCTGGTAAGGAACGACGACATGGTTTATATAAACGCAGTATTGAAGAAAGTGGTACTTATGTCATGTCCTTTATTTCTTTTATGTAAATGCTTGACTAGGCGAGAGCGCGAAGTTGCATATCACGGTGATGGTGGATAACGAATCGGCGCCACTGCTCAACACTGGCAAGGAAAAGATGGACGATATTCTGATTCTGCATCTGGAGCATGGCAAAGACTACTTCATCTCTGTCTCGGGATCGTATGTTCGCACCTGCTTTGGCAACTCTTTAGAATGGCTCTCGCGACTGGACCGACCTATTCGACTCTGGAATCCAGAGGAGGATGAGGATGAGGATGAGGACGACACGGCAACGCTGTATGATCCGTATAGCGTCCTTGGAACAAAATCGTCGATGGGCAGCATCAAGGACTCGGCAGCCATGTCTGCCAATAGTGGATCAGCCAAGCAGGTCAAGAACGCAAAGTCGCTGGATTCCTTGTCTGATAAGAATTCGATCGGACGCAAGAATAATATTGAGACGGTGTTGGCGAACACTCAAATTTCGGATGAGAAGGCTTCAGTGCCAGTGAAGAAGCAGAAGCCGGCAAGACAGTTGAGTTTGCCAAAGGATCTGTGGCGGATCGTTGATTTCATCTACAAGTACGGGTTCTCTGTGGTAAGTGTAGCACTAATATACCCTTGGTGAACAGAGTCCTTTATGTCTTGCTGTCCTGCGGAATATCTGATCCTTCCTTTTTCTTTTGGTCGACAGGATAATCTGTTCTTGCTTTCGGGAGATCAGTCGACAATGTCGTATATCCGTGAATGTTTGGACACGGGCGAAGAATTCGACTTGAGGCGACTTTTGGGCAAACCCGCTCAACAGGATACCGAGGCCGGAGCTGCAGAAATCAAATCTGATAACGCCGCTACATCTAAACAGCTGCCACAACAGAACACGCCTAAGGACAAGGCGAAACTATCTAACAAAGACGGCAAGGACACAGACACGCAAAACGAAAAGGACGCTACACATCCTGTTGTTTCATCGTCATTGACTTTACCCCCTCGAGGATCTCCGTCAGACCTCAAACCCCAGATCGCGCGTCCAGTTTCGATTATGAACGGCATCCCACCCAAGGCTGCGACATTCGGATTGGGTGAAAATCGCGGGGTCCATTCCATGGCTGAAGTTCTCTTAAGGTTCCTGGAATCTCTCCGCGAACCCGTAGTTCCGACAGAGATGTACTACCGAGCTCTTGAGGTTGCAGGGCACCAGCAGGCCGCATATGGACTCTTGGATCTCATGCCCCCGGTGCATGTGAACGTGTTTGTGTATATCACCAGCTTTTTGAGGGAACTGATCTTGGTTGGTGGAAATCATTTAGGTGGTTCTCAGGATGCTGATGATGGCGCCAAGGAGGGTACTTCTGTCATAGCAGGCAGCAATAACACCGGCAGCAACAATGTTAGTATTGGCTCGGGTGCAAACAGCAGCAATAACAGGGTGTTGCAGAGCAATTCAGGATCGATCTATAACGGGGCCGAGCCTCCGAGCGGCGGAGTCCGTGCAAAGAGAGATGACGAGGATTTTAGGGTTGCCAAGCTAGGTAAGGGCCTTGGTTCCTAGACTGCAAAATGGGTAGGAGGGAAAGTTCTCCGTTACATCAAAGATGAATTGGACTAATATTCTTTCTATGTATATTTGGTTGCATGCCATAGCTTCAGTATTCTCCTCGGTGATGCTCCGCCCTCCACCTGGTGCAGAACGTCTGTCGGAGATCGAGGCCCTGAAGCGAAAGACGTTTTTGATGCAGTTCCTCCAAGAGCCCGCGGAAGAAGAAGGGTTGGGAGGACCTGGAGGACTGGGTGGACCGCCACCTCCGAGTTCTGCAGCAACAGCAACAGCAGTTCTTCCGCCCGCTTTATCGATGCCAGGCTCTTTTGCAGTCAATGCTTCAGTAACAGGTCCGACACATGCCGCACAGTCTGAGAACACAGAGGAGGATTCATGATCCGAGGCCAAGCTTGTGCAAACATAGAGAAAGCCAGGGATTTTACACAGAACATTACAATAAAAAAATGAAGGCTATGATCATAGCAGGCGTTTGGTTTTTATTCTTATTTTTTGGTGTCGATATTACTGCGAAGAGGGGAGGGATACAAGTAAATAAAAAGTGTTGGTACAAAGGTCATGTAAAAATGCACCTATACGGGTTCATCATGGATGGGGTATGTAAGAGTACCAAAAGTACTGGATCGTGTCCGCGTTTCTATATTTTTGTTTGTCGTTTTGTAGGCAGGGTATTTCGTACAGTGCGTCTTGGTAGTCGTCTTCAGCTCCTTCCTCTCGAGTAACTCTGGAACAAGATCGGCTTGGTCTCGTACCGGGCCACGACCCTCTGCTCCGTCGGATGGATCAACTCAAACTTGAATACATATCCTGGATCACGCAGATTCGTCAGTGCAAGCGACTTGCGCTCCTTGCTAGAGGACGACGCAGAAGTCGATGTCGACGTCGATGTTCCCGCAACTTGCTCCTCCGCTTGTCGATGTTTCATACCCCCGGTTCGCTTGGCCCGTTCTCGCTGGAGCAAATGATGCAGACTTGAGCAGTTGACCTTCGCCTTAACCTCGCATACCCCGTCGCGCAGCTGAACAACTCCCGAGTTGTTCGTATTGGGACTACTGTTGCTACTGCTGCCGCTGCTGGTATCGCTGATTTGAGACGCAGCAGCTCCTTGTGCAGCCACTGGCATTGAAGGTCGGGAGGTCATTGAAGATGTACCGCCAGGGATATAGAACTGCAAGATCGGATAGACTGAAGGATCGACAGTCGACCGCCTCGATGGGGATAACTTCTTTTGCTCATGCAAGAACCTAGAACATGGCTGACACGAGCCCACCAATGGAACACCGTCGCCATGGCTGTGTTGTGCTTCTGAAGATGATGAAACATTGTCGATATTTTCCGTAGGAACGCTCACGCTCAACTGGCCGAGCTCGATGGTCGTTTTCAGGACATAGGTCATCTCTGTCAGTATCGAAGCCGGTTTTCCACTCGTACGTTTGACCATCTCATGAGGGAATCGGATACCAAGGTAGTCTATTGGCATGGCCAGATACCCTGGTCCGGACGACGTCCACAGTCGGACCTCAATCGCAAATGAATCGCCTGTCCTGAACAACTCTGGAGGTGTGGATGAATTTGACGGCAGTCTTGCGGATGATGGTGCTGGTGTTGTCGGGGTCAGCTTCTTGAAAACCGCCTCCATCTGTACACCTTCCGACGGCAACGTTGTTAGATGCAGCCGATTCAACCGCTCTTGGACTTCAGAGTAAATGCCGCTATGATAACCAGACTCGGGGTTGACATTCGTGTACAGTTCTGCGCCGTGCTCAGCTGTGTCTGCCTTGACAACCTCGGTATTGACCGTGATCAAGCCGTCCGTTCCAACAATCTGCAATGGTGGCAAATCCTGCTGATCTAGCGGCGGCATTTCATGATGAACACGGATACTCTGGATATTGTCAGCTAACTTCGCCATCATATCGTATCCATTCAAAGTCAATGGTTCCGATGTGGATTCGACTCGAATTCTTGGAATGCCGCCCATGGTGGGAGACATAGACGTGGCTGTAACGAGTCCTAAGCTGGGGTTGCTATCGCTGTCATATGAGCTACTCGAACCCTCGCCCTCCTCTTTTTCCACTCCATCCATCTCTGACTCATCGTCGACTGTATCCAGAGCAACCCCTGATGGAGCAGGAGCGGCATTGGAGAAACGAGCGCAGCTGACAGACAGAAAGCGACACATGGCCAGGGTCGGCTCCACTCTACGTGGCAGATGTGCATAAAACTCCTGAGGGCTGCTTGCGCCTGATGACGATGCTCCAGCTACGATTGTTCGACAAAGAAACATGTCATTAGGTACAACGCAGTACGTCAACAATTTCACATATCTATCAGCAATAAAGTCCTCCGTACTAAGTCCACTTACCAATGATAAGAAGCCTGGCCATGGTCTCATTGCGTTTGAGGACTGCATACATCAGTGGTGTCATCGCATACATGTCCTGTGTCTCGATGTCGCAGCCCTCTTCGATAAGCCTAGTGGTCAGACGGTCGAATCCCAAGAGGATGCTGAGGTGCAGCATATTGCTTCCGTCTTCCAGCTGCAACGAGATATCCATCTTCCGCGGTACGTGATCCAGTGTCTCCAGGATTCCCTCTTCCACTTGGTTCAATGACAGCATGGGCGTGTCTGTATCCAACGTGGGTCCCCCCTCCATGTTGTCCATCATCAAGACGCTTCCTGACCGTGGTGACGTGGCGAGGCCGGGGATGTTCCTCAGGATGTCCGTAGCGTTTCCTCTTTGGCCTGTCGCCTGAGCGTGCATGTATTCCAGTGCCCGATGAGCGAGACGAAGCTGAAGCTGAAGAATCAGCACTTCCGTCTCATTGTCATCCGTATACGTAAACTGGCCCAGATCTGCGAACGTGTTTCCTACATTGTCGTAGATGGAAATCGGCACGGTCCCTGGCAAGGGGCTCTCCGGTGTCTTGCAGACGATCATGTTGGCCGTCTCGACGATAATGTCATGTGCAGGAAAGCACCCGAAATAAGGCACCATTCCCTCGCGAAAGAACGTTCCCCTAAGAATCACATCCGTCTTCTTTCTGATCGGTCCGTGGTTAGGTCGAACTTCTGTGACTCTGGGATACTGAGATTGTTGCTGGTGCATCATCTCGGAAGATGCCTGCCCGATCGCCATGAAGGGTTGAGCACTATTGTTACCGCCTACACTGGAATCTCCGCTGTTGGACCGATCACCATATGATCCCATCAAGGGCGCTTGGGATAAGTCGTTTGGCAAGAAGGCCATTGCAGACGGGAAATCTCCATTATTGGCGGCCAGTGGTCCTGCGCTCATGAATTCCCTCGGTTGATCTCTATTGCCGCCCGGGAGAGGTAAGGTGATGTTGGGTGCACTGTTCTGTCGTTTGACGGTTTTCGTCTTTGGTGTAGGTCCTGCTTTAGTGACTTTGGTTGGTCGCAGATGTGGGTAGACACGCTTAGCCTTGTGGTGGCCCGAGCACATGATTGGGTGGGTATAGCAGGTCGAGATAGTTTCGCCATCATCTTCGGGAGCAACAGCCTCTGGAGCCGGGGCAGATGCTGGTATGCTGTTGGTGCGCTTTAGTCTGAACTCAAAGATGTACCGGTCCTTGTTGCCTCGCTCGCCGTGGTCGGTGGAGGAGCAGAGGACTTTGGCCAGCATGGTGATTGAGCCGGTGGTGGTGTCAATGTGCGCATAAGTTGCTGGATCGGTTACCGAGGGTGACAGCTGATCGAGCAGGACGAGAATAGGCGATGAGGGTCCATACTTTTTACGAGAGGGGGCGAGGGAGGATTGGAAGGATGAAGGAGCAATTGAACAGATCAGGAATGTTTTGTTAAGGATCAATATTTAACTCATTTGGGTTACACGACGCAGCTATGCAGCGCCAAATTAAAAATTAAGGCAGAGGACATGACGACAGTCTCTGAAATGAAAAGCCAATATTCCGTCGTCTTTACCTTGTGGCAGCACTTGGCACAGGCGCCCTTACGGATCTGCCCACTCTTGGCCAGATGCACAGCAATCTCGAGTGTCAATGGCTCGGCCTCGGCCTTGGGCTCACCTGCCGTGTTGATCGCCTCACGGCGACCAACTCTCAAGGACGGGAATCGGGTGGAAGTGTGCTCGAGTCTGTTTCTGGAGAGATGCAGCTTGATCAGGAACTGCTGGCCAGTTCGGACCTCGTCAACAATCGGTGTCGGGATGGCCACGCCGGTGGACGAAATTTCTTCGAGCTGATCCTTCTTCTGGATGATTCTTGCTTCGAGGGAGTAAGATGACATCGAATCGGTCTTAAAAAAAAAAAGGCGCACAAGCACACAGCCGGCACAAAGAGAATGCAGAGATGACGAAGAATGTTTTGTTCACACTTTAGTCACGTTTACTCGGATGAAGATAAGCAGGAAAGAGGTAAGGGAAGTGGGAGAAGAGTGGGCAAGAAGACGAGGAGACAGGCGGATGGGATCCGATCGCCAAGGTCTAGACTCTCCAGCTCTCAATCCAAGTATCCATTCCATTCCGCCAAAGCAACTTACACCAAACGACGAAAGTATGTGCCATTTAATGTACGAACAATTAGCAAAATCGCAGAATCGCAGAAAAAATAAAATAAAAAATATTACAATTGCACAGCTGGGGTCAATAACTAAGAGAGAGAATTCAGGGCTGAATTGACATGCAGGGAGGTAGAGCAAGGGACGCGAACGAGGATTTTTTTTTTCCTACTGTTATACGTGTTTCTGTATAATAATGCGAACCTACAAAAAAAACCAAAAACCAAAAAACAACAAACAACAAAAAACCTACCTCGTCTACGGTGCTGGGAATCCTGGTATGCATATCACTCCCTACACTCGAATAGGAAAGCCGACGAATCACTTCATCGGCTATAGATGCATAGGCAAGGTGGGGCAGGGTAGAGTGGGGCGGGCGAGTTGGTGAGTATACGATCAACCGATGGGTTATTTGTTGTCGGGAAAAAAAAAAAAAAAAGAGACGCAAGAGAAATGTGCGAGAGCGCGAGTTTGGAGTTTTATTAGCTCAAGTTGCCATGTCCTTTTTTTCGTTATTATTTTTTTTTTGTCGCGAAAATGATGTCTATTGCCCTGTGACAAGTCCCAGGTATGTAAGTGCAGATATGTTTCGCATCCACACAAATTCCCGAAGAACCTTTTTTTTTTTTTTTTCGCCATACGCGATACATCTGTTTATAGAAATATATCGCACTATGACGGTCGAAAAGGAAGGATAGACAATGCGCAATGCACAATGTCGCAAGTCCACGTTTCGCGATTCGCGAAATTCATAGTTTGTTCGCAACTTGCCTGTTTCTGACGGACTCGTACCTGCGCCTGGAACTGCCAGAGTGCGATGGCTGAGAAGATCATCTGCCTTTGTCCACGAGATATAGCCGGGATCGCCATCACCCATGCTGCCGTCCGCCACATTGTCAGCGGCGCTGCTGCTGCTGGGATAAGACGACATATCGGCCATATTACTGTGGGGGTCGTTGCTGTCGAGCACGAATGGGGAGGATTGCACTGCAGCGGAACCTTGGGTTGGTGGCGATGGTTGTGACTGTGCTGTATCTGATCGAATAGATGGAGAGAAGGACGTTTGTGTTTGTTGCTGTGCATGCACCTGTGCTACTGGGGTTTGTTGCGGTGGTTGTGAGAAGAGGGAAGAAGAAGAAGAAGGCGAATCACTCAATCCATTCAATTGCGGTTGTTGCTGTTGCTGAAAGAGCTGAAAGCGATCTGGGATTTGATCTGGGTTGGGTAAAGAATTGTGTCGAACGGGCTGTGAATGAAACTGCTGTTGCTGTTGATGGAGGGGGTTTGAGGAGGATGAGAATGGGTGGTGAGGGTGCAGAGGAAGAGGAGGCATGGCCAGGATACCCATTGGTGAAGCTGGTCCTGTGAGAGAAAGTGGGGTGGAAGACAAGAAAGATGAGGAAGCGATGGAAGATGTAGAAGGAAGAAAGTGCTGCTGTTGCTGCTGTTGCTGTTGCTGTTGCTGTTGTTGCTGTTGTTGCTGTTGTTGCTGTTGAACCAGTTCCTGGTGAGAGAATTGAAGAGGATGCAAAGGATGTGAAGAATGGGCGGAGGATACCGAGTGTGAAGAAAGATATTGTTGCTGTTGCTGTTGCTGTTGCTGTTGCTGTTGATACGAGGATGAGCCAGGAGGAAGCAATGAAGATGAAGATGAAGAAAGCGAGGGAGGAGGATGTTGACCAGAGAGGAGCTGTGAGGGAGAGGATAAAGAAGATGGCCCAGAGAAGGAGTGGTGTCTGAGAGGTGCAAATTGCCGTCGCTGTTCAAATGGCCGACTCTGTTCCAACAGCCAGTGTCTGCGCTGCTGTAACTGGAGCTGTTCGATGTGGACCTGTGCCTGGTGCTGCTGGCGCTGCAGTGCGATCTGTCGCTCGTGGTGCTGGCTGATGCTGTACTGGTTGTGCTGGTTGTGCTGGTTGTGGACCTCTTGCGATGGTGGCGGTGGCTGTGGGGGTTGCTGATTCGTGGGATGCGGAGGGTAATACGGGAGTTCGTGCGGATATTTATCTAGATCATGCTGTGGTGCTTGCTGCTGGACCTGACCTTGTCCTTCCTTGTGCTCTTGTAGACCCTGCAAGATAAAGGTCTGCTGCTGTTGATGCTGCTGTTGCTGATGTTGATACAGATGCTGTTGCGACACGAATGGATCAACAGAGCGTGAATGCGATAATGGGGCAGAGTACCCAGAAGGGATCGATGCTGTGGCTGCAGGCGCGATAGATAGATTACCCCCTCTAATGTTACTCTGAGTATTGGACGGCTCAGAACTAGGCGAAGACGCAGTTGAGGCCGTGTTCGAGGACAGTGCCGTGACCACGAATTCTGATCCCGAAAAGGATCGCTGCTGGCGACTCATCCTTTTTTGCGATGATGGAGGAGGGCAAGGGGAATCAGGCTGATTCGCAGAAAAAAAAAGAGATCACGGTGCCTTCTGTCGGCACTGTCGCAAGATGTACGCTGCAAGGGCGACAGGAACAAGGGCAATCGGGGCTCTTTTTCTCGCAAACGCTCTCTGGCGATATGGGCCCTTATTGTATTACTTTTATTGAAAAGAAGTGGAAGAGCGGATAAAAAGAAACCGGTTGCTGGTGCGCTTTTGTATCGTTCGGGTTGGTGCGGCGGGTGTGGATGTTAATAAAAGTGTATTGTAGTTGCCGAAAACTCGGGTTCGAAGATGTTGTCCCAAAGAAGCAGTACCGCAGAAGTCAAGTCGAGCAGGGAAAAGAGGAATGTTGCGGTGTAGTTCTTACGGTGGATATGCGAGGCGTGGGTGCGTGGGTGCGTGAGTGCGTGTGCGAATGTGTGGGTTAGTGTGGCAGAAAGAGGGAAAGAGAGGAAGGAGAGGCGAATGCGCATCTTCGGGTATTGGCCTTCCCTTCTCTCGCGGAGGTGACAGCATTGACTAGATCCACATCGGGAAACCTTATTTTCTGTTACATGAATTAGATGGGAGCGAGTTTGTGTCTTTTACGGGAATCCACAGGAACAGACAGGGAGCAAGAACAGGACACATCGATCTCGCTGCCGGACACATACGCGCCAAGCATACCGCATTATCCTTTTTGCGCATCGCTCATTTGTGCTCCTTTGAATTGTTTCGCCAAAGTCTTGAACAGCACACCCAAAACAAGGCACTCATTGAGATGATAGTTTATTTGATAATATGTTACATAGTGTGCTGTATGCAATGGTCACGCTAACTAAGCTTCGCAATCAACTCCTCTGAGAAGAGGATTAGATCCTCGTTCTCTTTGTTCTTGATCTCGAGTGCCTGCTCAAGCGTGCGCATCTGCATCTCCTGTCGACCCAGCTGAGCTTTCAGCATCGCAATCTCGCTGTCGTACACTATCCGTGCCTGCTCCATCTCTTGACTTGCTTGCAGCAGCTTTGCATCCGCATGGCTCTTCAGGCTTTCATATCGACTGTCACTCGTCTCAAAGTCCTGCTTCAGAGTTTCAATAGCCCTCCTCAATATCATTTCATTCTATGCACACAATGTATGGTAATAAAAAATAATGTTCGTCAATGACTAAAGGGGTCGCAAATGCATATCGTAAATAAAAGATAAAGGGCCGATATGATCGTTACCTCGACATGCTTGAAATTGAGGTCCTTCAGCTCATCGTATCGCGTTTTGAGAAGCACAAACGCCTCTTCGGTCTCCTCTTTAGTCACTGTCAACTTTGCATTTTGCTCCTTGATCATCTGGATTTCTGTTGCCGTGCTCACTAAATGTCGATAGGAGACAAATCGCAGTTGAGTATGCATGCTTTTTTTTTTTTTTGTGGTTCTCGAGCTCTGATCAAGCCCTTGTTCGTCTAACTGATTTAATAGTTTACCTGCAATATCCGCGAGGCTCGACTCAAATTCGTCCAGGACGCTCTTCAGCTGCTCCTTTTCCCGCTTTTCCTTCTCCAGTGCCGTCTTGAGCTCCTCAATCTCGAACTGGTAGATGGCCGCTTCTTGCTCAGCCTAAAAACCACAATAGTTAATAGCAAGTGAATAAGTACCATTGCAAACCTACACCATGCATATACACCAATTGACTGCACCGATATATTTCCTTTCAATGCCAGCGCCATTGACTTACAGATCTCTCATATTCCTCTCGAATTTCATTTGTGATCTCGATACGGAGATCCATCCTGACGTTCTTTTTCATATCCTGCGGTCGATAAAGTAATGACATACGTTAGTGGAGTAGAATGAAGACACACGTGGGCATGCATCATTTGGTAATAAATGTTGGTGCTGTGTTTTGTCCTGTGATTTCAGGGTTACCTCCATCTCTCGAATGCTGTATCTAGGCGCATCTAAATTGGTAGAGTCGCGAATCCTGGAGGACAACATGATACCGCTGGGCCGACGAACAAGACCCGAGTCCTTTTTCTCAGCACTTGCAGTTCCCATTGTCGATTCACCGGCATTCGTCTCTGTCGATTCTGACTCTTCATGCATGGTCTCCACGACTTTGACCTCGTCCATAGGCGCAAAGGAAACAGAAGGCGTGGTCGATCCAGTTTCTGCAGAGTCGTGCGATGAAGACCCTGCTGATGAGGGCGCAGCCATGGTGCTTTCCTTCTCCGGTGTTCCCGGAAACCCCTGACCGGATTCAGCCTTCGACTTTGTCCGCCCTCTCGCTTTAGACATAAGATCGTCGAGCAGTGTTGAACGCTTTTCCAGTAACGTCGAGCGTTTTACTGCATTTGGCGAGGAGACGAGAAGTGAGGCAGAAGCGGCCTCCGGTGATGATCCTGCCGGAGTATATGAAGATGTCAGGACATTGACATCCCCAGGAGTTGAAGCTAAAAGCGATGTTCCATGCGGCATAGGGATTGCCGCTGTAGTTGATGACATCGCACCTCCGAAAGATGAAACAGGCAGCTGTCCTGAACTGACAGGCGGAGTGATATCTAGTCGGGATATTTCTGCGCTGCTTGACATCCATTCGGCAAAAGACTTTTCGTGCGTCTCACGGAAGTCTATAGATTCGTGAAGGCGTAATTCCTCATTTGTGATTCCATTGAGTCCTGATTGATTGAATTGTATATCGTCTGGGTCCTCGAAATCAGAGTAGTGGCTGCCCGTATCCTCCTTGTCATTCAAGATGCCGTTCTTCTTAGACCCAGTCTCGTCATTGACATTGACGTTCTGCACTACAATATCCACCTCGACATGCTCAATGTCTGTAGCGTCCTGCTTGACAAACTCGGGTCGATCCCCGTTGAGATTGTCGGGATCTGCAAGATTACCCATCGATTGCGGAGAAGCCGATCCAGACTGTGATGAAGTTAGACGGGAGACTGCACTGGTACCCTCGTCGGCCTTGACAGCCGAGTCTTGCGATTTTGGCGGCGAGCTATTGAGTTGATCTGTTGACTGTGAACCAAGAGTTGACGATGCTGCATCTTGGGCAGTATCGTGTTCCAAATGAATCCCTCCGTCCAGACCCTGACCGTCGTTCAAAACCTGATCCAGTGAGAGTTGCGCGCCCGCGCTTGTAAGGGCCCCCACCACCATACCAGCGTGTTGCCGTGGCGACATTCTGGTAACCGCCCGCGCTAACGGGCTTGAAGGTGTTCGTGTGCCCGTTCGTGAGGTCCTGAATTTTGGATTCAGCTCCTTATCCGACAGAGCATCATCCGTCATGTCCATGAAAGACTCGTCACCACCACCACCACCACCTTCCATTTGCCTTTGCCGTCTACTCCTAAATGCTGGCGATTGTCCGCGCGAGGCGCCCTTGATGGATCCAAAGGGCGATGAATGCTGCATAAGATTGCTTAGATATGCATCCGTGTCAGGATCGATCGAACTCATACTGGGACTAAAAGGATCCTCGATCTCTCCTTCAAGAATCCTTAGGTGTTCCGGATCCGAGACCACGAACGAGACGTGTCCAGAATGGCTGAGTTCATCTTCATGCATGTCCTCCTTGTCAACCATGGCGTTGAACGACACAAGGCTGTCTGAAGAGAGTTGTCGGGAGTGATATCTGTTATTGGAGACACGGGAACTGGGTCGTGACGTGGGACGAGACGTTGGGCGTGAAGTCGGTCGAGATGAAGAGGGTGTTGAGTAGACAGCAAGGTCGTTACCCAGGCCTATAGAGTTAGAGCTGACGTTGACTGGACTACTCGCACGTGAAGGCGAGTTGTTTATTGCTTCCAGATGAGAGCTGCCTGCCCCGGGAGATGCGACGCGATTGAAGGGTGCGGCACGCCGGGGCCGCGATCTTGTCCCGCTGCCAGTGGACGAGGCTGGAGAGCTCGCACGCTCAAGCATATGTCCCGCCGCTCGCTTCTCATCAAAAGACAGGTCTTCGACGCCTACTCCCGTTCCTGCTGGATCTCCTGACAGATAGTCGGTATTGTTACTGTATCCGTTGCGGCTGTGGCTGCCGATCCCTCCATGGTCCACTACCAGGCTGCTACTTGATCCAAACGTCCCTGGACCGCCAATTGCGTCCTCTGCAGCAGGGGTTTCTACAATTGTCGGCTCCAGATCAGTCTTTTTCGGTGCAGAAAACTTGTTGAGTGTGCTCTTTAGGTTTGAGACTCTCTTTCGAGTTGTGGTAGAGGTCAACGGCTTCCTGGGGGTTGGTCGCTCGAGAGGCGGTGCGGGGAAGTCGTCGGCGGTTGGTGCCGTCGGGTATGGTGAGTTGTTGATGGAGGGAGCGCTTGAGGTATTGAAGTTGGAGCGGAAAGCAGACGGCGTCGAAGAGGCGAATGGGTTGGCGTTGAAGGACGACTTTGAGGGCGGTGGTGGGATAGCAAACTACGGTAGGAGCCAGTAAGTGTGCATTAGCCATTAGATTGAGGTATTAGAAGATAAAATCGACAGTGCAGCGAAGGGAAGAGGAACGTACTTCTGCACTTTCGGCTGCAGCAAGAATGGCATCGAGATCGTAGGTGCCCCTCTTCAGGGGAGGAAGTTCCTAGAGTTCGGCAAAGAAGAGAGTAAGGTGAGGTCAGGACAGCCGCGAAGGCATAAACTTCGGGTTGCGGAGAACGAGAGCAGCAAAGGGATCTCGTCTTACGGGCGAGTCTTCTGGGTCCATGTGGTCAAGGGATGAGGATGTGAATGAGGATGGGGATGAGAGTGGGGAGGATCTGAGGGGTCAGATTGGACAGGCGGAAGTAGAGTAGAGTTCGTTGGAGGAATATATACGAGGAAGGGAAGGGTTCAAGAAAGGAGAGTGTGGACTCGAGAGCAAAAACCCACGTCACTGAGATACTGAGATATGGTGGCAGCTTAGCGTGGAGTCTTTGTTTGGGGCTGTACTTTGCTCCTCTTCTTTATGACAAAAGAAGAAGACGCTCGTTTTCTATCACGCGCTGGACGAAGGGGTGCGCATGAAAGCGGATACTCACAGACTGAGCAGAGAAACATGGTCCACGCTCAAGAAGGCAGCTAGGCCGCAAACAAACATAGGATTAGGATTAGCACTCCCCCTTTTCATAGGCCATGTTAGTCTGTTTGTTTGCTTCATCTGTTTTTCATTGCGTGCGTGCCTGGTTATCTGGCTAACCTGGCCAACATGCATCATCTCTCCCTGGTCCTGAAACTACGCCAGACGCGTGGCGTGTCGCGGTAAGACATCCATCGCCGCATTATTGGCCACCGCTTCCTGCTCCTGTTTCAGGATAATTTCCTTCCTCTTTGTTTATTTTATTCTTTTTTTTTTTTTTTTCAGGCACCAACACGAACTACAGGGACAGGACTTGATTGATAAGATGCATTCGCTCGCTGATCGACATTCCGAACGTTCTCCTTCCTGGCCAAAGTCGCCGTTGTCTGTCGCATTCGAACGATTTGCAGAAGCTGGCTCATCTTGCCCTCGAGCCATCGCCGAAGAACACTTCGACTAGCCCTTCTGGGATCCAGAAAGTTGATACTGCACTCGAACCGAATTGCGTGCACATGACGATTTCCTCGTGTATAAGTCTTGGTGACATCGTTCATTGTCGAGGCAGAAAGAGAGCGGTGATCCCTGCTAAAACTATTGTTGTTGGACCTACTCGACTTGACTAATTTAGAATTTTGGTCATCGATTGAGTAGTGCAGCGCCCAGTGGTAATTGCGGCCGAACGAATGTTGTGCACCCCGTAAGATCTGCGAACCGTGCCTCTTGATGCTGAGCGGGCAGACTCTGTCCAGATAATTCAACGACGCAAATCCGCTCTCTGCATGGCGTACAAGATGTCCAGGATGTCTCTCAGCTGATTTCATAGAGGTTGGCGCATCCGGTTGACCACTCTTCACTCCAGAATACGATTTCGTGCCTTCCTTGCCCACAGTGATGATCCCGTCCTCGGTACAATGAATCTGCCGTTCCTGAAATCGAGATCCTCGTGACCTGACCGAGATTTCTTCGAGCTGTGGACGCTGGATTGCGATACCACTTCGGAAGGCAATGGTTTGACTGCCAAGCTGGGGCTTGAACACGACCCTGTCCCTGTTCATATCGAAATGGTCAAAAACAAATGTGACGCCTGTTCGACAAACGTATTCCTGATACAGGAACAGACGGACGGATTTTGAGGCGATTGATTGGATGAGAAAAGGGATGGAGAGTGCCCTGAGAAACTTTGAGGTGTTGTATAGGCTGAAGTGGTCGGTTAGAGAAAGGTGCTGAATGATACTTGTCCAGATCTCTGGAGGGAACCCGTGTTGTGGCCTGGCAATTCCTGCGGAGCCTAAGGAATGTAATGATGGCAGGTTGGACATATTGAGGTTCCCTGGATATATGATGTGAATGCAGTGTCCGTCAACGAGTCGCTGGCTCGTATCGTGTTGAAGAAACAAAAGAAGGAGAGGAACGAGGAGGGGAGTGTGAGAAAACAAAGAAAGGTGAACGAAACAGAAGAGAAAAAAAAAAAAAAAGAAGGAATCTCGCCCTTCCATGGACGTGGGCAGATAAGACGCAAAAGGAAAGGAAGGAAGCACAAAGTGGTAGCGTGGTGTTGGTCACAACGGTTGCATTGGGCAAACCATGCTGGGCGGCGAACAAATTGCGATAAACAGGAGAAATGTTCATACGGGCAATGCGAACTTATCCGCGCCCAATGTTAAACGTTACAAACCTGTGTGGCAATTGCTTTTGGATGTTCCTTAGTATTCTGCCCGATCTATTTGCGCGTGGTTAAATGATAAGTTGAGACGTTGCGATCAAGTTTCTACTTGATATCATATAAATTGACCGACTTGCCAGAACTAGCTATAATTCACGGGCCAAAAATAAAAATAAAAATAAAAATAAAAAAGGCATGATACTGTACTGAGAAGAAAAAGGATCTTGAGCACTACCGAAACTAGTCAGCAACGCGTCGATCCACTCAATAGTGTGGAAATAGAATGCGATGCCGTCGACCAAGACATCAGAGTATATCTATCCAACATATCGGGCCGACTCTGACCAGTCGAGTGGGATGTCCACCCGAGGGTGGCCTGTATGTCAGGGAGGACCCCTGCTTGCAAATTGAAAGTGGGCCTGCAGGGGTGCGGCAACTCTGCTTTATGTATCGGCGATATTAACAATTATTCTTTGGAGGGTGTGGGAGAGTGCGTATGCAGATATGTCCCGTGCATGGGAGTAAAGGGCAGTGCAGGGGACATGATGGCTACGCGTTTTTCGTCGTTTTGTGCAACAGATCGGCCAGGCTGGATCGAACTGCTTTGCGGATCAAATTCTCACGGGAGACCCTAAGACTAGGAGTACCACTGCACGTTCAAAGCAGTTGCGGTCATCGGAGCCCGGTGCCAGTAAGCAATCTTCACTACTAGCGGGTGAGTTCTTACCAGGGTTACCGAGTGGGCTTCTGTCACATGGGACGCCGCCTTTCCATTTGTGCGAAGAGAAAGGGCTGCTGGCTTTGGATTCTTAGCACAGGAAACTATATTTTCAGTCGTTCGCCGCTGTCTGTTCCCGTCACGGATAATATTGTATGGCCTGCATCCCAAAGCACCTTCCCTTTCCCTTTCTTTTTCCCTCCTCCCTTTTCAGCACCTATCCTGTGCAATCTCTCTTTTTGTGCTTTCTTTCTTTCTCCTGTTTAGTCCTTTTCTTCTTCGCTTCCACCATTGCCCCAGATAAAAAGAAAGAAAGAGAAAAAGAAAAAGACCTATCCCTCCACGACCCACAACTCTTTTCACACACACCATTGAACGCTCCTCTCTCGCACTCTCTGTGCGCCTCAACACGATCCTCAATTGCAACCGGTAATCATCAAGAAACCACTGCCGATTTTTACCGTAAGCCAACTGCACTATGTCTAGTAGTCTTTCAACAAACTACGCCCTGCGTGTGGGGGCGATCGCCTTGATCGGAGGTGTCCTTGCCTACTGGTTCTGGACTTCGTCCTCCTCGGCCGTCGACAAGAAGCAACCCAAGCGGACAAAGAAGACCAAGACCACGACAACTACCACGACCACAACGATCGCTAAAGAACCCACGGATGCTCCTGTTGTCCTTGCGGAAGAAACCATTACGACCACCACGACCCTGCTCCGAGAAACCACTGCTGGCGCACACCTTGGTAAGAAAAACTTCGCCAAAAAAAAGCAAAAGGGGCAGGACGCTGAGGGATTTTTTTTCTTTGCCTTCTTGTCAAGGCGAAGACATGAGGTTTTCTTGATTCATGGTTGTTGGTGTCAAGGTTAATTGATCGATCGATCGATTTCTCAGATCCTTCACCCCCGGACCTTTGCTTATTTTGTCACACACGACATCGAGCGAACGGGGCACGTATTTTTTTCCCTTCCATCCCGCTCTCAATAAACAAAGAACTTAACGGTAGGGGCAACCCAGCGGCAACTACGGAGGCCGGCTAAGGTGCTGCTCCGCATATCGCGAAAAGAGGATGAGAGGAAGAAGGGGGGTAGCCGGAGAAAGCGATTCAGTTTCACAATGGCTAACATCGACCGTGCTGGCTCTACCCATGAATCTCTTTGCTTCACAGCCAAGGACACCAGCGAGAAGACACTGACCGAGGCTATTATTGATGCTGCCCAGGAGCCCGAGGTAAGAGAGAAAGCCAATTGCTACTACTATGCTGAGACGAGCGTTTTGTCCTGCAAGCCCTTTCTCTCCTTTCCCTTTTCCCCCTACTTCTTTCGTGCTGCATTACTTTGCCTCCCATTCCATTCTGCCGTCTTTATATCCTGTGCAGTTGTTTATGTTCTGCATCCTGTTGTCCAAAGTGCACTCCTTGAAATGGGAACCGACCATTTCACAGCCCTTCTTTGTTCTTTTTTCTTTTCTTTCTTTCTTTCCCGTATTCCGAGTCTCCATCGTCTCTGGAAGAGTGCGAAATAATTGAAACATTGCATACATGGATCCGCACACAATATTTTGCAATGACCCCACTTTTCCGCGTGTGAACTAAAATTGCATTTTTTTTTTTTTTTTTTTACATAAATGTATCCGGCCTGTTCCCTTTTCTAGACCACCGAAAACACGAGCCAGACTGAGGATGCACACGTACACGCAGAGACCGAGGCGGATACGAAAATAGAGGATGTTGTCATCGAAACCGTTGCCGAGAGAGCCATTGGGTGTGCTGTTGAGCCCGCCCTGCAGATCTCTTTTGAAGCGCCCGTCCCTGTTGTAGAAGAAATCAAACTCGATACTGTGGTAGAGGTGGTCGCTGAAGTGCATGCCACCTCTGCTGCTGTTGTTGTGGAGGATACAATTGAGGAGGTTACCGTTACTGCCAAAGTCACTGAGGAATCTGTGCTTGAAAAGACTGAAATTGTGATTGAAAATGAGCAGCAGGAGAAAGAGGAGGTGGTTGCTGCCGTTATTGTTGATGATGAAACGATATTGTTCTCTGAGGCAGCTATTGAGGCCGCGGTTGTAGAAGCTATTGTTGACACTGTTACTGATCACCTCATGGAATCCGCCGTTCTTGTCCAAGCGGAGGAGCCACAGCTGGAAAAACAACAAGAGCAAGAACAAGAGCGGGAACAAAAGCAGGAACAGGTGTCAGAACCTGAGGCTGAGGCTGAGGCTGACGAGGAAGAAGACCTTGTGGAGGAGTTTGACCATGAAGAAGAGCTCACATTGGTCTTTGAGAGGGAGATTCGAGAGCCAGTATTGCCTGCACAATCACGCGAGGAGGAGGAGGAGGTTGTGAAGGAAGTGTCCCAGCAGCAGGAGGTGACCGAAGAGGAACAGATTGAGATGCAGATTGAGACCCCAACGACTCTTGTGGATGAGAACATCGAGGTCGCCAAGGACACCGTGGAGTCGAAGCCATCGTCGCGCAAGGCTGCGGATTCATGGGCTAGCGTTAGTCAGGACAAAGTCCAGTCGCTCCAGGAGGTCTCGCGTGTAGCTCGTAAGCAATTCTTTCCTTTTCTTTTTTTTTTTTTTGTTATGCGAAATGTGTCATGGCAGACGTATCAGAAAGTACTAAATGCTTTTTTTATATATGTTTTTTTATATTGTTTAGAACACTCTGAGCTGAACGCATCTGCCCCCGAGTTCAAGCCTGCTTGGCTCACTAACAGCGCACCAGTACCTGTCAACCGCGCTACCATTTCACGAGGTAATTGAAGCTTTTTGGGAGGGTTAGCGGAAGGAGCTGTTGTGGGCACCACGAAGAGCTGTCTTCTGATTTTTCTTTATTCCCTGCACTGTCTGTTAAAAAAAATAGATGCTGTTGTCCCTTCAACAGAGGCATCAACACTTGGAACGCCAGCCAAGATGAAGTCCAGATGTAGGTTCTGGCCAGGCTGCACCAACAAGTCCTGCAAGTTCACGCATCCCTCGCTCCCTTGCCGGTAAGCAATCGCACGCATGAACGACTTTGGCGAATTCTCTAAAGAAAGAGAGAGAATGTGCGTGTAATAACGCTTCAAAATTCTATCCTTAGTGATCCCGAGAACTGTACATTCGGAGATCGCTGCATCTTTATCCATCCCAGCGACCCCCTTCCTCGGCCAAGAAGCGACAAGGTCAGCCGCAAGCCATCTGTGGCCAAGAAGCGAAGACCCCAGTCCTCGGACTCGACCGCGACCATGGTCGCAGTCACACCGGATGATGTTTGGAAGTAGAAGGATGGACTAAGGAGGCAGGTTCTAGGCTAGGGGGAAGGGAGGGAGAGAGGGAGGGAGGGGTGGCCCGGAGGATTGTTTTTGGTATGTCTTTGTTGGATGTCATTTTTTCATTTCTTCTCTGTAGATTCTTTTTTTTTCCCGTTGTTGTTTCCCATTTTTGTTTTATTACGCAGCCCAGAAATGCGGCCTCATAAAGAAACTACACGATTACATCGCCCACCTGTGCGCTCTTCCAATTCGAGTGCCACCAATTTTTTAAAACGCGTCAAAAGAGTAGGCTCGACGCGGCCCTCTCTATCTGAAATGGACTGGAAATTTTCAATTTCCTTTTTCGTCCATGTCATGACCTTTTAAAAAGGAAGTTGCTTAAGGGTTTTAGCTGCGATTTCTTAATTTTTTTCGGGTTTTGCGACTAGAACCCTTAAGCAGCTTCCTTTTTAAAAGGTCATGACATGGACGAAAAAGGAAATTGAAAATTTCCAGTCCATTTCAGACATAGTTTAGAGGGTTGCGTCGAGCCTATCAAAAGAGCTCTCAAACCAAAATACGTTTCACCTACACATGTATAAGCTTTTGTACATATACGTAAAACAGATGGTCGCTTTTTACGTCTAAACTCCCACGCGTTGTGTCTTATTAACTCCCACGCGTTTTGCATCTTCTGCAGCAAAGTGTTTTTTTTTTTTATTTACAAATGTTCACACGAACGCGCACTAGACGAAAAGGAAAAAAAAAAAACCAGTGGTCTGTGCTGGGGGGAACGAAAGTCGACCCCAGATCTCATGTTGATGGGAGAAGAACCCGAATCGGAGCTTTTTTTTAAAGGCTGCGATAGGCATCTCCAGCGGCCGCATTTCCATGTCCGCGAGCCTCGAGAGAGCTGTCGTTGGTGGCACTTCCGACAGCCTTCTGGGCAGTACCCTGGACCTGGTGGCCGATTCCCTGGGCGTGGGTCTGGGTGTCCTGGTTGGACTGAGCGGTCTGGCCCTGGGCCTTCTGGGCGGCACCAGAGCCGGCGAGGTCCTCACTGCCGACTGTGCGGCCGACTGTCTCCTTGGCGCTTCCGACGGCGGAGTTATAGGTGTTTGAGAGTCTGTCAGTCATTTTGTTAAAAGAGGTGTTGTGTGTGTGTGTGTGTGTGTGTGTTTGTGCTTATGGGGTTTCTGGAAGACAAGATACAGAAAAGAAAGTGGCAAAGAAATATTGTATTTATACGTTATTTGGTCCTAGGCTGATATGAGTCGCTTTGGATTGTGGATGGTGACATGGAAGGAAAGTGTTCACCATCAAGACTGGTGGAAGGGGGGACAGCGTTGCACCGCGAAAGGACAAGAACGCCTTTCATATGCAAATTACATGATGATGACAACGCGACGCGTCCAATCGACTTCCGGGAGGTTTCATCAGCTTGAGACGGTGTAGGGGACTAGTGTAAATGTAATGATGTCCTCACTCCCGGCCAAGCGCGCAGGCTGGAATATCCTCAGCACGCCATTTCCACAGTGGGTGAGGGGGGGGGGCTCAATGGAGGCCAATGCACCTTTGTTTACGTGTCGATGCTTTGCAGGCATCCAATGAGACTACGTATAGTCGCACACTGCCCTCGAAATGCACACGAAGACACGTAGGACGCGTAATTAGCTTTTTCTTTGCTTCTTTCTTCATGTCGTTTTTGCATCAGAGATATTACGGAAAACTATGACAATATGCTATTCTATGAGATAAATCTACCTATCTAGCTTCTATGTATGTCGAGATTGTCGTGTAGGATGAGGTAAAAAGATAACATTTGTATTACAAAGGAGCTAAAGGATGCATATAGTGCACGCGGACGCACGAACAGGAGTGTTTCCGTCCCTCTACTCACGCAACTCGCGCAGGAAGAGGTTGCTCTGTCCCCCATATTCGTCTGATCCATACGACAAATGCGTACCAGAATTTTGTCCCAGAATTGCGTCAGGCACGCCCGAATCATACCCGCTGCTCATCATCGGCCCCTGCGCTCCTGACTGCACATACCGGTACTGGCCGTAATCTGGTACGGTCGCCGTACTTGATAAACTCATGTGCTGCGACTGCGTCGACGGAGGCTGTGCCTGTGGGTCATACAGCTGCTGATCATACGGCGAGTGTTGGTACTGCTGGCTTTGCAGAGGTGACGATGATCCTGTTGCAGAGGCTGGCCCGACCATGGACGACGCAGTGATTGGAAGTGCTGAGTCGTGCACAGGCGGCCGGAAAATGTCCGTATAAGATGCGAAATTGCCCGCATCATCTCCATGCGCCGATCCACCAGGTGCTCCAAGGTTCGAGTTTCGGATCTTGCTCTTAAACTGTCTTGAAGGCTATGTGATTAAATATTGGCGATCAGCATATTTTCAATTTGACGCAAAGGCATGTTTATCCCTGTGCGAAGAACCCTTAACTTACAGATAGTTTCCACTTGCGAAAGACCCAGACACCAATACCGCCAGCGATCACAACTGCACCGATGACAACACCTATCGTGATGGCCATCTTGTTGCTCGAAGAACTGCTTCCCGCCGAGGCTACCTCTGAAGGCTTAGCAGGGTCAGAAGTGGTAGCCGAAGGACCCGTTTGGGAGTGTTCACCGCCATGAGATGTCACTGGCTTATTGGTTGTCGTCTTTGGAGGATTGGATGTTCCTGGTGTAGTGGTTGCCTCTGGGGTCGTGATAGGAGGAGGAGGAGAAGGGGTGGTAGTGATTATGGGATCCGTTGGCACAGTGGTTGTGGTTCCTGGAGTCGGCTCAACAGTGGCTGTGGTTGCAACAGTTGTGGTTGCAACAGTTGTGGTTTCGGGCAAAGTTGTGGTTTCGGGCGAAGTTGTGGTTTGCACATTCGTGGTAGTGGTGATCGGTGGGTCTGTGGTGGTGACCGTTGTTTGTTCGATAGTGGTGGTGATGGTAGTAGTGGCGGTGGCGGGAGTAGTCACGGTCTCTGGACTCGGGCTTAGGCTTGAAGCACCAGCATCTGTAGTAGTAACAGTAGTTGAAGTATCAGCAGAAGCAGAAGCAGAAGCAGAAGCAGAAGCAGAAGAAGGCGGGGATGAGGAAGGCGTGATATCTATTAGAGATCGGCCGAATGATGATAATCATAAGAGAGGACGTAGGAACCATACAACGCGTGGTGGTTAGACCCAAGTTCGAAAGTAATTGTTATGAGCAACTGTGGAGCAGGTAATCAGCGAAATATTACAAGTTGCCGTACTGGGAGATGTAGCAGTAGTTATAGAAGGAGTAATAGCCGTTGTCGTCGTTGCGCTAGAAGATGTGGGAGAGGGTGTGTCTATGGAGGGGTCAGCAGAGTGCTGAGTGGTAGACGTAGTGACGGATGCAGTGATGGGTGCAGTGGTGGGTGTAGTGGTGGATGCAGTAGTGGATGCAGTAGTGGATGCAATGGTGGATGGTTCTGGGGTAGATGGCTCTGTGGCAGGGAGCAATGAAATTAATCGGCGGCGACGAAATAGAGGTGGCGGCGAATAGATTGGTGAAAATGGGATTCAGGTCATAGAAAAGGCCGATCAGTACGCTTGCTCTGCTCTCTCTTTCTCTTTCAAATGCACCAGGCTCCTTTTCTTGTTCTCTGTTGACATCGCTCAACCAGTGTTCTCTCGTCCCAAGGCTCTCTTCCGGATAGAGTTGGTGGTTGTTTGGGGTACAAAGAGCAACTGTAATCGAGGGCACAGCGAAATCAGTCCCGATCCGATCTCATGGCCATCATCTGTGCTCAAGATGCGTCGTTTGGGATGGCAGCAGACAGGGACGGCAGCGCTCTCGTGGGAAGTTAATGTAGATGTTGTCATTGTCATCCTGTGTATCTTTCCACCTGCCCTGTCTATATGATGGCTCATCAGGCGAGATAAAGAAGCCCTACATCGCCACCATTCATTCCAGTAGAGCGAGAACTTCAGGGGCACCAGATATCTGAAAGAAAGGAAGGAAGGAGGAGCATAGGATGGGGCAATAGGGATAGAGGAAGGAGAGTAGAGAGGAAGAGTGTTCTGGTGAGCCTGATAAGGTTACCCTTGCGATTGAATGGAATAATGCTGCGACTGTCACTCCCCCTGCAGTTCTCCTTGTTCCAGACACATTTTTTCTCTCCCCATGGTTCCGGCGCTAGTGCACCTGTTGAAGCAATAAAAATGGACTAGCCTTCAAGCGGAGGATGGCGCTGGTGGTAGAGGAAAAGGAACATAGTCTCTGTACTTCTGACCCCGTTGTAATCTCGTCTTCCGCAACCATCATCCACTCACTTCCATCCGTGCCCACTAGGTGGAATGAAAAGCGCAAAGCATCTAGGCGTCTTTTTTTTTTTTTTTGCTTTTTGCTTTTTTGTTGGGTCTATTCTTTGGCCAGCTTCCGTCATAGTTGATGAAGATGTAGAAAGAAACCTTACCAGGGGTGGCGGAAGCAGAAACGACGCCCTTGACCAGGTCCTCATTAACATCCCGCCTCTCGTTCTTTTCAAATGTCGGGAATCGCTCGAGATTTTTGCTGAAGCTATATAGGGCCCGCCTCTGCTGACGAGCGGAATGGGTATAGGCAGAGACCCTCGCAGGTCCATGACCGTTATCCTCGTTGGTGATCTGCCAAAGATTTTGAGGATGATTATGGTGTTGCTGTTGTTCTTGAACCTGGTGCTGATAATTCCGTTGACCCTGGCAGCCTGGTAGGGCGAGCACCAGACCCACAGCAAGCACCAGCCCGAGTGTCGACTGTCCTCTCATTGTGACGCAAAAAAAGGAGAGAAGGAGAGAAGGAGAGAAGGAACTGGAGAATGAGAGCTGTGGTGAACGAGGGGGAGGGAGGGTTTCTGTCCCTGAACAATCCTTTTATTTGAACGCCAGGTGTTTCTGGGCAATTGTGTGACACGAACAAGGAGAGAAAATAGAACAGGCGCTTGATCGTGTCTAGATCTCTGCGGCCGTGGAATGATGAGTGGAACGAATGAATGGGTGAATGAATGAAAGCAAAAGGCAAAGGAATCGCAACGCAGCAGCAGGAAAAGAAAAAAAAAAGAAAAAAAAGAGAAAGAAGAGGCAAGAGGGAGGCGGAAATAAGGGACGACAGCGGTGCACCGGCTTTCTTTCTCATCTGGTTTTCTTGTTGTTTCTTGTTTCCGTTCGTTATTTGGTCTCAGTGCTGGTAGATGACCTAGTTACGCCCAATGAACTGCTCCTTAAAATTAAAATAGCTGTAATAACTGGCCCCCACACGGGACCTGAAGGCTCTTTGCCGGCCTCCACCATGAGGAATGGAAGCCGCATCGAATGTCCATACGCATCCATCCCAACGGTCCCAGACATAATCACACATTTGAATTATCACGTAGAAAGCAGGGTACACCCATTCCATTCCGCACCCCCTGTCTTGCCAGGTGGACAAGGTTCAATTCAATTCAAGACCAGCCCGCCTTGGCCCAATCTCGATGGATACCACACTCGCTGGGCAAAAATGTCGTCAACACGCATCTTGCACATTCTCCCCAAGTAGCTCTTAGCCCCATTAGCCTGAGACCGTTACGTATGCTTTCTCTCCCGCAGAACTATAAAGCAAAAGACTGCCAGGGCTAATATTACATGGCAAACATTCTTCCCATCCTTTATTGCATTTTCTCATGCATCGTCCTAGACTAGCCACTTGAAAAGAACCCTCAAAAGTCCACTTACCTCGAATTCTTTTCCCGCCCACTGGAAGCCGATCGCCCCGTACTGCATTATAGAAACGTATCGATGTATTGATCCTGCATAAGAAAAAGCCGCGCCAGTGCTGTCATTTCGCCCAGATTCATAATTTATTGTCTGGTTCTTTGTTGCAACTACTGTGCTGGCCAGTCAATTCTTTTTGAGTACTTCACAGGCGACGATGGCGAGCTGAGAGCGACGAGGATGAGAACGACGACGAAAAAAGTGTTTTGGAGTGTCAGGAGTGTAGTTGCGAAGGTGAAAGTGATCCAGTTTATTCTGTCAATTGATTGATTAATAGCGGTCGTATCTCTCGTCGTAACGAGGGCGGCGCTCGTATCCACGGTCGTAAATGGCTCTGTCGTCGTAGCCGCCGCGTCCTCCCATGTCATAGGGTGCCGGTCTGTAATCGCGAGGCGGGCGGTCCTCGTATCTTGGGCGGGCCCCCATCCATCTGAAAGTGTCGTGTACGCGCAGTTGACAAAACAGAACGTGAATATGTTAGCTACACCAGTGAATAACACCAGAAACACAAGCAAGCGATAGTCCTCAAAGACGAAAGAGCCCTGGCAAGGTACCAAAGCCAGAGGATACATGATAACCGCTCATAGAGTCAGATTCTAGACCCAACAGCGGCGCATATTTGTCCCTCAGGCCGATGACAAATTGTTTGGATACTCTACTTATCATAAGTGCGATCAAATCGATCATACCTGTCATACGGAGCGGGGCGACCGTAGTCGCGTGCAGGTGCGCCTCTGTATTCCCTAGGATCAGGTCCACGGGGATCTTGGCGTGGGTCGAATCGATCTCCACGGCGATCTAAGTGGTGTGATATTGGTCGTGATACCAGGTGGTTAGATTGGTGCTGCATGTGTAGGCGAGAACTATTGGTTTCGCCAAATTTAACTGCATGCGATACCATAGGGATAGTGAGGCATACCCGTGCCCCTCTCGCGCTTGGGGGGTCCACGGTATTGGCCAGGAGTGGGTGTTCTCGCACGACCGCGGCGAGCCTATGAGGTCAAAGACAAAAAATTACAAAGAGTGGTCAAAATCGGAAATCCGCTCCGTCCATGGCAGTACAGTAATTCCTGGCGAAGCGCAGAATGAATGGTGGTACTTACCATGTTGACGGACATAGCGCGTCCGTGGAGTTCGAATCCGTTCAGCACCTGCATAGCAGCATCAGCATCTTCAGGACGGACCATGGTCACAAAGGCGAAGCCACGCGACTCGCGGGTATGGGGGTCGAACATGATTTGAACCTTCTCGACCTAAACAAAGCAGCCCCGATCGATGAGAACCATGGTCAGGAAGGCATTTCAGAGGCAAAACTGTGGATTCTTATCCAGATATATTCACGAAGAGCAAAACATGGTGATCCGTCGCCATGATATTTTTTGGCTGTTCGGTGAACTGCCACATCGTTTCGCCTTTGTTGACCAGCGACTTGTTGCGTATGTGAGCATGGCTGGAAGGGATGAATCAAGGTAGACTGCGCCAATTCAATCGAAGGTGCCATCCCAACGTTGCTGGTTTCGGTGCAGTTGCAGCTGCAGTTGCGGAAGCTCACCTTGCCGTATTTGCCAAACAGGTCCTCTAGATCCGCCTGCTCAGTCTTGTTGGAAAGGCCGTTGACAAAGAGATTGTTGCCTGGGTTCACTGACTCGTCGATGTCGGCATTGTTTCTGGTATCGGGTTTGAAAAGAAGTTGCAAAAAGTCAGGCGGTGCGCAAGAGAGTGTTGTTGTCTGTTGCCGTTGCTGGATACATCATATTCGCTTGTATTTTTTTCTTGATGTCTTTCTTTTGGTCTTGATGAGGTGATTGCTGTTGATCAGAGCAAGATGTCGCAGATGCAGTTGCTCCTGTCCAGACCATTACATAGGAGGCGCAAGCAAAGACACAAGACAACACATAATGCTCCCGCATGTTTTTCGGCTGGCGCAAGATATCGATATACATACGTTGCGCGGGCAGGGGAGCGACTTCTTGGACGAGGAGATCTTGATCTGGAGCTGGCGGGGCTCTCACCACGTCCGCGATGTTCAGATTCGGTGTAAGTATCGTTCATGCTGTGATGGGGGGGAGGGGGGGAAGAAGGATGGCGAGGATGTGGAGCAGAAGGGCGAGGGTGAGTTTACTTTAAAAACAAGGCAAGGCGAGGACAGAACCATCACGTGGAATGCAACCCCTTAACGTAAACAATCCTCGCTCGTCTGCAGAGACTCTCCCCCCTCCCACACGAGTGTGCATATACCACTCCCTTCTCCTCAGTTTGCTCCTTCCTTTCTCCGTCCAAATCGCCTTCCGCTCTTGCTGTTATGTCCTCCCCATTCCTCCGTACAGTTGTCACAGCCAACCGCAGCATCATGCGCGCTGCCGGCCGCCCTGGAGCAAAGAAGGGCAGCTCCACCGCACTCAATGGCGATGCTCGAAATGATCTTATCAAGAAGGTTCTGTTTGACGCCCCTCCTAGACCACCCGTGCGCATGTCTCCCGAAGACCTCGCCCGCCATGAGACTATCGAGCGTGCCTGGAAGCTCGTCCGTCAACAGCGCAAGCAGGAGCAGGAGAAGACTCTGGCCCGGAAATTCGAAATGATGCGCAAGGCCAACGCCGAGCTCGAGGCCACCAGCCCAATCCTGTTCAAGCACTCGCAGACCAAGGAAAGGAACGCCGTCTTCCCAAGGCAGCTCAGGACCCTCACGGATACGCCCGCAAAGCAGATCTGGAACTATCGCCAGTCGACAGCAACCAGCCACAAGGCATGAGGGGCCGATCCGATAATGCAGATCAGCGGTACCAGGGAAACATCTAGCCACTAACAACGTGCAACGGATTTCAGTCCTCTGGAGCAGAAACAGGATATAGCTCATTTCGATCCGCTCGGGATGTACTGGCAAGCAGGAGCGGGAGCATAGCAGAGGAAGAAAGCGCGGAAGCATCATTGATACTTAGACACTCAGCACCACATTGTACACCACCGAAATATATCTATTACGATTCATCATCATATTGGCTTGTTGTTGCAAATGCAATTTGGATGCTGGCAATGCAATTGAAAGAGATGGCATGAACGGTATCATCATGGGTGAATATATGATTGTGCAACCTCAAACTCTCTTTATTTCTTCTTTTTCTCCGCATCGGTGGCAGACGTGGGATGCGCGTGCCTGCGGTTCTTTTTCTCCTGTCTCTCGCGCTCCAGTCTATCGGCCTTCTTCCGTTGCCACGTCTCCTTAAGGACTTTCTTCACATCGTCCAAACCCTTGCTAAAGTTCTTTTCTGCTAATCCAGCCAAGAGCTCAACCTGGTCCTCCCTGACCTCGAAATTGAAAGTTGAACAGAAGGGCTCAGTGGCGGGATTGAAGTCTCCTTGGTACTCTGGATTTGGGATCAGTGGGAAATAGATCAAGGTGATAGGCTGGACGTTGAAGCTCCGTTTGCTGGATGTAGGAGCCTTGGTAGAGACTTCAGATGAATCCCCCACTGGAGAGGACGATTCTGCTTCGTCCGGTGAAACGACGCGATCGGCATCACGATCGTCCGCTACGAGACCGTGGAAGATCTCCACATGAGTCATTTTCCGTGGAGGTCCGCCCTCCTGCTGTTCCAATTGCTCTGCCCTCGTCTTTGAGATGGGAGGCCACCTTTCAATCCCTCGCCTCTTTACATACTCATCTATATCAGGTGGTATACGTTCAAAAGCGTTTTTTTGTTAACTGGATGTTGAAAAAAGAAAAGAAAAAAAGCAAGATTGATAATAAAATCATAGACCATACCAGCCTTCTCAAACCATGGGACATTCTCGATTTCTGCACTGCTGTCAAAGGCCAGGACCACATCGATGTCACGACCAGGCCGCAGCAATGGATACAAAGGTAGGTTGTTGTCCATCCCCGCATCGTTCAGATAAATATTTTTCCTGCGCGAGAATGCTTCGGATTCCGGCTCGGGGTTCGGCAGCTTGTAGAACGGATTCGGGAAGCATGACGGCGACAGAGGATGGATCAAGGACATGCCGTCAATGTACTGGTGTTTTCAAGAGAGATTTCAGCAATCAGCGTATGGAGCATTTGTAGTTGATGCATCTTGTTCTCCAGGCTGTAACGCATATGCCTACATCTTTGATATAGTCATCCATAGAATCTGACATGGCCTTGTTGAGAAGCGGTTGGACTTCCTTGTAGTAGTCTGCCAAAGTTGCTGTAAAGGCCGATCCGAATGTTCCGAGCAAGATCGCCAAATTCGTCTCAGGGACCCTCTCAACGCTCTTGCCTTCGACAAATCGACGGCCAAAGGCCCAGGTTGGGATCCAGGCTGTCGATAGAGTAGAACGTCGAATCAGTGTCGGACTAAATTATTCATCGCAAAAAAAAAAAAAAAAAAAAAAAAACATGTTTGCTAGCGGTCATGGATGAGTTGCGTTACCTGAGGTCTCCTCACTTCCGAATTCGTAAGGTGTCATCTCGAACCACTGGTAGTAATGCGTATCTGAGTTTTCATCTGCAACATCGTCATCGACAATAACTTCACTTTTCTGCATCCGCTGAGTCATTGATTCAGGAAGAACATGGGATACGGCCGTGTATATTGGAAGGGGTTGATCGCCATAATTTGTCCAACGACTTTGCTGTGACAGTTTGAAATCCAATGGGTCAACCCACTCGCTGTTGTCGCCATCCCTCTCTCGATGGATAAGGAGTCGCGAGGCCAGGACCGTGCCGAAGGCGTCGACTAACGTGATGACACGACTTTTGCTGTATTTTTGGACAATTCCCTCCAGGATAAGTTGAGCTGCGCCAGGGTTGGTTAGCATGGTGTCGATAAACGATGGGTAATGGGCAATGGGGACGTTCATTGACTGTTTGAAGTGCTCAAGTGTCTTTGTGAATGATCTCTGTCCAAGCGTAAAGTATTGCGCAATCATCCAACAGCTGCCTGAGACGCCTGCCATATACATGGTACAATCGAAAAGTCCTGCCTTTTTGGCTGCAGTCATGTAACCGAGCGACGATACCATTGCTCTGTAGCCGCCACCGCTATGATCATGAAGAACACACCATATATAGTTTAATACATGACCCTGTAATCACGCGAATAGAGTGATACGTAAGATGAATCTTACCTGCCCGCAATGGCGACGACAGGGATGTCACTTTCGTGAACCTCCGATTCCTTGACTCCCATGAACTTTGCAAAGGCCTTTTTCATCTTTTTTCTGCGGACTGCTTGGAAGGCCACCTCCTGCGGACAGATATTATTGCCTTGCCTGGAGAATGAGTTGCCGCCAAAAAAAAAAAAAAAAAAAAAAAACTCGATTGAGTTGGACCGTTCACTTTCTGAGGTCAAAATTTTTTCTCCTCGCTATCACTATGACATCGGAGGTAGCAAAGTGTGTCTCCTACTGACCTGACAGTGGCGTCGAGTTGGATCTCAGGGTTCTTGCTGCTGTCCTGCATGTTGTTGATAATGGACTGATAGAGTGATCCATCTCCGAGCTGAAGCTCCTTCCTGATGGCGTCCACGGCTGTGAAGTAGTCTGCAAGGGTGGGGACTCGTCCCTTGATCTCCTCGCCAATTTTTTCGCCCAGATTCTGCATCTTTTCCATAATGTCATCCATAGAAAGGGTAGGGATCGTAGGGATTTTGGGAATTGGAATCGAAGGCAGAGGTCCCGGTAGATTGATCCTGTCGCGGCTACTTTCTCCATCCGCTTCAGGGGCCGTTTTGTCCTTGCCCTTGTCTTTGCCCTTGTCTTTGCCCTTATCCTTGCTGTCGGTGTCTCCTTTGCTCTTTGGCGGGTGAGCTTTGAGTTCCAGTACTGGTGGATCGCGACTTTTCGGCTCTTCACAGGACGCTCCCTTTGTAGGGAGGATAATTGCAGAGCCGACGCTCAGCAGTGCCATGAGGGATGCCTTTATATCAGACCACCGCGACTCTAAATGCTTGGATTAAATTAATTTTCTTAGCGCAAACCATGCATGAAAGTAAGAGTCTAGAGATGACGGCCAGGAGTATCGAACCCAGTCAGGATCTGCAAGTAAAAAAATCAAGCGGAGGAGTGGCCATACCATCCGATGACTCCTTGGGTGTGCTCCTTTTGTTAAAATGCTGTGAGGATGTAGAGAAGAATAAATCGTGCTGTTGATTGGAGTGTGCTGCAGGCGGGATAAGAGGGCGCCATGGGCGTTGAGTGGGTTGGTGTCGTGCAGCATCAAAGTGCCATGGGGAGGCGCAGGGACGTCGTAACTTTGCGCGGAGCAGCAGCGACATGTTGATTGTAATGGCGTCAGTGATTCGCGAAGGGAGGGATCGCAGAAGAAGAAGCAGGACGAATAAAGTTGAAGGCACCTCCGCATTTTGCGGGCTGCGCGCTCTTGCACCGGCAAACAATGATGCCGGTCATGTGACAATGTACCCATATGGTTTTTTGGGTCCAGTGTGTCCAGCGGTCCTTTTGGTCGTTTACTACAATACACAGACGACCGACTTTAACACCTTCCTCCTTTCTTTGCACTTCACTTTGTCTCTACACATTCCCACATTTCGCATACGAGTACTTGTCACCTCTCCTTGTCCTTTCATGAGAAACTCTGCCCCTCTCCCTTCCTCTTCCGCCTCCACTCAAGAACGCAACCACCGCCACCAAAATCATAACCAGTCAGCTAGTAACAACAATAACACCTTCAGCAACAGTAACAGCAACAGCAGCAGCAACAACAACACTATCGAGCATGTGAGCTCTCCCGATACTACCAGGCGCCGGGCGTCGTTGAAATCGCTGCATCAGAATGGCGGCTCTGGTTCTTCTGTCGGCACTCCCGTAGCGCAGGGCCAGGACAAGGTCGTCGACCTTAACCAATCGTCTTCCCCATTGCCCTTCCAGCCCTATGTGCTACCAACACAGCTTTCACAGAGATTCAACCACGATTCCGACAGTGAGCACGATTCGAATGACGATGATCAAGAGGACAGTGATCGTACCGAGGGTGAAATGAGTTCTGCGGCGATCAAGGCCACTGGTAGACCCAAGGCTCTTAACAAGCGTCCTGCTGCGTCTGGTAAGTTTACTTGGCTAACTGAATTAATGAGACTAGCAACTGCTTCGGTACTATCATGTAGTGTTTGTTTTTCATCGTTGCAGAAGGCGAGAAGTCGATCTTGAACACCTGAAAACCATTATGCAAATGAAGTCATTCGATTCATTTAGTCTGATCTGTTGCCAATTTATTCTGCTATGAAAAACTTATTCGTGTCCGCAGTGTGTGCACGTACCAGACAGAGCCCGCAGATGCGTGGGGGATCAGCGCGGCATTACGGACATAAATGCTAGTGGTGGCAATGTATTTAAACAACCTGCATTTGCAATCCCTCTTTGGACATGCCATTGAATAGACCACAGGCATGACCGATGCAAGCAGCGGGTGTATCTGGAGGAGGAGGATGTGGAGTTGACCTTCACGGGATACCGATTCCGCCAGACTCGCCTTTATCTTTACTACCTGCTCTGTGTTCTCTCCGGAGGCATTGTCTTCTTGCTCGGAAGGTGGATGCCCCAGCGGTATATTGCCTTTGTTGCCCGAAAATGCGAGATGAGCAAAGCAGAGTGCATCGTTGTTCAGGTTTGTCTTTTGATCTATAAATTGAAGTAATGCCCGCAGTAACACGCAGTACACATGTTTGTGCTATCTGCGTCGCAATGGATCATAGACCAATGCTAAAATACATGTGCTAACCTAATTGAAAAAAAAAATGGCATTTTAGAACGAATGGGGCCAAATGACCATGGAACCTGTTTTCACAAAGTACTATGGTGGTCCCATCGATTCAGTCTTCAGTTCAGAGCAGATGGAGGAGCAAGTCGACGGTGACGATGACAGCTATGATGAAACAGTTGTACGTTGCTTCGCTTCTTTTCAATTTTGTTCTTTGGCACCTCGAGAGCGGTTTTTGCTAACGTTCGTGGGTCTTCTTCTTCACTGCGCAGACAACAGGTATGCTGCACGACATGCGATACTTCGACTACCAGTACATACGATTTATCTACAATCCTACGGTACGGTTATTCATGCAAAACTCGCAATGGAAGGACCCTGATTGGTCACGCGCCGCTAATTGTGGGCGTGGAATCGGTCGCGAGACGTACCAGGAGAGAACCATGGTTTTTGGGCAGAATATCATCGATGTTCAGGAGAAGACTGTTGGACAGCTTCTCGTGCAGGAAGTCTTGCATCCATTCTACGTGTTCCAAGTGTTTTCCATGGCTCTTTGGTTCGCGGACGATTATTACTACTATGCGGCTTGCATCTTTGTCATTTCGACCGTCTCCGTAGTCACTGAGCTGGTGGAGACTAAGAAGACTATGCGGAGGATGCGTAACATGTCGCGATTCACTTGCAACGCAAAGGTATTTCGCTCTGGCAGATGTAAGTGCAGTTGTTTGTTTATCTGTGCAGTAACCAGGCATCTCATCTTATGCAGCATTGTTAATCAATGACAATTTCATGGTTTTTTAGGGCGATATATTGGATCAGAAGAACTTGTACCTGGAGATGTCTTTGAGGTCACGGACTCTGATTTGGCTGTCTTTCCTTGCGATGCCGTTTTATTATCAGGAGACTGTATTGTGAACGAGAGCATGCTGACAGGAGAATCTGTGCCAGTGTCAAAGATCCCTGTTACGGATATCGCCCTACGGGAACTGGATTTATCGCTTTCAAATATTCCTGCAGAAATCGCTCGCCATTTCTTGTTTTCGGGAACCAAGATTGTGCGTGCGAGACCAGGAGCACCCCATCAATCAGGACCAGCAAGCGTGGAAGACGATGAATACGGCACCAGTGCTCCACCACGAGGCTTGGCCATGGTCGTAAGAATCGGGTTCAACACAACAAAAGGAACTTTGATTCGCTCCATGCTCTTCCCAAAGCCCAATGATTTCCAATTTTACCGCGACTCTTTCCGGTTCATTGGAATCCTTGCCTTGATCGCCTGCGCCGGTTTCCTTATTTCGACCGTCAACTTTGTGCGCATGGGCGTACCTTTCAGGATGATGATCGTTAAGGCTCTAGATTTGATCACCATTGTCGTGCCGCCAGCCTTGCCCGCTACCATGTCGATCGGCACCAGCTTTGCAATCGCACGACTGAAGCGTTCCAACATCTTTTGTATCAGTCCAACGAGAGTCAACATTGGTGGCAAAATCAGCTGCATGTGCTTTGACAAGACTGGAACACTTACTGAGGATGGTCTCGATGTCCTCGGGGTACAATGTGCTGATAGCGCGACTGGAAAGTTTGGAGAGATGCTGGAAAGTGCGGATGCGATGCAGAATGCATCCGAGACCATCCTGGAGAAGAGTATGCCGTTGCTCTTTGCCATGGCAACTTGCCACTCTGTCAAGTCAGTCAACGGCGAGTTGATCGGCGATCCGTTGGATCTCAAGATGTTCGACTTTACTCATTGGGTCCTGGACGAAGGTGGTTTGGGAGCTAGGATTACTAATATTTCGGAGTCATTGCAGAACGGGAGCAAAGGCGACATGGGCGGTATCGTTTCGACAGTCGTTCGACCCCCTGGTGGGAAACAGTTCAACCTCGAGGATATGATCGCCAACCATAGCACTCATGAGATGACTGAGGCTGTAAGACACTCACTATGCTACAGAGGTGCACATCCACTAATTTTCAGTTTTGGTTCTAATATGCACTTTGTCTCTCTTTATTACTTTCTCGCCTGATAGAACACATTCCTGGAACTAGGCATCATCCGCTGCTTTGAATTTGTTTCTTCGTTGCGCCGAATGAGCGTTATCGTGAAACGGCTCCACAGGCCAGGCATGGAAATTTTTGTGAAAGGAGCACCTGAGGTCATGACCGACATCTGCTTGAAGGAATCGCTGCCCCTGGATTATACGGAGCGTCTTGCATACTATACACACCATGGGTACCGTGTCATTGCATGCGCGTACAAGTTGGTGACGAACCTGAACTTTGTACGCGCTCAACGAGTGAAAAGGGAGCAAGTGGAATCCGACTTGACATTCCTGGGATTCATTGTCTTTGAGAACAAACTTAAGCCGACAACCGCGCCCATCGTGGCAACCTTAGGCAATGCTCGCATCCGCCAGGTTATGTGCACTGGAGACAACGTCCTGACCGCCATCAGTGTGTCCAGGGAGTGCGGGTTGATCAACAAAGTGCGGGAGGTATATACGCCTCGTTTTATATCCGGGGACTCGATGACAGAAACCGCTCAGATTGTATGGGAAAACACCGATAACGAGCGCATGACATTGGATCCAATAACGCTCAAGGTAAGGCGTTTACTATGGACCCATACGATTGATTTGTGTGTATGGAGCGGATAGCATTGCTAATGTGAATATGTCATTTTTTAGCCATCCACATCCTTGTCAGACGATTCGACCAATGGTCCAGAGTTCCCGCGATATAGCCAAATGATGAATGACTATGTGCTTGCCGTTACAGGAGACTGCTTCCGCTGGATGGTCGATTATGCTCCTACTTCGACGTTGAACCGGATGCTGGTCAAGGGACAGATCTTTGCGCGCATGTCTCCGGATGAGAAGCACGAGTTGGTGGAACATCTCCAAGGAATTGGGTACTGTGTGGGCTTCTGCGGCGATGGAGCAAATGACTGTGGTGCTCTCAAGGCAGCCGATGTCGGCATCAGTTTGAGCGAGGCAGAGGCGTCTGTTGCTGCCCCATTCACCAGCCGATCCAACGATATCGGATGCGTTGTTAAGGTTATTCAGTACGTAAGCCCACGTTTTCTTTTGTTGATTGATCGCATCGCGCTATATTCAAGTTTTAATCATTGTCTGTTCATATTCTTATTTGGCTGTCATAGGGAAGGCCGAGCTGCTTTGGTGACCAGCTTCAGCTGCTTCAAGTACATGGCTCTGTACAGTATTATTCAGTTCACGACTGTCAGTTTCCTGTACGCGTTTGCCTCAAACCTGGGAGATTTCCAGTTCCTGTACATCGACCTTGTCCTCATTCTACCCACAGCCGTCTTTATGGGTCGCACGGAGGCCTATCCTGTTTTGAGCCCCAAGCGTCCGACTGCGAACCTGGTCTCCAAAAAGGTCTTGACGTCCTTGATCGGCCAGATTCTGATTCAGTCGTTGTTTCAAGGGGCCATGTTCCTGATTGTGCGCCGGCAGCCTTGGTACATTCCACCGGACTATGATAGCGAGGAGAAGAACATTGAGTGCTATGAAAATACGGTCCTGTTTCTGCTGTCGTGCTTCCAGTACTTGTTGGTTGCCATTGTCTTTAGTGTTGGGCCACCCTACCGCAGGCCTATGGCTTCTAATCGTAAGGGGCACTTTACGGATAGCTTTTGGTCAATTGTGCTGTATTTTCTTGCCTAGTTATTAACGCTATTCATGGTCGTTGTGTATTCTATAGGTCCATTCGTCCTCATTACCGTCGGATTGGTTCTCATATCGGTGATCATGGTGCTCTTCCCGACCCAGTGGATCGCTGACGTGATGCAGCTTGTCCATATACCCTTTAGCTTCCGGGTATTTATTCTGATTTTGGCAGGAATTGACCTTGGAATCTCTCTCGTGTGCGAATCGCATCTATTTCCAATCATTGCCCGCTGGATCGGGGAGTGGTTGAGTTCTCGGAAGGCCCACAAGGAGCAACAGCACTGGCATCAGCAGCAGGTGTATGAGCCTCCACCACAGCAGCATATTCAGCAGAATGTTGGGTATGGAAGCCAGGATGTGACAGACCCTGCAGTCGTCCAGGGCAACGCGCATGATGGTTCAGTAGCCGTGGCGGTGGATCTGTATGGAAGGGCTCCTGATGAGGGATCTGGGACCAATATTTCTGGCGCCAACAAGAACCTGGCCAAGAAAACGAGTATTAAGATCTACAAGATGGTTGAGGACGAGATGATGGAGCTATAGACGGGCACTATAATAGATAGTCTAGACGCGTTTAAATAAGATTATATAAGGCTGTATGGAGACCAAATGAGGGCAGACTTTTTGCATGTGTCGAAGTGAAGATTTGCGCTGTGCAGTCTCAAATTTATTATCCTACAAACAGCTCCACGCTGCAGTAGGTGGTCAGGCATTGTGATCAGGTATTTGTGCGCTTTATGTTTATTGCTGTTTAAGTAGGACTTGAGAAGGAGGAGTGGGGGGGGAGAAGTTTCTAAAACGAAGTGGTCCCACTTGGGAAAGGATGCAGTTTTTTTTTCTTTTCTTGGTGTAACCCTCATTATTATTGTTTTAAAGTTTGTAATCAGATTGCCAAACAAAGGACTAACGGTCGACTGCCGCCCTCTCAAAGAAGCAGTGCGCCGGCCGAGAAGATAGCTCCGAACATGGCGGTGAAGACCGAGTACTTTGCTGCAGCAGACAAGATGCCGGCACTCTTTCCATCCGTGCTGGTCGTCGATGGTGCCGCACCGTTTGTAAAGTCCGCTCCGCACTTGAGCTGAACTTCGGACTGGACGACCTTTGCCCAGTTCAAGACCTGGGGCCTCAGCGAACTCTGGTTCTGTGCGATGTAATTGTTCAGCGGATTGATCATCGCCTTGTTACAGGGGGTGCAGAGCAGGTCCTTGGGCATGCTGTCGACATACTGCTTCAGAACCGTGGCGTTCGAGAAGATCTTGAGTCCAAGTGGGGAGGGATGCTGGGCCAAATAGGCTGTCATGGATTCCGCCAGGACAGTGATGCAGAAAGTTCCGTTGTTGGGGGTCTGGACGCGCTGGCACACACCCTCGCGGAAGGGGACATAGAGAGTGGCGGCACCGTAGACGAGGTCCGCTGTGGTGGGGTCCGAGGTGTTGACGCAGTTCTGGGCAGCAGTGTTCTCGACGAGGGTGATGGTCGTTGAGGAGCAGACTGGGTAGGAGCAGACGGCAGCGGCGGTGTCGTTGACGAGCTTTGGGGTGATGGGGCCCGACACCAGCAGCGTGAGCTGTGCCATGGGAACACAGGTAGTGAGGCTAGGGTTGGAGAGGAGACCAGCGAGTCCGACAAGGCATTGGTCCGCGACGTCGGCATGTGTGAAGGAGGGGACGAGGACGGTGCCGAGCACAAGGGCTATTGTCGAGGCAAGGAATGTTGACTTCATTATGGAATGGGGAATCAGAAGTGGAGGATGAGAATGAGGATGAGGATGAGAAAGGAGGTGAGGACGAGGATAAAAGAGAAAGAATGGTGGCAAGAAGAGATAATTTATGCTTGGCCAACTCTCTGCTTCTCGCCCCAAAAGGGCTCTCTCGCGTCTCCCTCGCGTAAGAGCACTTGCGAGCGGAGCATGAGCAGCTTAAAGTGGTACCTGGGACCCCTGCCCTGAATCCCTCCACATCCACGTGCAATTGATCCAGGTACATTTGATGCCTGAAATGTAAACCCTTCGCCATTTGCGTCATTGGATGCGGTCTCATTGGCCCCCCCCCGTTTGATAACGTCTGTGCGCGTCCTCCAAGGACCATCCTTGCTGTCTCGTGTTCTCAATTGCTGCTGACAAAAAGGGAGCTAATAGCTCTATGAGATAATGTCATACGGACTGAATGCAATAGATGTGAGGTCCCATACCCAGCACGCGTCAACGCGTCAATGCACCGACGCGTCGATACGTCCAGGCTCATCAAATGGTAGTGTGCACCGTTCATTACTAGTCTATGCCTTCCAACAACAATAACAACAACAACAACAACAGTAATTTAGCTTGACAATTAGGGTGAGTCAGAATAAAAGGGTAAGAATATTAGCTGCTGCGCTAAGGGTCCGCACCGATTTAAAAGTGAGCTCGGGGCCGAGCTTTGTTAAACAAACGGACTCTACCCTGGTATGAGGAATGAAGTACATGCAATATAGTCAGCCTCCGGCCTAAAAAACAAAACACAAGGTGTGCTTTGTCCTCCCAAACATCGCCTCATAAATCCCTGCTCAGTGGTCTCCTGATATCTAACCATAGTCTGTCCTGAGGATCTTTTGATCTTCGTTGGATGTTCAGTTTAATAAATAATAAATATGGAGCTGCAGGACGAGGCCACCTCTTTTTTTTTGGCCGTGTAACCATCCGCCATTAAACATTAGTCTGATAAGCACACATCAGGCCATGGGTGATTTGGCACCACAAATCTGTTTTTCAAACTCGTGAAAATCCTTTCCCTTGTAGCCCTTTTTTTTTTTTTTCGAAGGAATTGATACCAAAAGCAATTTTCAATCGAAATGCTTGGTCGTCAACAAATTAGTGGAAGGCGTAGTAATATTGTTCATTGGTCATGACCTTGAGAGCAGCAACACTCTCCTTCTCGGTCAAGGCCGAGTTGTCATCGGGCGATGCAGTCGTAGTTTGGGTGTCGAGAAAGTCCGTCGGAGTCATTAACGACACTATCGTTTTTGCAGTGATTGTGTTGCGCGGAATTGGGTATCCGTTTGAAAAGACCTAGCGATTTGAGTGCACAGTCATTTTTTTCCTTCTTTATTTATTTTTTTGACGATCGTGCTGCTCCTGGGTGTCTTCAGGACGGTGATTTTTTAACGCGCTATACGGGAGTTTCCATCAGGCAGGAACAGCCTCTCTCCGGCGGACGTCGACTTGTGAGAGGATTTCATTGAGCAACGATCTCATTGATCTACTTTAAAAGGAGAAATTCTTCAATGCCAAAAAAGAGTCCAGAAAAAAGTGCGCGTCGACTACTTTTATTTTTTTTTTCAGTGCCATTTATTTTTCATACCGCATTATTCAAAACTTCTATTGACCAAGGTCGCGTGGGATCGAGAGACTATGGATGAAGCCCATAATAGCAATCATACCAATAAGGAAAAAGACGAAAAAGTAATTGAATGGGAAGCTCAGCTTGTTCGACAGCGACCAGGCCCAGAGAATTCCGCCCAAGGCGGGCCCGAATGCGCGCATGAACGAGGCCGACGTTTGCCCGATGCCATTGATGGTGCCGAGCAGATGAGGCGGCGACGAATTCGTGATCTAGTGGATGAAAAAGACAAGGCGGATCATGATACGTCAGGAAATGTAAAGCCGAGGGGAAAACGCGTCTATCTCTCTGAACAATAAATGCATCGGTATGGAAAAATAACATAAAAAAATGCCTCTTCACTTTACCATGACCATAATGGACGTGTATGAAAAGACGCTGCAAAAATACTTGAAGACTAGGACGGTCAGGACTAAATATCGCACGCGCGGGATCTGTCCGCCAGTCTCCGTATCCTCCTCGTCTACTGCAAAGGCGCGAATCATCGGGAGGGAGAGATAGACACAGACATACATAAGCTGTGCACATCGGAAGAGCCACACTGCTGAAAATCGCCGCTCCAGCTTGGGGTAGACCACAAACTGTAGGAACAGCTGCACGAGACCCATGCAGGCAAGACTGGTCGATAGCTGAATTGCATCCCAGCCCAATCCATGGGATGCCAAGGGCGTAACCGTATATAGAGTGTAGACCTCTTCGAAGATGATCGTGTGCAGCGCTAGCATTGCGTAGGCGACAATGGTCGTAATCGAGAGCGGAGATAATCCAGTATCGGACTGGACGACAAACAACTGGACAGGCTGATTTGGGTCTTTGTTTTCGGGATCCGGCGGCAGGACAAAGACCTGGGATGGTGCGACGGACATTCTATTCCGCCTTCCAGATTCAGGGTCATCGTGGTCGTCCATCATGTATCCATATAGGCTGAGGGATGTTGCGTCCGCAGGGATCGTGGTCACCCCTTGCGAGTTCATTAGGAACGGATCTGCACCCGAGAATATTCCGCCAGATGAAAGTGGCCGAGACGCATAGAATGACGAGTATCTGGAGCCGATCGATCGCTCGACATAATTACGGCCCATGGCGTCGATAACGGATACTGAAAGGCGTCTTTCGGGGATATTGCTCGTTCTTGTTGGGTTCACTCTCCGTGAGAGTGTCGACCTTGCAGAGATAGATGTATAAGTATCTGGGATGTGCTGCGATAAGCCATTGTCTCTTGTATCCAAGGCCAAGGTCATCATGGATCCGTATTGCGATCGACCTAGGTTACGACGCTTCCCGGATTTGACCTGCTGCGGCTGTGACATACTTGGAGTCATCATGAACGATTGGCGCTCGAGATCGACATCAGTGGACGCTGTGGCTGTGGCATCAGCATTAGTACCAGTGGGTTTAGCAAGCTGAGAATATTGATTTGTACCGGAGGGGCCCTCTTCCATTTCTTGGTCGTCGTTTTGGTAGCTGTCTGAATAAACATCATCCTCCTGAAGTTGCGCTTCCTCCTCAGCAGTATTTTTTCTGCCCTTGGTTTCTTCCAGGAAAAAATAGCCGACTATGAACCCGACCACGCTACCCATGGCAGCAACAAAGCATGGGAGAAAGTAAGGGTATTCGATAAAGAACGCCCAGTTGCCAAAGATATCAGGAAATGTCTTTGCAGGATTGGCGAGATATCCTCCCAAGACCGGTCCTATTGACGATGCAATGGATGAAAGGCGTTATAGTCTATCATTTGGCAACAGCTCATACCAACGATCTCGTCCCCGCTGAACCTGCTTTTCATACCAACAATCTAACATTGAATGAATGAAGCGATGAGAGCCGCGGTTAGTCATAGATTGCCTTGCGGACGGAATATTGGCAACAAAGACCCTCTGTTCCCTACCATTCCAATGCCCCATGCAAAACCAAAGATGCTAAAGGCCTGCGATTGATTTGTATGGTCCGCAATCTCACCAAGCATCGATTTGGCTACGCCAACGTTTCCTATGAAGATACATGGAGCCGGTAAGAAGACAATCCAATGCAATTTGTCCTTTGTGCAGGAAGACTGTAATGTGCGCAGAAGAATTTACCATTGAGGAGACCGCACATGGATCGACTGATGATGGCCCAGGCCAGACTCTTGCTCAGCCCGAAAAAGATACATGCAATGGTCGACCCACATAGGCCGAAGAGAAGGATGGGCCGTCTGCCATATCTGTCGGACATGTAGCCCCAGAAGATGGAGGTACAGAACTGCGCAAAGAAGAAGGACGACGCTGTATGTGAGATAGTAAAGGCAGTATGGATTAGCACTACTATGGATCTACGGCTGAGTATTGCGCCAGGTTGCCACTGGTTGTGCCTACCGATCAAGCCGCAGAAGAAGCCGATCTCGTCCTCATTATCGGTGAGATGAAAGTCCCTGAATATGGTACGGAAGTGACGCGTAGTTAGCGCTTTTTCATTTTCTTTCTTTCTTTCTTTCTTTCTTTTTTTTTCTTTCTTTCGCGGATAGGCGGTATACGACGCAGGATATAGAGAACACTATGGGTGCAGAGAACAGTATTCTTACCGGACCTAGAAGGCGAGCATGCATATAGGGAAGGGCAAAAAGGGCACGTTTAGTCACAGGGTCAGCTTTTGGTGAGAGTAGCAAAGGGGTGAGTCATTTGCAACACAAAGAGAATCCACAGCAAATGCAACGGACACGACAAAGGGACGAGCTACATCGCGGACATGTGTGGAAATCGCGTGCAGTAGTGTCCGTGCGTAGGGCAGAGGCATAGGCGGTGGTTCCCATTTCAGGAAACCATTCGTGCTTCCCACGCCTGGCTTTCAAGGTCAACATACCATAAAGTACACAAAGGGGAACAGGATCGTCGAGGTCAGGGGGTCCGAGAAGATGACAATGCTCAGCACGAAGAGAGGGACCCTGGGCAAAGGGGTCGGCGTAGGCTTCTGAGGGGTCAACAGCATCGACCTCTCATCATGACGATCCCCATCCATATCCTCACCATGCAGGCCATCGTTACTGTAGTTATTGTACGGTCCAGCATTCGACTGTGGCCTCTGGTTTGCAGAATATGGCCCATAGTCGTCCAGATCCTCCAGCCGCTCCACGTGAGCGTGTTGATCATTCGATGTCCCCGCATTGTTCTCGTCGTTTGCGGTATATATGGAAGGGTCATGCTGCGATTGAAACCCTTGAGGGTCAGTCTGCGTCGAGTCACCGTCGCCGTTACTCAGGGCCTGTGTCTCTGTAGCAGCTGCGCGATATGAGTAGTCAGGAGTGCTACCTGAAGTATGGTGTCTCTGATGAGAAGAGCCTGGACCTGGCCGAAGTGCTTCCTGGTTGCTAGGCTGGTAATTTGGCTGGAGGTAGATCTGCGCGATTGAGGGCACAGACATCGGGCGGTAGTGCGACCAGGCATAGACATTGGCACTGGCGGGTCGGTCTTGATGGTGTTGTTGTCTGGATGAACTCCGTGAGGGACGGAGGCTGTGAGACGTGGACAGGAGTTCGCTCATGGGACGCTCTTGCGAGGCTGAACGCGAGAGAGAGTAGAACTCTTGCAGTGTAGGATCCATCTTGGAGATTGGCGGTTAAATGGATAATTTCAAGAAGAGAGTGAGAGTGGTGCGGCCATGCAAAGGGGATGGATGGAGATGACTGAGCCAGTTACGAGAAAGAAAAGAGAATGGGCAAGAAGAAAGAAGAAGAAGTAGCGAGAGGAAAGGGAGAGGAAGGAGGAAGTGAAGAGTTCAAAGGATGGGGTGCAGATGGCTATGCGAATGAGACCCTTTTCCGCCCTTTCTTCCCCCTAGTGAGGATGCGTACACAGGAGAGGAGAGGCACCCTGAGAGAAAGAGAGGAGAAAGACTGGTCCTGCACTGCAATGCCGATGGGGCGGGATAGGATGGGATGGGATGGGGTGGCGCAATTGAACACATCCACGCAATGTGTTGAGTGAGGACCCCCCATGGACTCCCCTGCTCCTGCCCAGGCTGTCCTCGACGCGTCAAACCAGATGGCTGAATGTGGAGTGCGCCTGTGTGTCCAAAAACGGAAACTGAGCCTAAACTATATCCTCCTCTGTTTCCCGCCTAACAAAGAAGCAGGAACCTTGGCATCGTTTAGTCTATGTCCTTTCATTTCCCCCCCCACTCTCCACTCCTCCGCTGCGCACACACACACAACCTCCAGTCCAGATTGCCAATGCTGTCCATCGCTGCCCGTTGCACTCCCTCGATCCACGGGGAAACCCTTTAGGCGGAACTCCAATTGCTTGGAAATAACGACCGCACTCCCTGACCCCATCCTCCGGTGGACGCTGTTTCCCATGACGAGGGTCTCACTCTCAATAGCGTCATCGGGGCTCAAATACGAACAAAAAAAAAAGAAGCAAGAAGGAAAAAAGAAAAAAAGAAAAAAGCTTTACAGCTGATCAGCTTGTCAGTCTGGGATGGACGATGAGATGACACCAGTGTTCTCATCTGCTCTCCGCCATGGCCATGGCAGAGGGCGGAAGCGGAGGCGGGATGGCCGCAAATAAGGTCAAGGTTACAAGCCCTCGACAAGGTTTCCGTTTTGACTCAAAAGGCGTGGGATGTATGACCGAGGGCGATGACTCCGTCCGCTCCATGGGATGACTCATGAGCAGCACCGACAAAAACAACAACAACAACAATCTCCCCCCTCGCCTCCTCACTCCTCACTCCTCACTCCCCTCTTTCTTTTTTTATTTTTCTTTTTTTATTTTCGCCACCAAAAGATCACCCCACGCCTGCGCGAATCCTCATTCGAATCAACCAAGGATCAGCATCACCCTTTTCATCCAAAGCACACCAGATCCCTCTCTTCACTCTTCTCCCTCGGACCCTACCGTGCTCCTGACATTCCCCATACTCCCGCCAACCCCGTCGACGCCGCTGAAATGATTGTCGACATCCTCCCCTTTCGGCTGCAGCTTGCCTCGCTCGGAAAGACGGACATCCCGCGATGCACACACCAGCTCATGAAATTGGTCCTCTTCCCCAAAGGGTACGAAGCCGTTGCTTCAAATTGCCTCAGCCTACAACTGGGAACTCTTGATCTTGTCATCCTTCTTCTCAGTCGCTTACATCAGTCCTCGGCCCATTTCTCTTTAGGCCCCGGCACTTTTTCTCATACACAGAAACGGACAAGGAAGTGTCGCTTATCCTCGATGAATCACATATCGGCGGCTTCCCCAAGGGCGCATTGAACGTCTGCAACGTTGTCTGGAGAGCCGTACAGATTGAACCAGGAGAGTCGGGCTTGGGTACGTCTGGCAAACGCGTGGAGTGTATGAACCAAGGTGCCATGACAACTCCATGCGATGTATCTGAACTCTCTTTCTTTATATCCCATGGTCCACAGGGGCGGAGGATGTGGTTTCTCAGGTGTCGAGACCCTTAGCGGACATCAATGTCTCGATCATGTAAGTACTTGAACTCTCCTTGGTTTGTAGTTTTTCTGTAGCAATCTCGACCCTGGACTCATCAGGGCTGCAGCTGCGCGATCAGGACCACACGGGCAGCTTGCGTCTTTGCCTTATTCCAGCGGACGAACGATAGTTGGACGATAGAATACTAGAAAAGCTGCCCGATCTGCTTAATGAAACATATTGTCGCACAAACAAGGCATCTCAGACAACTCTAATTTTCTCGCATGCGTCCATGCAAACCATGTATGCATGTTAGCTATGCACACCAAAGAATTCGATTTGCGTTGCTGACCCCTACTCTATCTGCTGCTGTAACCAATTGACGCTAGGCAAATTTCAACATACGATGCCGACTTCACATTAATGCCCGAGTGCGATCTCCAGAGAGCATTGGAGTGTCTGTCCAGCAAGTTCTCCATCACCAACAACCCATTGGAGGACCTGGGCTTGCAGGTGAGCGATCTAAAGTCATGGGAAGCTTCATATCCAACGAGTCCAAAGGCTATCAGCTCATTGCAGGATGCACTTCTTCTGGACCCAAGTACTCGCGAGAGGCAGGCCAGTCTGAGCGGAGACAGTGGAATTGCCAGCAGTGAATCGAGCAGGCCTAATAGCGATTTAGCCGACGCACAGCAGGATCCGGACCCGTCAGCAATGGCGACATTAACTCTCGGTGATGCCGAACAGAGTGCAGAGGATTGCAGTCGAACCAAAACGACTCGGCACCCATTTAATGCCAATTACCCTCACCGTTTGCATATCACCAGCATGGAGGAGAGCCATGTGGACATGCTTGCTATCAAGCTGCTCGAGTCCCTCTTTTTCGATAACAGGCAAGTTTAGACAATACTCATCATTGTTTTGTGTCCTTTCTTTTCTTTATTCCTTTCGACTCGACTAACGATTTTTCATTTTGCGTTATCTGCAGGATCGATCGGTTCTTCTCATTCACACAAACAGATACCACACTCAGCATCATCATGGACGACGCTACAATGAGTTTGTTTCCGGATCACACACTCAACACACATGCCGGAGACTGGCGGCTAATTGCCATTGGCGACGGACCCCTTGGGTTCAACGAATGTGGGATCGTAAGCGAGTTCTCAAGGCCGCTGAGCGAAAACGGAATCAGCTTATTCTATCTGAGCACGTTCAGCTCGGATTATATTATGGTGAACGACCAGGATTTTGAACAGGCTGTGGCGCGTCTGCATTTAACTGCCCAGACATCCATCGTGGGCGTAACGAGGCCGGATGTTACGTTGGCGTACGACGTCAGGGATGACCGGTCAATACGTTCTTCAGGATCTGGGACGGACAACGAGTCGGATACGGAGTCGGATGTGGACTCGGCGTCTGAGGTTGACCCGGAGGATTACGAGGGGGGTGGAAAGGATGATGATGGCCTCGAGATTGTGTTCGAGGACGACAGCATACGTAAATAGGAAGTTGCATAAACATGTGTACAATAAAATTATCTTAGCACTCCTCATTTATAATCTGAATCCCTCCACCTTGTCCTTGGCCTTTGTATCCGAGTTCTGTAAACTCACCCATGGTGATGATCACATCGACTTTGGCCCGCTTGATCTCGACCTTAAGGGCGGTCTTACGGTCTATGATTACGACATTTGAGAGCAGCGACATTTTTTCCTTCCCGACAAAAGGGTCGAGTTGAGTTGTCACCCGGCAAAATAGGTGTAGATGAGCTGACATGTTTGTCTTGCAATGCGATAGTTTTGGGTGTCGAGAAAGTTTTCGTTGGAGCTATTAATGATGTTATTGTTTTGCAGTGATTGCGTTGCGCGGAATTAGGTATCCGTTTGAAGCGATCCAGCGATTGGGCGCATAAGAAAAGAGTGTAATGCCTCGCGCGTCCAGCAGAAAGTAGAAGCATTCATCGTCTTTTTTTTTTTTTTTTTTATCGGTTGTTCTGCCAGGAGCACATTTCTCTGTGGTAGTTGTCGTAAATAAGCTAAAAATGTCCAAACTTGGGAGACAATGCCTGGACATGAAGCCAATTGCTGCTTCCTCTGTGCAGGACACTGGGCTACCGCTGGAATATGTCACCTTGGATCCCGTCTGCCCTTTTCAGTCACCGCCGACTGCTGATATCAGGGCCTCTGTTGGTAAGCCCCATTTTCAAGGCCGAGTAGTATAGGACAACAAAGGCATCCGATCCAATGTTGCTGTGCATATGTGTCCTCCTTTGAGTAGCGCTTTGTGTTGGATCCGTGGACGAAACTGGAGCATGGATATCGTTGCAGAATGGTCGTGAGTATGGGAGGGTCTCTCTCAGTCTGTCACTGCGGTCGACAGTCGAAAAGAGTGGGGGGAGGATGACGATGGGAAGAGGATTGTCTGCCGCATTTGGAAGAAAATGTTGAGCCTTGGCACTCGACATTTCCAAACAGAGGATGATTTCGACACGTCGGATGCTTGGCAGTCTGTCTGCGCATTATCGTACTCCTCTTTTTCTCCCTTGCACAAACAAAAATATCGATCGTCTACTTCCTCAAGAACACGCGTTGTGGTTACGCAGACATGTTTCGAAATAGAAAAAAATGCTGCACTGCGAACGCAAAGACCGTTGGCATCCGATCATGACAATGGCGCCGTCAAGTTGCGGGGTTCGTCTTAGGTATAAAAGCGTCCTGGTCCCCACCTCGACCAGAATACATACATAGTCATTCAGCCACAACTTACCAGCAGTAACACAGCAACTCAGCAGCATAGCAACACCGACAAACCTCTTTTCTGACAAACCAACACCACCTTCCTCTCACCTAGCCATGTCTTTCATCTTCAACATCTTCTCCGACAACTCCGTCACCCCCTCTGAGAAGGAGAACGCAGCTGCGCTCAAGGCCATCATCAAGGACCACAAGACAGCGCTCAAGGCCGAGAACAAGCGGTTCGAAGCCGAGTACAAGCAGGCGGTCAAGGATGCCGAGGTCGAGTACAAGCGAGCGAAGCAGGAGGCCAAGGACGACTTGATCCGTAAGACCCTGGATGCTGTCAAGCGCGAGGTTGATATCATCACGGCCACGGACGAGTTTGCAAACTCGGATGCAAAGACCAAGGGCAAAATCGAGAGATTCAGGGCGTGGATGAGCAGCGCGGAAGAGAAGCATTTTGGCGAGAAGGACGAGGATCTGGAGGTCTTTGAGATCTTTGAGACGGAAGTTGACACGAAGAAGAACAAGGACTGATCCTTGTGTTGTTAACCCCATCAACGTGTAGAATGAAATAATAAAAAAAAAAGCGAATGTTAGTCAACCCCCCTTGCATACGACGCGCTGCTGTGGCATGCTGCGATAAGATAAAAAAAGATGCGGATCTACAAATTGCCATTTTTGGCAGAGCTATTGTTTTTTGGTGCCTGTGGTGCCTGAATGACGACCGGGGCTTCATTCAAAGATCCGCCGCTGTCATCGCTGTCATCGCTCATTCCACCTCCACTCTTATAGAATCCCCCCGATCGAACACCTCTCCATCAACCTCCCCACTCTGAATCCGCCTGATCCATCGACACCCCATTCGCAACAGCCCCCCTCTTCGTCTTGAATGTCTCCGCCCTGAGCATGCCCATTCTCTCTTCCCTCACTCCAGACTCCCTCTCCAGCACTATACCCTCGGGCATCTCTGTCCTCCGAACAACCAGCATCCCCTCTCACCCCAACATACAATCGACATGGCACCCGCAATCTGGCCCCAGCAATGTAGACCAACCCAGGATTAAAGGAGCAACTCCTCGGCCGATTGTGGCATATGCTGTATCTGAACTTGGCGATAACAAGGACACTGTCCGGGGATCTGCCACGGTCGGTGTGCCCACTGCAGTGGCACGATCCATGCTTCTCCAGGGGCTTCAATTCTGGTACAGGGTCCCCATCAAGGTACACTGAACCACCTCCTGATGATGGCTACGTGGTTCCTGCAGAATGGAGACCTGTATGTTGCTGCTCAGCCCAACTGACACTTGCTTGCTTTTTTTATTGTTGTTGTTGTTGTTGTTCATCGTCCATGGATGAACAGCTGTTCCGCCCAATGCGTGTTGACTATCTGGTCATGGCTCGAGCAGTGACCATGGGCCTGATCCCGACACCCGCCCACCGACTCCCACTCGTCCAAACAATCACACATTCCAAACACGCCCAATTCTTCCGCGCGACCTCGATCGGGATGCTCGCCCTCGCGATCCGGACTCAGGGCGCCGGGTTCGTCTATCGACAGGTGCTTCCACCGCTAATCATGAATTCGTTCATCGGATCCGTGCTCTATACGACCTATATCTTCACGTTACCGATCTTCCATCCCGCTTTTACGTATCAGAAATCGAGGACGTTCCCGCCACCACCGTTTCCGGCCGTCTTTATGGCAGGGGCTCTCGCGGGCGCTGCTCAATCGCTCATCGCGGCACCGATGGATTCGTTGAAGATTAAGTTTCAGGTCCAGGATTTGGCCCAGGGAGGGAAGCATAAGAGTATGACCGGGTTCGCAATCACAACGTTGAAGGAGTTAGGGCTCAAGACCGTCTACAGGGGGTTTGCGCTTACTCTTGTCAAGGTATGCCAAAAAAAAAAAAAAAAAAAAAAAAAAACCACGACGACGAACCAGGATCAAGTTTAATCGCCTTTTTTTTTTTTTTTTTTTTTTTTTGCTGAGACGCTATGAATATTCATATACCCGTTTTATTCTCTTTGATTACTAGGACTCCTTGGCGTGTGGATTGTTCTTTGGAGTGTTTGAATGGGTAAAGCAGCAGGGCTACTACTACTTTATCGACGAGCTCTATGGGATCCGCGAGGACATGGAGGCCCTTAATGCGAAGATGGACCAGGACTATGCGACATTTGCTCAGCAGGAATCCCAGGACACCGCCACCATCACCATTACCACCGAATCATCTACGCCCATACCCGTTATCCCCACAGAGATCTCAACAACCCCATCAAGACCATACCTGTTGCTGGAGCCAACCTTTGTCCTTCTGGCGGGCGCTGCTGCCGCTGTTGCATACCAAGCGGTTGACTACCCACTGGAGCAGGTCAAGAACATCTTCTTTGCCAAAGAAACCGAGCTTCAGGTACAAGCAGACCGTCGTGGACCTGCGGCTCAGCACTCTCAGCACCTCAATTCGTCCTCGATGCGCTCGGGTACTTCGATCTCCTCACAACTGTACCAGATGACATGGGAGGAGTGTCGGGCGCAGGCAGGTCTGGCAGGAGGATGGCGTCGGTTCCTGTTTACGAATTTTGCGACGACGGCAGTACGTGCAGTCCCGGCAGCGAGTGTGGGGTTCCTGGTGTTCGAGGTGATGAAACGGAAGTTGGACGCGAGGATGTATGAGAACGAGGATCGGGAGATGGAGACGTACCTGGATAGAATGATGACGGAGCGTGAGCAGGAAAGGCGGGCGGAGAGGAAGGCTGTGATAGAGGCAGAGAGGCTGGAGGCCGAGCCGGCGTATGAGGCGATACGGGAGCGGGAGTATGAGAAGCAGGAACTGGCAGCGCACTAAGAAACCCTAGATTAATTTCATGCCTACAAAAACAGATTAAAGGAGGAGGGGTGTGACTGGATGCTGAGGCTGGTTTAAGACGGGTTGAAGATGGTTGGTTGAGGGGTGTATGCTTTGGCGCTAATCACCAATAGGATGTGATGCATGCATGGAAATCATGCAAGGGAGCTGCACAGGCAGTTCTGTGCGACCATTCATTGGACGCGCGTGCAAAAACGGCAGAATTCGAAAAAAATTATATGTATTAAAAAGAAAAAGTGGATGATAACCACAAGGATGTTCAGGCTGTCAGACCCCCCCCCCCTCCCAGGATCCGATGTGGATATGGAATTGCATATGGATGCTATACACAGGTACCAAAAATGCCACATCGCCTTGCGTGGAATAGATGGGCGACTTCCATACGATCGTTGGGTTCCATCCATTGATGAGTAAAAAGCATGAAACGGACTAGGACTGGCGTGGATCGGTGGCGGTGGATATGGTGATTTACAATTAGTATGAGACGCATCCACTCACGCAAAAAAAGAAAAAAAAGAAAAAAAAGAAATGCGCTATCCTCACTTCCTGCATTTCTTAAATAGGGCAAATGATACAAAAAAGAGCAAGTGTGATCACTGCCGATTGACTGAATCGATTCAATTAGAACACACCTTGGCATGAGAGACATAAGAAAGAAAGAGAGGTCCGTTAATATTGATGCAGATCAAGTTCAACAAGTATTTATTCTTCGCAAGTGTGTGGGAGTACGTCCACAGGATGGGGTTAGTGTTATGCTGGGTTGTTCCTATGGCGCAGGTAACTTCAAAGAAGAGGGACTTGGATGAGCGACAGTACAGTATGAGTGTGTGCGTGTGTGAGTGAGAAAGGGAGGCCAGGAGCAATAAAACAAAGGAAGCATGCGTGCGATTATTGGAGCTACCAGTTGACAAACAGAGCGAATGATCACCGAGTCAGTCAAAAAAGAACGCGTTCGGCCTGTGTCATAGAAACCCCTCCACAAAGAACACAAACACCCATGCATACTTTACTTACCAGTAAAAAAAGAAAGAAAAGAAAAAGAAAATAAGAGATGAAGAAAACAAAAGCCGGGGCAATAGGAAAGCCAGAGACGCGCGTCCTTGGCCTCTCAGATCCATTCTGACCTGTCCGTTACATTTCCCCTCGTAATCGCGTGTCGCGTTGGCTATTCGTCATCATGTTACAACCAGACTCTCCTTCTAGTTAGCCTTCATCGTGCTATCATTGCCACCGTCTCCGATACACTGACAGCAACGCCGACAATAGGCGCAATGTCGACAGAGTTCTCCCGGCGCAAGACTCATGCAATTCTCACAGAGACCGGCGCCGTGAACATCACGGCCGTAGAGGGTGCTTCCGCCGTCGAGGGTCATGCGGCGTGCATGTGCATGTCGGTTCTGTTCGGTCGAATTCTGGGCTTTGCAAGAAGAACCACCGTCCTGCTTGGTGCTCGGGATCGGGATAGGCTCGGACGTGCTGGAGCGCGATCCTTGTTGTTGCTGTTGCTTGGAAATCATGGGCTGGGATGATGCTGAGGTTGAGGAGCTCTGCTCAGGAGTATTGTAGGACATGGTTTGTTAGTTTGTTGATTTGTTGGCTGGGTGTCGCGACGCGTGTTTTGGTGGCACAGTGGGGTGGACACACTGGGACGAAGGGGGTGGATGATGCCTGTTGTTATCCTGACCTTGAAATAGGGCGAACGGATGGATCGAAAAAGTGTCGTGACGGAAGGATTAAGGGATATACTGTGGATCGATGTTGTTGTTCCTGCGGTCGAGGGGAGAAAGAGCAGGAGGAAGAGAAGGAGTAGGAGAAGGAGAAGGAGAAGAAGAAGGAGGGAAGAAAGGAAAAAGAAAGAAGGAAAGAAGGAAAGAAGGAAATAAAGAAGGAAAAGTGGTGAAGGGGTGATTTATGATTTTGAATAAGGATTTGTATTATGATATGGATTGTATGTGATAGCTGTAGAATCAAACATCATCCATTGATCCGTTTCTCTCTTTGCTTGCTTCCTTTTAGTCTGGGAACACACTTCCACCTGTCGTCTTTCGGCTTTCGTGCCATTCCCCCAAAGTGTGAGGTGCGGGTAACCTTGAATGAATCTCCTCTCTCCCATCAGAGTGTGGTAACTGCGCTGACCACCATCCATTGACCACCATCGAGCACCATCGAGCACCATCGAGCACTATCGAGCGCTTGTTGCCCAGTCGGGAAGAACATACACCGAACCATCGAACCATTGAGCCATCAAACAATCGAACTATTAAACTATTAAAGCATTAAACCATTGAACTATTGAGCCATTGTGTTACTGTTGGTTCCTAGAAACCCTAATTCATTTATTTTTTTTTCCTCCGCACATCGGTCGATCTCAAAGCCTTCGCGTGTTCAGGACAACCTTATCCACCAAGGCCTCGACTCTAGGCCATTGTTGTACAGCAATCCGCCGAACACTCTCCAGCTCCTTCTCCAGAAAATCGTACTGTGCCAGTCCTGTGAACAGCAGCTCAAAATCTTCTGTCCTTGGAGTCAGTCTCATCTCGCGACACCCTTCTTTCAACAAATCCTCGATCTCTCTGAACCGGTTATGTGTCAGCAGCGCATTCAGATATGCCGTAAAGACCTCCGGTGCCGGCTTCAGCATGATGACCTTGCTAGGGAGCGGTGATGCCTGGACAGGTGGATCCATTGACGATGATGGGCCCGAGTCTGGTTCCACTCGATCAGGTCGAATGGGGCTCCTGGTTGCCGCGTGCCATATAGAGTTTAAAATGTCGATATATCCTCGCTCTCGGCAGGCCTCAATCAGATGGAGCAGATTGGTCGTCGACGGCACCCAGTTCAAGGGCTTCTCTAGGCTCTGCATCTGACGCCACGTTTTGATCACCCGGTCGGGCATACCATGACCGCCATATGCATCCAAAAGCACCTGAAAGTAATCCGGCGTCGGCTCCAGCTCTAGATCCTCCATGACACCCGAGATCTCGTCGATCCGTCCGACATTTAAGTTTGGTAGTGAACTATAGGCACTGATGAGGGTTGTGAGGGTGATGGCATCGACCTTGAGATTCCTGCGGTTGATCTCCTTGTAGATGAACTCGACCATCTCGACGTTGCCCTGTTGACCATAGGTGCGCATCAAGACCGTGAACGATATGATATCTGGCAACAATCCCATGTCCAGCATGGCGCCCCAGTACTCCTTGACCTTCTCCACATTATCCTGGATCGAATGGATGTTGACCATCGAGGTGAGTGTCTTGATCGTCGGTTGCACGCCAGTTTTGATCATTTGGTCGTAAGTGAGGTCGCATGCCGCATATTTTCCTGCGCGCATATGGGCATTGATGAGAACCGTGTAGCAGTGCACATCTGGTTTGATCCCTGCATCCAGCATCTCCTGATAGTATCGCAAGGCGCCTCGATGATCCATGATACTCGACATGTAGTCTATCAACATGGTGTAGGTATGAACCGAGACCTCCATCCTGGAGCTTCGCATCACTCGCAGCATCTGTTGGGCATTGTCGAGCTGGTGGTGCTCGAGGTAGAGCTGGATCAGTCGGCTGCAAATGGTGGCGTCGGGGTCGATCCGAAAGCTGTTCATCTGGTGGTAATAGTGCAATGCATCGTGCAGATTGTTCCGCTTGCAGCAGCCGGTGATCAAGATGCTGTAGGGCCAGGCGCTTGTCGGTCGAATATCTTGGGCAGTAAAATGGTCGTGAAAGATCTTGTTGGCGGTCGGAATCTCATTAGCGCGCACGTATCCGTCCAGAAGTGAGCTCACAATGACCTCGTTTACTTGCCGTCCCTTGGAAATCATATGCTGGTAGATACCCCTGGCCGCATCCAGGTCCATGCGCTTTCCATACACGTTCATCAGCACTCCAAATGTAAGATCGTTCATCTCCCCGGCTGGCAGCGATTTTAGAATGGCCTCCAGGCTGACGTCAACGTCCTCATCTTGGCCCGTTCGGGCAAAGACCTTGATCGTACTGGTGATTATCTGCGCACTCGGGTATACCTTGTTGAGCGCCATCTCCGTCTGAATCTGTGCAATCGCCTCCTCGTTACCGTCCTGTGCATATCCGTCGATCAAGGTCGAATAAGTAACAGAATCCGGCTTCATGTTTGATTCCTTCATCAGCGTCATGACCTTCCGCGCGCCTGTAAAGTCCCTCTGCTTGACAAACCGCTTGACAACCAAGTTGAAGATATACATGTTGGGTTGAACGCCATTCACGAGCATGTCGTCGAGAAGCCGATCTGCCTCACTCTGCATCCCATTCTTGATATACTGGCTGATCATTGTCGAATAGGTTGTGACATCGGGCCGCCGGTCATAGATGATACCCTTTCGCATATCCTCAAATATTTGTTCGGCCTCCTTGATCCGACCATTGGCACCTAATCCGCGTATCATGATATTGTAGCTGTTCTTCATGGGCACGAGTCCGTAGGTGTAAATATCTTGGTTAAAAGAGTCGATCGCCCGATTGATGTTTCCATATCGGACCATAATGTCCAGCATCATGTTGAGAATCCCCTGGTTGGGCGAATAGTACTTCTTCATGTCCTCGTAGACCTTTAGTGCCCACTTGGCCGTGTCTGTTGACTTTGACCTATGGAAGCAGCGCACCATGTCGTAGTAGACTGCAAATCGAAAGGGCCGTGGCGGCGATGTGCTGCTGTCCAAGGTGCCATTGAGCTTCGTGTAGGTGTGCCAGACGTGCTTGGCGTTCTTTGAAAGAATGGCTTTGTCCATCATCTGCCAGGGCGGAATAGGGTCGACCTTTGCTGTTGACTTGTCGCTGTCCGCGGCTATCCGATCATGCCTGCTGCTAAAGCTGTCTGCGATCGTCTCGTGTGGATTGTAGTGTTTCTCCGTGCCTGGTGGTGCGAGGAAACTGCCGATGGTTAACCGCGGCGGAGTCGATCGCTCCTGGGGTGCTTGGGGGGTCTTTGAGGGCTGTGACGAACTATCCTGATCGGCTGAGATTCCTGCGGCCGTACTGTATAGACGTCGGGAAGAATGTAATCCGGTGCGACTGGGTATTCGTGCGAATGTGGAATGAGGTCGGTGGAGTGGGTGGTGTTGCTGGCAGAGCAGGCGGATCATGAACGAGGCCAGCTGGCTGTCCCAGGATATCGGAGCAGCATGCTTGCCCAGGACTAGCTTGCAGGACTTGGCAGCATGCATCGGTGAGCGTGTAATTGATTTCGCTCGTTCTCCAGCCTCCTCGTCTTTTCGTGACTCTAGCTTGCTGGTTCCTGAACCTGAGATCTCCTGTCCTGTGAGGGATGTGGGATGTGGGAGGTGATCTCTTTTGAAGTGTCGCCTCGTATTTATGCCGTTGTTGTTATTAAGGGCCTGAATCAAATAGCCATATCGCTGTCCGCAGAACGCTTCGCCCTCTTTTTCTGCGGTAAAACAGCCCTTTCTCATACCCCCGATGCCGGACTCGACCAAGGACAGGCTCGGCGAAGTGGCCTCCTCCCTCACCAATGGATACAGCATCAGCAACAGCATCAGCACCTCGTCTGCAGCAGGGACAGGGACTCATCTTTTTCTGGACAGCTCGCCTGCATCATCTCTGAAGAGAATGAGCCATGGACAAGCCCAGTACCCAGTCAGACCGGACCCTTCGCCGCTCTCTCTTGCTCTGCCAATATCGATTAGGAGCAGCGGCAACAGCAACAGTAACACTAACGACAACACCAATGGCAATGGAAATGCCAATGGCCTGAACTCACACTCCTCGGGACTTATTTCGACCGGATATATGGATCACAGACGGGATACCTTTCACAGCCTATCGCACCCACCTCCGTCCTCGGCATCTTCGTATCAATACCTGACCAGCAACACCAACAGCCATTTCTCATTCCATCAAGATGACCATCAAGCTCCTCTCTCTTTTCACCACAGACCACAGACGTTATCCTATGCCAATCTACACCATCCACACCATTCTCCCCAAAACCAACACCAGCAACAACAACAACCTTCGTCTTCAACCCCATTTATGAACTCGGATGGGACCATGCGTCGAAGAAGACTATCTACGGCCTCGACGTCGTCTAAGCAACGCCGTGGATCCACAGCAAATATCCGATCGAAGACACATAACACGCCTCATCATACCCGTCGGTTTACGACTCTAATTTCAGACCAAGAACCTGACACCACCTACCTCTGGGGCTATCTTCTTTTCCTCTCGACCATGATCGGATTTACAGCGAGCATGTATGCACTCGTCGCCTCCAATTACATGCCCATGACAGGAAACAAGGTAGCTGCGAGGTGTCCTTTGCATTTACTTCTTCCTTGCTTTGTCATTGAAGACTTGTGATTCGTTATACTGACAGGACACGGCTTTACTTGTGACAGACACTCGATTGGATCAAGCAAGATAGTCATTACTGTATGCTGGTGCCCGTTACCATCCCTGTCACCGTGCTTTTCGTTTTGTTCAATTGGCTAGGCATGAAGCTGTTCCGACACAATTGAATAGGGGCACCGATCGGCCTTTTCTTCCAAACCGTTGCATCTTTTAAGGTGCTGGCGCTAATTGTATAGATCCGACAGAACAGCTCCCTCCCTTCCCCCTCATAGACCATTTTCTCTCTCCCTCTCTCTTTTTATTGTATTTCTATAAACACTCTTTTATTACCAACCTTTGACGCGAATCATAGGCAATTAAAAAAAAAAAAAAAAAAGGCACTGTTATAACAGCGGATATACAAGAAAAGCAACTGGGGTATTATCATTCTCATTTGTTGAACGAAAGAGGAGCGCTCCACTTAAACGTGAGGAATCATGGTTCGAGGTAAGGTCTCTGGCAACACGCCCTCGCCTCCATTTTCGACCGCGCGGACCAGATGCATTGCCACCGCAAACTCGTTCTCGTCCAAATATCCATTCGCATCCCAATCTGCCAGTGTCCAGACCTTGGCCAGGACCTCTGTTGACAGACCTGTGCTCATGAGATACGGCTTTGCAGTCGAGCCATTGATCCGTCCCTCAACCGGATGGAGCAACATGAACAGGGGCATCGAACTGGCCTTGTCGACCGACGAAAAGTGCCAATAGCTCGGAGGAATCTCACCACCGCTCAGATCGGCTTCTGTGTTGAGGAAGGGATTCTTCTGCGCTTGTTCCAGAAGCGGATTGCCCTGGGGGAATCGACGCATCAGCTTCGGCAGGTCCATCGAAAGTGCCTCCTCGACGGCTGCCAGGATCGGATCCTTGATCTTGGAAAAGCTCTCGAACTTGTAAGCCCTCAGGGACTGACGGAACTTTTCGACATTAGGGAAATCGCTTTCTGGGATATTGTAGAGCCGCTGGACTTTGAAAAACTCCTTGTCGAGATCACGGATCAGTTCCTGCTGTCGAGTGGACTTGCCAAAAACGGTGGGCATTTCTTTCCTGAGATGACCAATAATATACGCATGCACTTTGGCCAGTCGTGCACGCTTAACGATCTCGTTCACCTTGCGGATCGCGGCGTTGCGTGGGAGGTCTCGGAGTTCTCTCACCAAATCGGCCTGCTCTGCATCCAACAGCCCACGGCAGTCCTCGAACGCGTTCGCTGGCCGATGCAGCCAGAATGAACCCAGATAAACGCGTATGACCTCGGGTGTCTGAATAACCTTGCCAAGGGACCACATCAACGCGCCATAGACACGCATAAGTTGCTGCTGGTTCACCATATCGCTCTTGTTCAAGATCACTCGCACCTTCTCCTCATGACCCTTGAGTGAGTGGATCGACGCCTTGAATTCATCCGAGATATCGAGTTTATGTGAATCAAAAAACAGCAGGATCAAATCCGCGCGCTCTGCGAACCATTCGATCGTCTTTGTAAAGTCATAGCCGCGTTCGATGCGTTGTTTGTTGCCGGCGAGGATGCCGGGCGTGTCGATGAGGGTCATGTTTTCGAGGACAGGGGAGGGACATTGGGAGACTTGGAAGCGTGTCAGGAACGCTTGGCCGAATTTATTGAGACCTCGGAAGGGCATGTCTGCTGTCACAGCAGCTGCGTTTCCGGGGATCACACGCGACTCGACCCCGTTCATCACCGCCACAAACCTGTCAGTCTAATGGGTGTAAAGAGGCGTGTCAACTCAGGGTTCTGCGCAGAGGGTGATATATTGCTGCAAGAGAATGAGGGACGTACTGTTGGTTCGACGCCGATATGGGATCCAGGATAATCGCACTCTGTCAAATGTCTGATAAACGTCGTCTTGCCCTAATCAAAACGTGTCAAGGCATCGTTGTCAGTGTAGCATAGAAAAATAATAAAAGCTAACAATACGAATAACATCGGCCAATTTCCTGCAGTCATTACGTACTGTGCTATATTGTCCAAGGAGCAAAACCATCGGTTTGGCCTCGATATCACTGTCCGATAACGGCGCAGAATGGAACCCCTCAAAGTTGTACGTCGTCTCCAGTGGCCTAATCTTCCTGCGATATGTCTCCTTGAGTTCGTCCATGAGCGGTCTATAATCGTCATGGATTAGGTTCGAGTATGATCCTCCACCTCCGATCCCATGATACATTGATGTTGCTGCGCGAGTCGGCGCCGGTGATATTGCGTCAGCACACCCATTCTTACTAAACTTGTTCTTTTTGTGTCCTTGGTAACTGGCCTTGGTCGACTTTGTTGAGAGCATGGAGGGAACAGGGCTCGTTGCAGATTTGGTGGCTTCATCTCCATAGGGGTACTGTTCGCCTAAGGTGTACCCATAGTCGTCTAGTGGACTACTGGCAAGGACCATATCTCCTGTGGGACAATTGGGGCCACCACCGAGTCCAGCCTTGAAGACACTAGTCTTCCTCTTCATATCTTGAGCAAAGCCCATTGTGTACTGCTAATTGCCGAGCTGCTGTTGTTGCCTGGGGGGGGGGCTGTATTTTTACGGATGTCGACGAGAATGGTGAATGGGGATGTGTATGTGTTTGTGCGTGGTGTCTATGGCAGGTGTTGTGCAAAGTCGGGGATACATGCGAAGAGAAAGAGCGAGATAAAAAAGCCAAGCATGGGTTGGTCAAGTCCACTTGACATTCTAATGCGTCCCTATCGCGCATCTCTCTGCCCACAACGCGTCCTAATGGGGACGGTTCGTCACTAGGGAGATCTCTATGGCAGGTTTGCTTCATGTACAGTCCCGCAGTAGGAGAGTAAAAAAGAGGGAGCTACAGCTTCAGACGCGTCTTCACGCGTCATTGGTACCATAGGCGGCTATCGCATATCAGCAAACAGTGCCTGCACTAACCACATGCGTGCTCAAATGACACAATGCACCAAGTGCAAAGCATGGAAAACCTATTTTCGATACCTGAGTCCAACTGGTCTCCATTCTTATCCATCCTCATCTTCATTCAAAATTGGCTTGGTCTCTCATGGTGTTCAGCTTATTGTCTTTACCACGTCCGCTCTCGCCCCAAAAAATAAGAAAAAAACTCTCATCAACCGGTCAACCGGTAAAGTCTCTTTATTACTCGTATTCGTCAAGCAGTTCAGGATCTCTCCCTTGACCATGCCCTTCATCCAACCCACAGGCGTCTCTACTCGTCAGCTCTCCAATAAAAGCGTGTCATCACTCGCCAAAAGCACCAACGGCGCCAGCAGCGATTCAGCCGTAACGAAAAAACTTGAGCCAGAAAAGTCATGCCGGGTCACGGACAACTGGGTCAAGAGCGCAGACGATTCGATCCACATCTTTACCAAGACATGGCATCCTGTTGGCATTTCCGTCCAATCTGTCCTTGTGTACGAGAGGGGAAATGCTACGGCCCTTTTTTTTTTTTTTTGAACCACAAAACTTATACCGACATTTCTTGTGTTGGGCGTTGGCATTGGCATGTGCATAGATTCATTCACGATGCTCTTGAGCACTGCGAGCGGTACCAACCCCTATTCACTTATTTTCCAGCAAAAGGCATTAAAGTCCACTCATTCGACCTCCCCGGATTCGGCGAGACCGGTGCACGGGCTGACGCGCATGGTGTCACAGGCGGGTGAGTTGGGTTTACTGCTGCACACAGCCCCCCCCCCACCACCATCAAACATGTTTTTCAGCCAATCATTCTCCATCCTCTACTAACCACCATAATCCCCGTATTCCCTTAGCTACGACGCACTACTTAAAGAAATCGACAAGGCCATCGATCGTGCCACCAATGCTCATCCAACAAAACCCCTCATCCTGATGGGTCATGGCATGGGTGGCGCCCTCGTATTGAACTATGTCTGCGGTCTCGGGCAACGGATCACGTCTCTTGCTGGGGTGATCTCATCCTCTCCGTACTTGAAACCGACGATGAAAGGAGCTGGGTCGCGGTTTCCGAGCACTTATAATCGCTTGAGTAAATGGTATCCCAATGTCAGAGTCAACTTCCGAGTCACATCTGAAGAATTGACGCGCGACCAGGCAGAACAGGACCGGCACCATAACGATGGACTCATTCAGGATGCGGTTTCTTTGCAATGCTGTAAAAAAAAAAAAAAAAAAAAGAGACGCATATTCTCATGAAAAGTGTGTTAAAGAGCAAGTATGTCTTATTAACACAGATACTTGGGGTATTTATGTCGTTAGTGGGTGACATGATCTATCAGGGCAACAAGATGTTAACGAAGCGATGGAAAAACTTCCCGGGGCCACTACCGATGTTGCTACTTCATGGAACTGAGGATCCAATATGCTCATATCAAGCTACAGCGACCTTAAGCACTCAGCTGCTTAAGCTGCGACCCACCAATTTTGTCTTCAAGTCCTGGAAGGGCAACAAACACGACCGTAAGTACGCTCTCTCGAACGTTTATTGAAGACTCCTGTCATCAAAGAACACCGCCCAGCATCTTTTTTTATTTATTGATTTCTTTCATTCTCGTAGCACATTGGGATATCGATGCCAACTCCATCAAGAGTGAATACGTCCACTGGATCCGCAATACGGTTCGACATTTTGACAAGGTTCCGCTGAACCCCAACATGGTGCACTCCGATTGCATCAAATCTGCCAGGTCTCGCGCCGCCTTCAAAAACGACAAATCCGACAAAAGCCAGAAGGAACGGACCAAAGCCGACAAGAAAAAGAAGGAGCATGAGCAGCACATCCAAGCGACCGTTAATCTCACCACTGATGCTTCTTCCATGGAGGCAACGAAGGCTGTGGGCGTCAAAGAGAATCCAGCAGAGTCGCATCCGGAGCAAATTCAGGGCCTGGAGGATTTGCGTCGTCAGCAGCAGCAGAGGCTTGAGAGGCTTGAGGCCAAGCGACGAGAATATGTTGAAGGCGATGAGAAGGTCAAACGGAAAGCAGCTGGGCAATCCACCGTGCCAGAGGCCGATCAACATAAACCAGCAGAAGAACTGAAAGCGTCAGAGGCAATTATGCCTATTGTACCAGAGACAATCCAGCCCAGTGCACCAGAGACAATTCAGTCCAATGCACCAGAGGCAATTCAATCCGAAGCAACAAATGCAAATGAGATAGAGGCATTTAGTATGGGTTCACCTGCATCAGCAGCTGGTGACCAAGCCCAAGTTGAGGAGACAGAATTTAAGGCAGCAGAAGGTCCAGTAGACGGCGCGACTGCGAATACCATCGCAGCAGTTGCAGTCGAGATTGCAATGCAAGAAGGAGAGGCCTCAAATGAAGATCAAGCTGAAGAGCCCACTCAGGATAACAATGCCAATGTGCTTGATCTTCCTGAAGCTGCGCTCGAGAATACGAACCACGAGATCGAATTCTCCTCCGCTGTCGAGCCAACTCCCCCGCAGGCCACCCCAACAGCAGTCTTGAGCGAGCCTACTCAGCATGGCGATGGCAAAGAAGCAGATCAAGAAGGACATGATGCTGGACGAGAGATCTGCAACGTCCTTCCGGCTGCTAACGAACAAATGACCATTGCTGCTCCAGATGAAATTGCGGCCGAGTCTATTATTGCAGTTGAACCTTGCGAGGCTGTAGCGGAGGCTGCCGAGCCGATCAAGGAAGCGCTATCCGTACCGGACGCATTACCAGAGACAGAGGTTGCCGACGACGGCACCCGCTCTAGACTTGAGCATGCGGAGTAAACTCAAAAACGTCGTATTCAAAAGACATCGCAATATCGGCTTTCACCCAATAAACATGCCAAAAGAACTACTTGTTATACGCTTGTTTTTTTGCTGGTTTATTATTTCTTTACATCAGTGCTTTACAGCTCATCCTTAATACTGCTCTTCTCTTCTGCCTTCTCCTCCGCCTTCTTGGTTTCCTTTGTGCTGGGCTCGGGCAAAGCGACCTCAAACGAGTACGGGAAGACTCTACCTCGACCGGAAGATGAATCTGAAAGCCATCCCTGAATACCTTCGACATCAAATGCTCCTACAAAGGGAGCATATGCCTTCTTTCCGGGATTGATCAACAATAATCCAGGAATATCGCTCGAGATCTGGAACTGGTCCATCAATCCAACCACACGCTTGTCCAAGGCATCCATCCACATAACATGCAAGGGTCTGTTCTTGTCGAACGCCGTCTTCTTGACCTTGCGCAAGGTCTCCAGGTTTTCCTCATGCATCTGAACCGACTCTGGAAATTCGGGCTCGACCACCAAGAACGCAATCACACACGATCCAATAGGCTTGTCCAGACACTCGTTCTTGAACTGAGTCTGGTCGGCGATCTGGCTGATGTTGGGGTTGAACTCGACGACGGCGGGTTTGGGGGCGGGAGCGGCTGCCCGCTTTCCGGTCTTGGCTGGTGCTGCGTATTGGTCCAGGAATTCGGTGATTGGATCACGCTTGAGTTCGCCAGTGTAGACAACGGGTTCCTGACTGTCCTTGGGGAAGACCAGGAGTGTGGGAAGATTGTCGAGGTTGAATTGCTTCAGGACATTGTCGTTAGGGACGCGCATCTCTGCGACGATCATCCTGTCCTTCATATCAGTGGCGATCCCCTTGTACATGTTACTAGAGGCCAGCTTCTTCGTGAATAACAACGCGCGAGGTTCGCTCTAGAGCGATTTTTGAACAAAACACGAGTACTGCGTTGGTCAACTTTTGATCATAAGTGGAAGCGATTTGTCAACATTACAAAAAAAAAGTAGCGACTCGTACTTCCTTGGCGACGAATTCGTCAATGTTGGTGATCTTTTCACTGGAGGGGTTGCTCGTAACAAGTTTGATATCGTCGGGGATTAGCTTGACCAGGTGGTCGACAATAGCCTTTGCAGTTCTCTCGCCTTGGTAATCCTTGGGATGTTTAACGCCCTTCTTGCCACCTCTGTTGGCGGGAAAGACTTTGATCGTTGGGAATCCTACACAAACACAACGCCAATCGCTTTGTGAGAACATGGCCTTGAATATGGGTCGGATATTTGATCGAGGCGAGAAGAAAAAAAAAAGGTCGCTTACCTTTGATATCGTATTGGGAACAGACAGGTCTGTTCTTGTCATCGTCACAGTCGACCGCGCCGAGCTTGACAATACCATGCAAGTTCTTGGCGGCTGCCTTGTAGTGGGGAGTCAAGCTAAAGAAAGAAGTGTGGTAAGGCTAATCAGCTCTCTAGTCATATCGCACATAGATCAATCTACTCCACTGAGAAGCAGACTTTGGCGATCGGCTTACTTTTTGCAGTGACCACACCAAGGGGCATAGAATTCTACCATAACCAGGTGCTAATTGATGAAAACAATGGAGAAGAAAGAACACCTCTTGTTTTGTCAGCATTCTTCGGTGAAGCGCCTGAACAGTTGTTGCAGCAGATGGTTGGTGGCGTACGTTCGAGTCCATGACTTCAGCCTGGAAGTTTTGAGCGGTGATATCGACGACATGATCCTTGGCGGAATAGAGTCCAGCGAGAGCAGACTGTGAGAGGAGAAGCGCACCGAGGGCGATGGAGGTCAGACTATGCTTCATGGCGAATGTTGATGGAGGAAGAGAGGAGATGGGAAGGATGTGTGGAGAAGCGAGGTAAGGGCGTGCAGTTTTTTATAGCGAGGGGGGCTGCAGACGCGGAAGTCATTGATTGGCCCGTAAATTACTCTAAGATAATTCCCTGCAGCAGAAAAACCATCGATCGCCATCAAACTGCTATCGCAACCTGAGCAATAGACGAGCGAGAAAAGGAAAAAGCAAACATTCAATAAAGACGTGGAAAGAGAAGGCAGACATCCATAGCACGCGTGCTAGCACTTCTTAGCAAGACGGCTTTGACATGAAATAGGTACGCATAGCTGCGCGGTTCCATCAATGACTCTTGCGGCACCCGGGGTCGATGGAACTACTGAGCCTCGCTTAATTGTTACGCGTATATCGACGCCTTGAAGCCCTAGCAACCTCAATGTGGGTGTCAAGAACGGAAAAAAGACACCGGCTGTTGATGGTATAGCGGGGCAGCGGGTGTTCTGGCGAAGCACCATGGTGTTATACGAATCCTCTCAGGAACGGCAAATCAATTAAGGGTGAAATGAATCGGCTCGTAAAAGGGCCCTTGCTTGCAGGATTAGATCGGCCTCTTCTCTATCATTTTTCAAGATGGTACTAAATTTGGACCGAGAGGGGATTATCACGCTGCTGGATATGCATTCATCGTCTACACCATACCCCATCCATCGATCCATCGCAACCATTGCATCTATCTATCGATCGGCGCATTGTATTCATCACTGGGAGACACTTTATCATGCGGTCATTTTGGGTGACAGCTTTTGGCAGGATCGGCAGCAGCAGAGCCATACATCGAACATCACACTCGGCTTCATCAGCATCAGCAGCAGCATCAAACAAGGCTATGCTGGCTCAAAGCTTTAGCTGGAACTATTGCAGATGCAAGGACAGGACATGTATAACCGGAGGCTGATCAGCAAGGGCGCGTTTTGTTGAATTGATTCGGCAGCGATTTCTCGAGTTTTTGAATCGCACTCTCGCTTCAACTGTTAAAACCAACCGGAATCTATACACTTGCTGGGAGGATCTCATCTAGCAACGAGCACTCGGGAGCAAAGCATCACGTCCAGATCTCAACCATGGAAAGCATATTCATCTAGGAGCTATGATTCACTGCACTCAACTGTCTGCCACACTATACTCCAGACATCATGATCTGTCAAACACGGACAAAGGGAGTGTTGGACCCGTGGAATCCGCAGTTTGACAGGATGCGATCGGGACCCAACCCAACAGCACTCGCCCCCCTGACTTTCATCAGGTCCTTACAGCGTTCAACTCCTGACAGACCTCTAATATCGTCGTTCGCCCTCTATGCTATGTGTGTTCTAGGTTAACGTCCCCAAGACCAGAAACACCTACTGCAAGGGCAAGACCTGCAAGAAGCACACTGCCCACAAGGTCTCGCAGTACAAGACCGGCAAGGCTTCGCTCTTCGCTCAGGGTACGCTTTCTTGTTCACTTTTGTATTCTTGCTTCAGGAACTGGGGACCCCCAGCGTTCATTTGGTCCACACCACTAACATTTTTATCTCTCTCTCTCTCTCTCTCTCTCTCTCTCTCTCTCTCTCTCTCTCTCTCTCTCTCTCTCTCTCTCTCTCTCTTTCTCTCTCTCTCTCTCTCTCTTTCTCTCTTTCTCTCTCTCTCTATATCTCTATCTCTCTCTATCTCTCCCTGCATTACACTTCTGTCTCGCTGCTTACCGATCTGGATCTGACAAATCATGGAAAACATCGAATGGGGAACATCTTTTTTTTCATATCTCAACTGAACCGGGAACGATTTGTCTCAACAGGAAAGCGTCGTTACGATAGAAAGCAGTCCGGTTATGGTGGTCAGACCAAGCCCGTCTTCCACAAGAAGGCCAAGACCACCAAGAAGGTTGTCCTTCGTTTGGAGTGCCAGGTCTGCAAGTACAAGCACCAGATCGCCTTGAAGCGCTGCAAGCACTTCGAGCTTGGTGGTGACAAGAAGCAGAAGGGTACGTTCGTTTTTCCTACTGGTTTTTTTTTTTTTTTTTTTTTTTTTGCCTTTGTTTGCTCGCTTCAAAATTGATCTCGCGATACTTTTGTACTAATAATGCGTCAATGTTCCAATCGCGTACTTTAATAGGCCAGGCTCTTACTTTCTAAATTATCGAAAGTATCATCGCTCCTGTGTGCATTCTGTATTTTATCTCGCAATAAAACCTGGATTGACACCGCTTATACCACTTCCTCACCAATATTTACACGCATGCACGCAAAAAAAAAAAAAAAAAAATACGCGCTGGATTGTATGAAGGAATCGAAACCTCCCCCCTCCCTGTATTGAACATTTATCTTTACACAAAAGACAGGACAGCTTCACGATCAGTTGTTGAATTAGGAATGCGAACATATATATATATATTGTATATATATCTTTGGGGGTGAAGCGTTCTATTATACACGCCTTCTTTATTAGAAAGAGCGATTCATGTTGCCTCCATCTTTCATCTTCAAGCGTTGATATCGTAATCAAAATGAAAGCCCTCCTCGCTCATACCAAAGACATGCTCCGCGCGGAAAAAGCCGTACGGTCGTGGACCCAGGCTTGTGTCCACAGCAAACCCCTGATTCACTATCGCAACTCCATCATGTGAATCAGGCGTGTAAAGCAGATGTTCACCCGGATCCTCATATCCACCAAAGCCCTCACTATTATCCCTACTTCGACCGAGAGCCCCTGGTGTCTCCTGTTCCTCTTGAGTCGTCATCAGCTCCCGGAACTCTTCCTCAAGGTCCAGCATCACCTGGACATCTTCCTCTGCAGGCCAGTCTCGGACCGTCAGGGGATCCGGCAACAGAGCCTGGCGTTTGAACAAATCAGATCCCATCTTGAACCCAGCCTTGGCCTCGTCACGGATGGTCTTCGAGTTGCTGCTGAGTCGGGCGTTCAGGCACGAGACACGGAGCGCGGCGGTCAGGGTTTGATTCACCTTGACCTGAATCGTGCACCAGTTTGGATAGGAATCTAGCATCAATTCTACGTGGTGATAGAGCACGTTCGACAGCTGCGTGCAGATCTGATGGGCTGTGTTGAAATAGCCATTACTGCCCAGCTGAGGCGATTCAGCTTCACGTTTGATGCGCGGTCCACTGTCCTCCGAAGCGCACCTGCTGAAGAGGCCATCGTACTCACGACTGATGCTCTCAGGCGTCTTCACTGCAGGCGACCGCCAGGATGATGAGAGATGCTGTGGAATAGGAAGATACGAGGACTGCAACATAATTGTGATGGTGTAATAGTACATTGCCAGAACACCTATTAAACATTCGCCAAAAAAAAAAAAAAAAAAAAAAAAAAAAAATCAGCTGTATTAGTAAAAACGTTCACAATCGCTGCCGCCCGTAAAAAATCTTGCAATATGCTCCTGCCGAGCGCAACATACTGAGTTTGCCATTGAGTTTGTGGTTGATGTCCAGCTGCTTCACATCCTGACGGAACTTGAAGATCGGCGGCAAGGCCTGCTCCCACTCGATCAAATCCGCCTGAAGACTCTGCAGCTCCTTGTCCTCCAGCCATGCATTTTCAGAACAACGACTTGCTTCCAGAGTCGCTGAGATGGTCGAAGCAAAGGGATCGTTGCTCTCAGCAGTCGAGCCCCGGGTGTTGTTTGGCGAATAAGATCCCATCGCCGCGGCAGCTGGACTCACGGTCAGCGAGGTATTGCGACCCTGCAAGTAGAGGCCGACACGGCGTCCGATCGACCACAGCTTGATCTCTTCTAGGAACAATATCCTCGCATACGTTCCCCCATCGGTGATATCGCTCTCGGCCTCAAGAAGCACTTTCATGCGGTCTAAATGACGTCTCACTTCTGCAGAGCGCGAGCCCAACCCTGATCCTGATCCTGATCCTGGTCCCGAACCACCCTGACGACGATTGATATCTTCGCCTCGACTCTGTCTCTCAAGCAAATGCTTTGAAAGTCCAGAGAACGATGGCGTTCTGTCCTTTGTTTGCCAATTTGTACCGCCGACAGTCGATTTCAGTGTGTTCGATGTTGTATTGGTACGTGAATTCTCCAATCCGGACGAACGCCTGTGTCCCATATCTGCATCTGCGTGATGGCTTTCGTCCTTCATATCCACGCTTGGCTCCCCCGTGGCCGCGAATTCATCCTGTTCCAAATCGCTCTCATCGTCGTCCTCCTCCGCCACGTCATCGTCATCGTCATCATCGTCCGAGGTAGATGATGCCATGCGATACATATCACGCCCAGACCGGATTGTAGCAGTTTTCGCCCTCATCTGCTTCTTCTCTCGTTGGACTTGTTTCTTCTTCATTGCCGGGCCCCTTCGCTTTCCCGTCACGGCTCCATCAAGTCCGTTCTGTCTCATTAGGTTCTTTCGCATCCCACCAAGGCCCACACAACCCTTGATCCTTGGCAATTCAGCAAAAACAGCCATACTATCGAGTCCGTGTGGCCACCCAAAATACAACCTCGCCATCGCATCACGAGCGTAATGTGCCCAGAACGCCCAAAGACGCTGCTGGTAGACTGACTCGGGGATAACACCTCTGTTGGCAATGAGCGAACGACTCTCTGCCGCAAGATCAGTCGACGACTCAGCCTCTTCGTATCCGTCAGTGGTTGGTATAGGACGATATGTACCACAGAATTGAGCGAGCCCAATATCTATAGCGAAAACCCCATAAATGACTTGAGAGCCTAGCGCCCTGCCCAGCAACTTGGTTAATCGGGCTTTTCCATCGATGTAACGCTGGATCTCTGGGTGTCCAACAAGAAACAAATAGGGATGTAGACTTGAATGTTAGGGACGTGGTCAAAGTTTTTTTTTCTTTTTTTTTGTTCTCCAGCAGCAACTCTCAATTTGTCTTCGTTTCCTCCTTGACTTACCGCGCGCACGCTCCCGGAACTGGATGGCGCGTTTGATGTCCGTGTGTCTTGCAAGGTGTTTGCAGGCGGTCATAAAGACGATATTCAACAGGAACAGTGCCTGGGGTGTCTCGGGTTCCATGAGATGCATCTCGACCAAGGCACGATTGACAATAGGGTAATAAAAGCAAGCATTCTATAGGTTTGGTTAGATTGCATTCATCAATCAAAAAACGCTACCCATTGGTACGAAAAAAAAAAAAAAAAAAAAAAAAAAAAAAAAAAAAAAACGGCAGACGTAAGAGGATCATGAAAACATACCTCGAAAAAAACGTCGATCAAAAAGTTGGCGTCCTTTGGAAGCATCAAGAGCTGACGAGGGATTCCCTGAAGATTGTTTGGTGCTGTGGATCGGGGTGCGACCCAGAACTCATCGTACTCCTGCGAGATGTGTCGTGGAAGCAAGACGCTGTAATCGTAATTCTTGCAATCCAGCATATCCTTGGCAATCCTCCGCATCCTCATAGTCTCTGCCCTATCTTCAGTTTGGAGTGTAGATACAGGTACGGATAGTGGCGAGTAATGCTGCGATGAGTGCCCTCGATGTGTCGTAAAAGCTGACGAAGGCGTTAATTCGGCTGGAGTGATTTTAACCGAAGGCTGGCTGGAGACATGGTTGAAGTTAAAAGGCGGTTGCTGTTTGGAGATGGGCTGTCGGACGAAACTTTGCTTAGGGTATTCTGTAGACTGGTGTGGAGCGCTAGAGCCTCGCCACTCCATTTGACCCTGCGGTTGAAGTGCAGAACCATCCCAGGAACCGATTGGAGAGAACTGACTTGCTACGCCGATCGAAGAGGCAGGTGCTGCGGACGAAATAGTATGGTTGGGATCCAGCTGGGTTTCAGGGCTGGTAGAGACCTGCTGTTGCCGCTGCTGTTTGTATTTAGGCGACACTACTGCACTAGAGTTGAGAGTAGCTGTTGTGTCATATGGCTGCTGTGGCGACACTGGACTAGGCGATAGGTTATACTGTTGCTGTTGCTGTTGCTGCTGTTGCTGTTGTACAAAAGCACTGTTGATCCCCGAATTCGTAGGCCCTGAAACATCCCGCTGATCATACATAGGAAGATGAAGACTACGGGAAGAAACACCTCCGTCCTGAAATCCTTGAGATGCTAATCCATAATTGACTCCCTGGGATGGGACCAACGGCGCGAACCCTGCAAAATTTGATGCTCCACTGTCTGGGTATGAAAGAGGAAAACGCTGTTGCGAAGACAGTGGATGGTTTCCGGACGGGTTCGAGAACCCCAGTTGCGGCTGGTTTTTGTCATGACTTTCAAGGAGTGTAGATGGTTGTAGCAATCGCTTTGAGGGATCAGGATAAGGAGATGACGGCTGTACAGGAGTCGGAAGGACAGCTGTTCTCTCGTCAAGACCCTCCTGCCTAACTTGCCGGACCTGAAATGCGAGCTGTGTTTGCTGAGATGGCGGTGGCGATAAATGTCCCACAGTCGCGTCCTGCCGAAACACTGGTCTGGGCCCCGACTGGCTATGGAAGGCCAAGACGGGCTGTGTCGTCGAGCCTGTGGTCGGATTCGTCCATCCAGAATAAGATGGTTCTATTTTCACGCCCAGAATCCTCTGCGCTGTGTCTACAGATGTCTCGGTGGGGATGAGATCCGAAAGATCAAGTTGAGGTCCTGGCTGCGCGACTCGAATGGCCTTTGCGATTTGTTTTGACTGGGCCGCCACTGTCTCCTTCCTCCTGTCAAGAATCCTATCCTGCTGACTCGATGCATGCCCCAGATTGAAGAGCGATGTTGGTACATGGAGAGAGATCGTTTGAACGGCACTGGTTGCTGATGTTGCAGCCACATTTGAGACCCCTGCTGCAACCGGAGCCCTAGATATACTGGGTTTTTTGGATAATGACATTGCTGATGGATCCTTTGCTGATGACTTTTCAGGCTCCTTGGCTACAGCCGATGTTGATGATGAGACGGAAGATAATGATGCTGTTGTTGGGAGGCTAGGAGGACTCGCTGAGGTCGAGTCCGTTTCCAGATCCGCTGTGGACACCCCTTGGACCTTCTCCTGACTGAGTGGCGAATCTCCCCAGGTTGAGCGAGATTGTTGCGCATCCGTGTAAAGACAGTCTGCTTTGTTTCTCTTGCAGTTTGAACAGGGTATTCCACTGTCGCATTTACGCTAGAAGTGTACCGAGAACTGAACGTTTAGTTTTTCAAGGTTCCGTCCATGCATGGATGGTTCCCAAAATGATACATCCGACATACCTTATTTTGACGGCAACGATTGCAGGATGTAGCGACCTTGTGTCGCTTGCGGGTCTTTTGAGGAAAGTTGGGCATGCTCAGGTCCAACTTGGGTTTGGTTTCCTGCTTCGGTGCAATGAGACTCTCCTTGAGTGGAAGCAACGTTGGTTGATAAGTCGTGTGGCGGTGTAATGATCTCGGCCCTAGGGGAGAGGACGACCCATTGGTAGACAATCCTAAGACGCCACTGCTGGGCGGTGCGACGGGCTTTGGCGTTGCTCCGAGCAGGTGATCGTGCATTGGAGGATATTGGAGCATATTGACGAACGGAGAAGATAACGCAGCACTGTTGTTGTAGTCGTTGCCTTCACTACTGGTATTGGTGCTACCACTGCTGCCACTACCGCCGCTGCTGACTTGGGAGAGTAGGTTTCGATCCTGACGATGCTGCTGCTGAACCATTCGGTGCTGCAATGATGGAATCCTCTGTCTTCAACGGCCCTTTGCTCGGTTTTACAGGAACGAATGACAGATGCTGGATATGTGTCCAACCGCGTTACTGCCTCCCAATGCAATGGAGTGCTGTGTGATGCTAATACTGGATTAGTACAAAGTAGAGAGAGGAGGAGGATAGGGAAGAACGGGAAGGCAGGGGAGAAGGATATCTTGAAGATAGGCCGTGGTATCAGATATTAAATGACGGCACCAGATCAGCATCAAGCAAACGGGACGAAAAAAATGCTGAGGTTATGAAAAAACCTCCGGAACGAAGAAGACAGAAGACGGTGCAAAGGGCGCCGGATAGGGAAGTTCAAGGAGAGGAGGGGATATTAACAAAGTGCTGGTTATATATACATACAAGAAGTGTGCGGTATGGAAGTGCAGAGTGATGTCTGTTGTTGATGGGTGTATGTGTGCAATCGGATCAGTCTTCAGGACCTCAACGCAGGCTCGTTCCAGGTCAAAGGGTGGAGTGGAATTCAGTCGATGGACGTGGAAAAGGAACATCGTAATGCGGAACAGGTGCACCTTTGCGTCTGATCAGCACTCCCTGCTCTCATTACTGTCGAGGACAACATGACAAAGGCAGACATACAACGGCGAGTTGGAAAGCTCGTCTCCAGCAGACGCTTCCCACTCTAATCGTACATAAAATTTCACCCTTTGCGCACCAATTGAAAAAAAAAAAAGGCCGGGGCGAGAACACTCCCCAGCCTAGCGACAAACTGGGCCATCTCACCTATCATCAACGAAGGAAATGTTCGACAACGCATGAAGGCAAAAGGAAGTACTACACATACGAAGCGCCTTGTACCTGCCTGCTTTCGTTCTTTGCGTTCAAATGCAAACGACGACTTTTGTTCCCATCCTATCTGTGCTCTGTTTATTGCTCTCTGCCCACGCTCTACTCCGTATTGATTTCCGTCGACATTATCTTATCCAGCAGAGCCCTCTCTTTAGACGTGGGCGTTTGTTTCTTCTCACCCAATATCACCTCCGCCAAATGTTCGCGCATTGTACAAGTTTTCCAAGTTTTCTTCTTGAGCACACAAGTACATGCACAGAGATACAGCGCCCTTCGCCTTGTCCCATTGGGGATGCACTAGGGGTGCTCTGCAGACTTCAAGAATGCAAATAAAGAAAAACAGGACCCGTGTGAGCAACAGCATTAACAACTGTTCGCGTTCATGAAACCATGTGTATTTTTTTGGTCCCTGACGACCAACCCTATTTTTTCACGTTTTTTCCATAATAATAACAAACCGCTTATCGCGTAATCGAGGTGGATAAGCGCAATGTGTGCGCCTTGCCCTTGTCCAAGTTCAAAAGAGGGGATTTTTTTTTTTTGGTCGAACAGAAATATCCCAGTTTCACCCTAGCCTCGTCTGCCGCTATCTTTAGATCTTCACCGTTTTCTATGTAGGTCATCTTGGCTCGCGCACGTTCGTTCTCGTCAGCAAAAATAAAAAAAGAAATCTTCAAACAACTCAGGAGCCGTTCATATTTTCAAATGCAGGATTGTTTATTACGAGACAAAAAAATCTAGAGGATGAGTGGAATGAGGGTCCTCTTGCCGAGGGCTAGTATCCACCATTGTAGCCGTTGTTGTAATAGCCTTGTTCATTGTAGTGCATGTTTGGATTGGGCGGCGGATAGTTGCCATATCCAGGGCCTCCATTATACCTCGCTCCTGGTCCATTCTGCCAACCTCCTCCTTGTGGCATGGAGCTCATGCGCTTATTGGTCGTGGGCTTGAAGCCTGCGTTTGGTGGATAATAACCTGGCCCTCCACCATAACCACCAGAGTTTGCACCGTAGTATCCCTCTAGGCAATGTCTTGGAAAGACGCCTTGGATGCCGTTTCTCGTGTTATTGACACCCAGGCACCAACCGTCATCGTACTCTTGCAGAATCGTCACCGAGTCACCATGCCCGAGCTCAATTTCGTCCGCCAATGCCGGCATGTACGTTGACACAACACTGTACGTTCCCAAGGACTTGGTTAGCGTCATAGGCATGTTCTCCTTGGCTGTGATGTTGGTCTCCGACATTTTGGCATAAGGATTGTTATGGTTGAACTGTGCAGTCTGTTCCAAGAGTGCCGCCGCCAGGGTCTTCTTTCTTCGGTGACGGCAGAAGGCCACTCCACCGAGCGCAAAGACAATCATCCCACCAAAGACTCCTATCCCAATGAACACCTTCTGAGAAACCTTGGTTGGCACGCCATTTGAATTGTCAGGCGACGTTGGGGATTCTGAGGGTGCGGCACTTGAGGTGTCCGTTCCAGTGATGGGAAGCACTGTAGTGTCTGAGGCTGCGGTTGTGACAACGTGTGTGCTGGATGGTTTTGTTGCTGGAGCAGTCGTAGGGTGCACTGTTGTTGGTGCTGGGGGTGGTTTGGCTTGAGTAGTTGTTTGTGCTGGTGGTGGAGATGGAGGTGGAGGTGAAGATGATGAGGGTTGGTGTGTTGGTTCAGGTTTCTGAGTGGTCGATGGTGGTGCTGAGGCTGGTGGTGCTGGTGTTGGATCTTCAGTGGTCTTGGCAGGAGGAGGATGCTTCGTAGTTGCCTCTGAAGGGTCGAGAGGGGTCGCGACTGTAGGTTTGCTTTGTCGCTTGTGGAGAGAACGGGAGTTGCCGATGACGGCAGCCTCGGTCCTCCGAGTGCCTTGAGGAGCGCCGCTACCCAAGGGCAGTGCCACGGCTGCTGCTGTTGGTGTGGAGGAGAGCGAATTTGTGAGGGTGATGATGACTACGACAGCCAGAGTATGGTAATATCGAAGGTACTTCATATTCGCGCGTTGATCTAGTGGGTGTTGAATGAAACAGAAATTGCAGGGCCAAATATATTGTGGTCAGAGAATATGCGATGCGGTTTAAAATTATCGACCCTGATTCGAACTTTAGGGTCTTTGGGTTTGGATCGGATCCCCGCTCGCTGCACCACTAAGTGGGACCCACTAGCGCCAAGAACTGGCCTAACTGTGTTGAGCCAGGGATGCCATATGAATGAATGAATGAATGAAAAAGTGCAATGTACCTTTCACCGGGGAATGCAGGAGCGTGCTGGGAAGGTGTGGAGGAAAGGGATAGGATTCCGAGGAGTGTGGTGTCAAGCTGGAGGACGGGAGGGTAATTAAGCGGATCGTCAGTTGGAGTGGATTTGAAATTAGAGTGGACTATAACAAGTTGAAGGGCTATACAGATTCAGCAGCAAGCTCTACTTTTGCTGCTTCACGCTGAGAGAGGGAGTTGAGAGAAAGCGGGGGCGGAGAAAAAGGATGTGAGAGGCAGACTCGCAGGAAACGAGATGCAGAGAAAACGATTTTGAGGACAGAGAAGGGATGGATTGCCAGGAGAAGCGTTGTCGTAAAAAGGAAGGAGGAAAGGAAGGAGGGATGGAAAGAAGGAGGAGAGGGGGTATGGACGGATAAGGAGAGCAGAGGAGACGAGAAAAGAGGAAGCGGAAGAAAATATGAAGAGATGTGATGCTGGATGCCTGTTTCAATTTCTGATCTCAAACATTCTTTCTAGTAAGCAAACATGAGTGGCGAGTCCAGGGACGGAGCAATAACAAACGGTTTTTGTTTATGTGAACTCTGATCCAAAGGCGGCAAACGAAAATCAGGGAGGAGTGCTTTCTTTTATAGTATCTGCAGATACGAGAGAGCGAATTCGACCGCTGATGCTCAAAGACAGATTGAGTGTTTTTCTGACGAAGAAAAGGGAAGGGCGGCTTACCAGTAGAAGGACGAGGGTTGTTGGTCGTTTCGAAGGCGGGTCGTAAGTAGTAGCGGGACAGAGGGTGTAGGAAAAGATGGTACAGGATAGGATAGGACGGGGCAGAGTAAGATGTCGTTAGTGAACAGCGGCGGGGCTGTCAGTGGGGGGGGGGGGGGGAGGGAGCTGCAGAATGTTTGCAGAGTATGTTACGGGGCAGAGCAAGAGGCGAGCAAGCAAGACAAGAAGAAAGAAGAGAGAAAGAGAGGGAAAAGGAGGAGAGTAAATATGAGTGAGAGAGGGTGCAGGCAGTAGAGGAATGCTAAATATAATAAGCAAATGTGTGCCTGTTGCGCCTAACAATAGCTCAAGACCAGGAACTGCACACGCACCAGGCCATTAAATAAGCGCATTTTAAACCGCTTACCTCTATTGCATTCTATCCTCTAACGTGCACCGTTGCATGCCATCACAAACTAAGGAATACATTACGATAGCCCCTTGCTGTACCTGATTAATATATTTCGTTTACAAATTTTTAAAGGAGAAAAAGAGGAAGGGGGACAGCGGAGGGGCCATGCACTCCCCATGCACGACGATTCCAAACCTTCACGCTGCAGCGTTACTCTAGGGCTCTGCCGTTGATGCTCTGAGCTGATCGACGCGTCCAACACGACGTCGCCCCATTCTTTCGGTGAGAGAGCTCTTCTCCTTATTGCAGTCATGCTATGGACGATACGACAAGCGCGTCTCAGCAAGGCAAACTCTGTAGTCCAAGTGCTATCTGCTAGCGATGCCTATGAACCCTCCAGTGCACAATGAAAGCGTCAATGCAGGCACCATCTACACTCAGAGACAGGCACTAACTTTAAATGTCTCACTATGGTACGCGTCTAAAACGAACAAGAAATCGTCGTGAACGCTCTCAGTTGATGTATCCTGGTGCCTCTTTTCTTTTGACGTTGATGAAGTCCATCGTAACCAGCTCCACTGCAACCCAGGAAATAACGTCAAGAAGCGAACTCCATAATTTTCTCCAAGCCCTCCCACTCCAAGGAAATGCGAGGCTTGGGTCATTTGCCTTTACGACTCCACTTTGACAAGATGAACGCGGGTTCATACCGTCAGCAAGATACAAGATGCATCCAGCTCATGTTTCCTTTTACCATCAGCACGTATGTTAGTTCGGAGTTCATTACTGTCATTGGATCATACCCTGGTTATTAGTATTTCATATTTTCGTAATTTGAAGGCTCATTTTTAAACCTCGATATCGATTTTAAGCGGGGTAACTCCACGTCTATTTTTTTTTTTGGCGCATTGTATTGCATCTTCAGGGCTCTATGCTAGGCTGCTGTGAATTCATCAGACACACCTGCTCGACAAACACCATGTACAAATGGTGTGCTGTATCCTAATCTTTTATCCTGGGAGGTACTGATGGATCGACATACCCCGCGATACTGTGAGGAGACTATATACCCCATTAGTATGGGCTTTCATCAAGAAACAGCGCGCAGTCAAAAGTCCACATGCGGAAAGGGGGCTAGATCTATCAGGCAATATTGAGCTGCTGCTACGAACTCATCCGTGTAGTTTGCTATACTGTTCACGAGCTTCAAGATGGCAGCATGAGCAGCCACTATAGATACCCAACACGACAGGGCGCCCTATTATGAACTTGACTCTATAGATGCTTTCTATCTATCCCTACAAACTCATTCGACGTTATCGGAGGCGCCATTAAGGCAGTATGATAGTTTTAAAAAAAGCACTCCTTGAATGGCCCCTACCTTCAAATAATGATCTTGCCTCTTTTTTTTTTTTTTTTTTTTTTTTTTTTGTCGCCTTCTATCCTCGACGAAATAAAAGAAAAGATTAAAGTGGGAAAACGATTGTTCCGCTTATCCGCCTGTTTTTTTTTCCTCACGCATTCAATCAGATCCATGGCCAACGATGGACTTTTACAATACCCGATAGTATGTCGCAGAGGATTGTGTGTTCTACATAACAGTTAGTTTATTGACCAGTGTCCCAGACTTATGTACCTGGCTATCGACACTTATATCTCCTTCTCTCGCCACGGTCCCCCCTCAGACATAAACCAACTCTGGCTGCTTCTCGTCGACAGGTGCTGTTTTATACTTCTCATCCCCGCAATGCTTCTCTTCCGCGCTGCTCATCCACGACCTGAATCCCTCGATCTTGCCCTTGGTCTTTGTATCCGAATTCGCAAACTCGTCAGTGGCAGTGATGATATCGACTTCTCGCTTGAGGGCATCCATCGTCTTGCGGAACATCTCTGCTTTGGCCTGTACTTTGACGCGCTTGTATTCCTCATCGGCCTTATCCAGGGTCTGCTTGTACTCGGCCTCGTACAGCTTGACCTCAGCCTTCAGGGCAGTCTTGTGGTCCTTGACCATGGCTCTGAGAGCAGCAGCATTCTCCTTTTCGGCAGAGGTTGAGTTGTCGCCGGCAAAGTAACTGTAGATGAACGACATGTTGTCTTGTAGTGAGGTTGATTAGGTGTCGAGGGCTGGGGGGGGTTTTTTTTTTTTGGTTTCGCGGGTTGTAGTCGGCTGTGTTGGAGGTAGAAGTGCAGTTGTTCGAAGGTATTGTGTTGAGTTCAATGATACTAATCTGAAGAGGCTCACCAGTCTCTTTTATATCTCTCTTCCCCCCCACAAAGTGTCGAACGAAACGAATGCTTGGTGTTTGTCTGCGATCGAGCACACGATGATACAAACGATGCAGGAGTGCGCAATGCCTTGCATGCCCAATAGAAACACCTAGTCTTAGGTTAGAGGCAAAGAAAGGATTGTCTGCCGCATTTGGAAGAAAATGTCGAGTCTTGGCACTCGACATTCCAAACAGAGGACGATTTCGACACGTCGGATGCTTGGCAGTCTGTCTGCGCATCATCGTACTCCTCTTTTTCTCCCTTGCACAAACAAAACATCGATCGTCTACTTCCTCAAGGACACGCGTGTGGTTACGCAGACATGTTCCGAAATAGAAAAAAAATGCTACTCTGAGAACGTTCTTTGTCGACCAAGTCGTAGAGGAAAGAGCAAAGACCGTTGGTATCCGATCACGACGTGGCGTCGTCAAGTTGCGGGATTCGTCTCAGATATAAAAGCGCCCGTGGTTCCCACCTCGATCAGGACACATACATAGTCATTCAACCGCAACTTACCAGCAGCAACACATCAACACAGCAACACCGACAAATCCCTTTTCTGACAAACTAACACCACCTTCCTCTCACCTAGCCATGTCTTTCATCTTCAACATCTTCTCCGACAACTCCGTCACCCCCTCTGAGAAGGAGAACGCAGCTGCGCTCAAGGCCATCATCAAGGACCACAAGACAGCGCTCAAGGCCGAGAATAAGCGGTTCGAAGCCGAGTACAAGCAGGCGGTCAAGGATGCCGAGGTCGAGTACAAGCGAGCGAAGCAGGAGGCCAAGGACGACTTAATCCGCAAGACCCTGGATGCTGTCAAGCGCGAGGTTGATATCATCACGGCCACGGACGAGTTTGCCAACTCGGATGCAAAGACCAAGGGCAAAATCGAGGGATTCAGGTCGTGGATGAACAGTGCGGAAGAGAGGCATTTTGGTGAGAAGGACGAGGATCTGGAGGTCTTTGAGATCTTTGAGACGGAGGTTGACACGAAGAAGAACAAGGACTAGTCCTTGACAAGTTAGCAGGGGTTCGTGGCATCAGTCCATATCAAAATAAACATGTTTTATGTGGCAAATCCGTAATGTCGCTGTGTCTAAAGACGATTGAGGCTCTCTACCTTCCAACAAGCACATAATAACAAAGGATGGTAATTGCTGTTTATTCTAATTTTCGTGGTTGCATGTTCCTATATCTCTCTGTACTCCTCCCGCTCTTCCCTCCTGCCTGTTTGTATGTGTGGTGTTCATTACAAAAAAAAAAAATATCGACGACTTGATCTTTAAGCCTGAGCCTCAATCTTGAATTCTGACTCCTCTGGGGGATGAATACCCTTGCTGAAGGCCACGGAGCACTTAGCCATTGTTGAGGATGCGCGCGTGATAGAGTCGGTCATGTAGTAATCAGCAATCACAGGTGTGAATGCGGTGTTTGAGGACTTGGCACCAGACTTATTCAATGTTGAGAGACCCAACGAAGCGACAGCGACCGAGCTGGGCTCAATCACGTTATAGTTGGCAAAGTGGGGTGCAATGTCACGGAGACGGTCGCGGACCTGGTAGACATCGTCGTATGGCAAGGTCGCGCCTGCAACCTCTGAGATCGCGCGGATGATCTTCCAGTCCTCACGAGCAGCGCCGGGTGGTGGCACGGCAGCACGGGTCATCTGGGGACGGCCCTCGGTGTTGACGTAGGTCGCACTCTTCTCGGTATAGGTTGCTCCTGGCAAGATCACGTCCGCATACTGGGCTCCAACATCTCCATGGTGACCCTGGTAGATGACAAAGGCATCCTTGGGAATATCGCTGGGAGAGATCTCATCTGCCTCGAGCAGGTACACAACCGAGGTCTTTCCAGTGTCCTTAGTCTGGGGAGCAAATCCAATATCATAAGCAGCAGCTCTGCTGGCAGCCTATTTACCATGTCAATTGTAAAGAGAGAGAGAGAGAGAGAAAGAGAGAGAGGAAGTTAGAGATCGGAGATTCCATTTCAATACTCTGAATGGCAAGTCGACATTGCCCATCCGGCTTATCGTCAGACACTTACGCGCTGAAGAACATTGTAACCATTCCAGTTCTCCTGGAAGAACTTGTCCTTATGCTGCTCAACAATCTTGGAGACGGCCGAGAAGACATACTCGCTATCGGGCAAGTCAGTGACACCACTGCCGACAATGATCATGGGGTTCTTGGCAGAGGCGAGCTGGGCAGAGAAGGCGTGCTTGCCAGAGACGAGGGCCTCGAGCGAGGAGGTATCAGCTCCAATGTGTTCATAGTCGTAGGTGAGGTCAACAGGGGCACCAACAAGACCAACGTTCAATCCGTTGTAGACGAACGACTTGCGGATACGAGCGTTCATGGTAGTAGCCTCATGACGAGGGTTGGTGCCGATCAACAAAAGAGCATCGGCCTGCTCAATACCGGCGATGGTCGAGTTCAGCAGGTAGTTGGAGCGGAAGTCGCTGCCGTGGGCGAGGCTATCCTGGCGACGGTTATCGACGGTGACATTTTCAGATCCGAGGGCGTTGACGAGGTCCTTGAGGGCAACGAGCGACTCGGCATCAGCCAACTGACCAGCAACGGCCTTGATGCCAGGGCCAGCAGCCTTGAGCTCCGATGCGACCTTCTGAAGGGCCTCGGCCCAGTTGACGGTGACAAAGGTATCGCCCTTGCGGACCATAGGAGTGGTCAAACGCTGAGTCTTGAGACCGTCGTAGGCAGAGCGGGTTCTGTCAGAAATCCACTCCTCGTTGATCTCCTCGTTCAAACGGGGGAGAATACGCATGACCTCGACACCGCGAGAGTCGACACGGATGTTGGATCCGAGAGCATCAAGGACATCGATGGTTTCCGTGTTCTTGAGTTCCCAAGGACGGGCGTTGAAGGTATAGGGCTTGGAGAGAAGAGCACCAACAGGGCAAACATCAGCCAAGTTTCCAGACATCTGTTCCAGTTGTAGTTAAAGGTGGAAATCCAATTCGTGAATCGGCGGTGTTGGATGAAGTCGGTTGTCGATTATTTCCGGCGTTGGTATCAAGAAGGCAGTTCGCAGTGGACAATGAATAAAAAGTAGTTAGTGGGATGTCGTCAACTTATTAATGTTCCATGTCAAGGCATATGCAAGGCAGGCAGGCAGGTCGCCAGGCATTACCTCAGAGTTCACGGACTTCTCAATATAGGTTCCGATCTGCATGTCGTTACCACGTCCAGAGGTACCGAGATCCTGGAAACCGGCGACCTCATTGGCGAAACGGACACAACGTGTGCAGTGAATGCAACGGGTCATGGTGGTCTTGATCAATGGGCCGAGCTCCTTGTCCTCAACAGCGCGCTTACCCACAACCTCCGAGAAACGACCGCGATCCGAACCATAACGAACCGACTGATCCTGAAGATCGCACTCTCCTCCTTGGTCGCAAATGGGGCAGTCCAGGGGGTGGTTTGCCAACAGGAATTCCATGACACCCTCGCGAGCCTTCTTGACCAGAGTCGTGTCGGTCTTGATCTTCATTCCGGGCATGACGGGGAAGGCGCAGGAAGCGACCGGCTTGGGGGACTTTTCCACCTCAACCAGGCACATACGGCAGTTTCCAGCGACGGACAGACGCTCGTGATAGCAGAAGCGAGGGACGTGAACGCCGGCCTTCTCGCAGGCCTGGATGACGGCTGATCCTGCCTCAACCTTGACGGACTTGCCATCGATAAAGACCTCGACCTCGTCCTTGAGGATAGCAGATGTGCGGAAGTGACGAGGGGCTATGAATATCGAAAGACGGTACAGCCGTGAATATAGCGCAACTGACAACACAATGGACAGAGGCAATTGAAATACATAGATCGCAGTGTGTCTGTCCACGGCTTCAGGGTGAGAGAGGATCCAGAAAGAGAGAAAAGTCATTTGCGAGTTGCTGATTCTTGCTCTTCGATACTGGATGCAGTATGAAATACGGGTCGGATTCGAATCCCGGAGATGTGTTCCGTCCGCTCGGACTTTTGTGAGGATCCGCGTGTGGATGTCAGATCGGTGCTGCCGATGATTCATCCCTGTTGCTCTGTATACTTCTGATGCATAGCCCAAGACTTGGATCATCCTTGCAGTTGTTGTTGAGTGTCCATGGTGGCGACAGTGGGGTTGATCGGCCCTTGCAGGAGTAGTGCGATCCCTCCATATGGTGTGTCATCGGGAAGAGGGGATCACGACATATTACCTCCGGCCTGACGAAGGGCAGCCCTGCTAGTTTTTGATAACGCGCGCAACATGGCGATGGATGTGCGGGTGAAGAGCGGTAGTGGGTGAGAAAGAGAGAGTGGGGAGGGTGGACCGGTGAAGGAGAGGGGGATGGGAGTGCTTGGTATGAATCGGTTCTCCGCGAGTGGACCTCTTCCCCAGCACAGGACCTCCCAGGGGTGTTTTCCGAACGTTGATTGCAACGTCATTCCTTCGCCAGAAAAAAAATGCGTTCAAAGTTGAATTCGAAGTCCCTTTGTTGCAAGAATTTCCGAGACGCACAAAACCCATGTATCCTTTAATATTGGCGGGACGCTGGCGCTGACCACATACAAGCGCATGTGGCCATGTGGGTGTCCCCTGCTCCAGGGGCCTCCGGTGCACCCTGGCTGTCTGTCGTGCTTTTATTAGATGGCTTGAGAACTCGAACTCCTCGAAACACAAGCTCGCCAAAGAGACGACTGTAGGACATCCTGTGCGCGGCAGAGCATCGTTTACCCCTCGGGGTAAGGTAAACGCGGGTCCCATGGTGGGGACCGAGTGGGATGGGTCCCATATGGGGCCATAATGACGCGTGGTTTTGTGAGCAGTTGGATTCATTGCGATGCATGCAGGCTCCTGCGTGGGTGCTGAGCGGATGTCTCTTGGATATGAACGTTGGATAGGACGGGACATCGGAATGGGCTGCCCATGGTCCGGCTGTGGGATCCAACTGCAGATCGGCAGCACAGCCGTGAGAAGGGCGCGCTCCCATTGGATATGAAGATATGGGCATCGCCAGGGGTCTTCCGAGGGAGAAGGGACCCGTTCGAGCAGCAAGTGCCCCTCAAAAATGACCGTGCACACGACCTTCATCCTGGCCATCACCCCGAGATGATCACCCTTCTCATCCCTCTCCGTCATCGCCTCCAGCCCCCTCCCCCTTTTACGCTCTCGCTCTTTTCTCTCTTTTCTCTCTTTCTCTCTCCCCTAAACAATCCCTCGGCACCCCCCCCCCCCCCCCCCCCCCCCCCGCGCTTCGTCTCCGCCCCGCCATGGACTCGGCTACCTATCTCCCCAACGACCTCCTCCAGCCAGACCCAAGCAGCACCTACAGCGCCTATTTAGACTCAGACTCCACCTCAGACTATGACCTGGCCTCTGCAGACGACTCCCACGACCAGGATCTGTCCGATATCGCCCCGGAGGAACCCTCGTGCCTCGTCCAGCCAGCTCCAGATCCCTTGCCAGAGCCCTACATCATCAACCAGCCCACCCACCACAACACCCCACCCTTCAGCTTCGGGACTCAGTTGGACCTCATCTCCCCAAAACTCCTCCACGATACTGTCATGTCGTAGGTGCCAATCGCAGACTCCCTCATATCTGATCCTTGACGCTTGACGTACTTCCCCAACTGTAACATGCCATTGCTAATACAGACTTTTTTTTTCGCTTGTACAACAACGACATTGTAGTCCAGTACCACAGGGCAGGAAATTCATGTGCAGGATCGTCCGGAAGAACGATGGGGTCGACAAGCGTATCTACCCAACTTATGAACTCTTCCTTGAAGAGCCTACGCGTTCCCGCCCTGTGTTTCTGATGCGCGCCACCAAAAAGAAGCGCAGCCGTGGATCCTATTACGCGATCACGAGTGATTTGGATAACAACATCGGTGGGGACAACGATCGAATGGCCAGTGATGAGGGTTATGGGATCCTGGGGAAGTTGCGGTCGAATTTCTTGGGCACCGCGTTTCATGTCTACACCAACGGACGGAACCCGTTCTCGGGTGGGGAGTTCAAGCAGGAGGATGATATGAAGGAGCCGGAGGCCGTGGAGAAGGAGAAGGGGAAGGCGAAGAAGGAAACTAAGAATAAGAACTTGCCAGTGCGACAGGAACTTGGGGCAGTAATCTATGTATGTCCATCGCCTGACGGTCCGTTTGTTTCTTCGTGCGTGAGTATGGCTCCTGTCGCTAATAAGCTCCATCGTGCTATTTTTTTTTTTTTTTTTTTTGTGGTGATGGTGGTGATGGTGGTGATGCATAGAATCCAAATGTTCTTGGACTGAAGGGACCGAGAAAGATGACGATCTTGATGAATACCATGACGGCCGATGGCGAGATAGTTGAGAAACGCCCAACCCAGATCAAAGACACCCTTATCGGACGTATGACTGACGGCGATATGTCCGACCTCTTGGTCCTGCGAAACAAGAGTCCGCAATGGAACGATGGTAACGCTTCAAATGCTGCAACTTTTTTCTTTCCCTTTTCAGCAGAAAGAGACGACATCTTTTCAACTTTTTAATCTGTCTTTTTTTTTCTTCTTCTCGCGATAGATACCAACTCGTTCGTGCTGAATTTTGGTGGCCGCGTATCTCTGGCATCTGTCAAAAACTTTCAAATCGTCCATGACAACGACTGTAAGCGCCACGATATCTTGTAACAGACAATAATGGAGTCAATACGTTAAAACGACTAACTCTGGCGCCCTTTTTTTTTTTCTTTTTTTTTCTTTTTTTTCTTATTCCAGTGGACTACATCATTATGCAGTTCGGAAGAACGTCCCAGGATAACTTTACGATGGACTGCCAATACCCAATGACTCCCTTCCAGGCCTTTGCATTCGCACTCACCAGCTTCGACGCCAAGTTGGCATGCGAATAAACTTGTCGGCTTTTTTTTGCAAAGCAAACGAATCGCCCATACATACATTCTTTTGCGTTCTCGTTCTCTTTTGTTTATTTCCTTGAAAATAAACCGTTCAGCGTGCAATTGATATAGACATAAAAATAAAAAGTAGTAATAATAAAAAAAAGGCCGCCGCCAACATGCCAAGCGGACAAAACTTAATCGCTATCATAAACGTTCTCGGGTGCCCGCACATCCTTGGAATACATTTGGCGGTTCGCCATCTCGAGCAACGCGACCGCGTCCGGATGCGCATCCATGGCTGAATGCTTTGGACCCTCGTCGCGCTCGGTCAGCGAAGGATGGACCTGCCAGACTTTTATACAGCACGAGTCAAAAAAAAAAAAAAAAAAAGGAGAGGGGCGATTAGAAAAAAAAAAAAAAGAAGAATAGGACACACCACAAGAATAGTTCTCTGGGTTGGAACTTTTGCCGGTCCTTCTTCGATTTACCTTCCATCTCGTCCAGCTTAAAGTCCTGACGCTTGGACAGACGAGGCGACTGGTACGTCGAGCACAATGGCTCGGCTGCTGATTGCCCACTCTGAAAGTCGCTCGCGAGCCACAGTCCAAAGTAACGAAATTGTCCACCGAATCCAATACCTACCCAAACCAAATAAAAAAGTAAAGTTCGCAGCACAGTATTAGTCAACTGCACCTTGAAGCAATGGAAGGCTCCCTCCCTTGACTGGAGGTAAGAGTGACTTTCCCGCTTACCATTCGGAAGAGTCTTGGTGCCGTAGTCCAGGTACTGGAAGTTACTATTCACCCTACTGGGCTGATAGATTCTGAACTGAGGTCGAATCGTAAACAAAAAGCTCCTGTCCGACCCATAGAACTTTGGAGACTGCTCCCAGTCTTGGTCCGCATACGCTCCAAAGATATACCCATCTTCATCCTTCATCAGCACCAACGTCGGGCCCTGGTACATGATCTTCTGCAGCATGGTCGAGAACGAGGCACCCGAGGTCTTAGACGAGAACAATAGCCGCAGTGGCGGCATCGGTCGTGCCTCGCCTGATATCGACTGGTCCAGTCCATCGACTCCTGGCCCGCCAGCGGTCGTTCTAGAGCCTTGTTTCTTGGACGATCCATGCGAGGCCGACAAGTTGCCATACGCCGGTATCGGTAGCGCATACCGCAGCTGAAAGAACTCGGAAATCGTCAACAGTCTGGAAAAGTGTGGTGCGGGCTCAAGGCCTCCTTTGATCCTCGGCGCAATATAATTCCTTTGACACAACTTATTCTCTTGCTCCGTCGTCCATTTAGCCCTCTTTCCTGGAATAAACGCCCCATCATTGCCCATCAAGGTCGAGGGTCCCAGAAAGAGATTCTGAATCAGAATCGTGAACAGGATCTGATATTCTACTGTACACTGGTACCAGTTCAAGAAGGCCGATCGACTCATCTCCTTCGTACTCGGTCTCCCCTCCCGGTCGCGTTTCTGGGCAGCCTCGAGCCATTCCTGAGCAGCCTTCTCCTTTGCATCACCTCCCGTGCTCTGAACCGTATCCAAGTCATCCTCAAACTTATTAAGCGCACCGCTACTACCGCCGTCCAAGTCTGATTGCAGATGTCTCGTCAGAAGAAACTCCGTCGTCGTCTCCGCGTCCTCCTCCGGAATCTCTCTCCACGACCCAATCTCGCCCGCCAGCCAAAAGACCATAACGGCCCTTGTCACATTCGAGATAAAGCTCTCCAGAGACTTGTCGTGAGTCTGGAGCATGAAGTTGAGTCCAGCCTGCTCTTCCGCACTGGTCTTCGAGAGTCGGTGAATCGTCATCACCCAACCGTATTTGGAGATATGGGAAGTCGAACTGACGGACGTCGACCGTGTCAGGACACTGCGTCGATTCTTGCTAGTGTGCCCCGAGCCGTTACCAGCACTGTCACCAGCAGTACTGGTGCCCGAAAGATCCTCGCTTGGCTTGTGGATCATCGAATGCATCTGCATCGTGACCCTGAAGCAGGTCAGCAGAGGCGGCGGAAGTAACGGACTGAAATATGCATTGAAGCACTGAGGATCAATAGAATCCTCGTCTGAGGACGAAGTCGAGTGTTCCTCTTTGGTGTTGCTGCTGCCTAGGTGATTGTCGACCTGGCCTTTGCAGAGTCGGTCAAAGAGATGGAGGATATGGGTTCGTTCCTGGTCCGGAAAATCCGCGAGACAGGTCTCGATGGCCGTGTCCTGCTTGCTTGTCTGTGCCCCTATCGAGCATCAAGGATATTTGCAAAGAAGAGCTGTCAGAACTGGAGGCTCTGTCTAATGAAAAAAAGTCGACGAGCGAATGAATGGGCGTTACATCCACTAACCCATTGCTTTGGTTGGAATGTGGATGCAGAATGTGTTGCCCAGGGATGCGGTGGTTTAAGGGAAGGGGTATCGACTCTGGCTGGTGACATACACCCCCCTTCGCCCTTCGCCCTCACTGAATGTTCAGTCCAGTCCAGTCTAGTCTAGTCTAGTCTAGACACTGTCAATGCGTAGACATATCGGTGCTCATCCACTCTAGCTTTGAACGCGTTTATATTATCGCTATATAACTGTTTACGGTTGCTGTGTCGTCTTCAGCATCGGCAGCTGGCACCATCGATATCAAACAGTGTTGCGTGTACCTATGGCTCTGTTCCTCCTCCTCCTCCTCTTCTTCTTCTTGTTCTTAGCGAGAGATGACTCCACCGTTGACAAAGATCGTCTGCGCCGTGACCCATTGTGATCCGGGTGAAGCAATAAACTCAACCACAGGCACAATATCCTTCACCTCTCCCAAACGACCTGCAACCGACAACGATGAAAAGAACGCTGTCGATTCCTTCGTCTCCTGTCCATGGAAGAACGGCGTGTCAACCGGACCAGGCGCGATCGTGTTCACCGTAATACCACGGCCTCCGACCTCCTTCGCCAACGCTCGCGTGAAATCCTCGAGTGGAGCCTTGGATCCTGCGTAGGCCGAATACTCCGCCGTCGTGATTGCCAGCAGCGTCGTACCGATATTGATGACGCGACCATAGTCAGACATGTGCTTGGCACACTCCTTCATGATAAAGAACGGCACCTTCGCGTTGATGTTGAACAATTGGTCATACTCGGCTTCGGAAGTCTGGGATATGGGCTTCTTGAGGACGACTCCTGCATTGTTGATCACAATATCGACGCGACCAAACGATGCCAGAATCTGGGCAAAGATCTGCTCGATCACAGAGACCGACGTGAGCTCACTCTGAACAATGAGCGTCCTGTGACCCAGGGCCTGAATCTCTAGAGCGGTTCTCTCGGCCTCGGCGGCATCCTTGCGGTGGTGGATCACAATGTCGCAACCGCGTCTGGCGAGCGCCAGAGCAAAGTGCTTACCCATGTTCTTGGCCGAAGCGGTGATAAACGCGACCTTGCCGACCATGTCCTGAGGGACAGCATGCTGGACTTGTGTGTGGGACATAATGTTAAAAATGGCTGGTGAAAGGACGAGTAAGTGGTGTTGAGAACAAGTTGTGGGATACGTTCTCTCGAGGTACGCGAGAGTGCTTTTATAAGCACGTTTGATCACTCTTTGTCCTCTCCCCCTTCGTTTCTTCGTTTGGCCCATTCTTTGGTGCGAACTAAACGATTACGGTGGCAGTACGTGATGCCTACGCGTACTGGACACGTCTGACTTAAATCCGCAGCGGTCTCAAACCCGTGAGCCCGTCTTTTACATCGATTTTAAGTATGTAGTTATTTTTATTTTATTTTCTCTTCTTCAAACAAAGAAAAACGGACTAAATAACAAATACTGTCCTTATTGCTGAATCTTTGCATTGTCGACAATCAGACGCTTCACTCCCGTCATCCAGCTCGACACCTCATCCGTGCGCGTCGAGTGCAGCTCCAGATGGATCTGGTATGCAGAGTTGTAGTTTTTGCTCTGGAGTGCCTGCGCCAGCAAAAGCATCTGCTCCACGACGGGTGCGGACACCTCCTCGTTATTCAGCATATCAAACAGCACGTTCAGCTTCTTTTCTGCATCATCCAATGGTCTCTTTGCTGCAGGCTATATTCACAAAACCAAAATATTCAGACGGGTACGTGAATTAGGTTTTTTCCATTTTGGGGTTAGAGTAAAGGAAGGTTATTTTGAAAAAAAAAAAAAAGTCGATCGTGGACTTACCGTGGCATATTGGCGTGCGAGAGCAAGCTCGCTTGAGAGGACAGTGAAAATCAACTTTTGTCCTGGAGGGATGTGTGTCCTGTCTCCGGTAGCTAAAGTAAAGTAATTGGATATCGTCTTTTAGACCACACTAACAAAACACTGCATAAAAAGCCACATACATCTTCACCAGATAAACTTACGATGTCTGTTTTTGACAGGCTCGGGGGGCGTGGGAGGGGCTGCTGGGGTCAAGGGCCTCTGCTGGAGCACTTGAGGCATGCCACTTGCCATCCCACCCATTGGAGGTTGGTGAGACGGGACATATTGGCTGGGACTAGGTGAAGGCTGACCGTAACCCTGGTATCCTTGTTGCTGCTGTGCTTGATATCCTTGCTGCTGCTGGTGCTGCTGCTGGTGCTGCTGCTGGTGCTGCTGCTGGTGCTGCTGATGCTGCTGGTGAGGGGGGTGACCATAAGCGTTAGCAGGCTGAGGGGGTTGGTATGGCGAGGGCTGTGCCCGCTGGTTGGCATAGCGGGGGGACATGGCTCCAGACACGTTCGTTGGTGGCGGTGGTAAATGCGAAGCTGCCGGCACTGGAGAGTAAGGCGATGAAGTTGCTGCTGGACGCGCCCCTGCCATTGGTGGAGGAGGAAGAGCCGATGCCTGAGGGGGCTGGCCATAGCCAGTCGGGGCAGGCGGAGGCGTGCCACCCATGGGGTTGTTTCCGACAACGGGGCTGCCAGGGAAAGGCGAGCTGAACTGGGCCTTGTTCTGGGCAGGGGGAGCAGCGGGACGCTTGACCGCGTTGTTCAAAGGCACTGGTGGGGGATCGTTCCAATTGCCCGTGTCCTTACGCTGTGAGGGCGGCAGCTCTGCTGAGCGGGTTCTTTCCACAGGTGCTTGCTGCTGATTGTACATTCCACCGTATGGAGGTTGAAGACCTGCATCGTTTTGTCCATAACCTGGCTGATTGTAGGTCGGGGGAACCGTTGGCTGCATGTAACCTGTTCCATAGGTTGGAGGAGCAGGAGCATAGGGGTTGTTGGCTGCTGCAGGCTGAGGAGGACGGTGGTCGTTTTGCTGAGGAGGAGGAGGAGCAACATTGAACGCCGTGGGTGGTGGAGGGACAATGGATGTCTGCTGCTGCTGCTGGTATCCTGTGGCGCCGTAGCTCGTATTTCCATAGGGCGTAGCAGCGGGCACACCGTACGTGTTCTGGGCGCCATAGTTGTTCTGATGCTGAGGTTGCTGAGGCTGCTGAGGTTGGTACTGATTGGACTGGTACTGATTGGGCTGGTACTGGTTCTGCTGGTAGCCCTGCTGTTGCTGTTGCTGTTGCTGTCGCTGTTGCTGTTGCTGTTGACCATACTGCTGCTGACCGTACTGCTGCTGACCATAATGCTGCTGTTGTTGACCATACTGCTGCTGCTGCTGATACTCGCCCTCCGCCAAAAGATACACAACATCGAAAGGGAATTCCGGTGCGGGGATCTTGCTGACGTCTGCACCAGAGTGATACAATCTATCGCGCATCACTGCTAGGGATTCCTTGTTCTGGTAGTCGACCGGGGTCAGATTTAGGTACTCGATGGCGGTTGCTAGGCGACCCTGGGAAGCCATGATCTCAGCATATTCGGTGTACTTGTCATAAAGAGCCGCAAGCTTGTGTTGGCCATCCTGCTCCTCAGGCTGATCTTCGTTGGGGTTTCCAGCAATGGCGACGTCAACATAGTCAATGGCCTTGCGGAAAACAGTGACCTTCTCGATGAAGGCTTGAAGCGAGCGAGCATTACGCTCATATTCGGAAGTCGAAGGATCGTATGTGTCAAGAGCGATCTCCTCCTCCTGCTCCCTGATCCAGATGGAAACCACGCGCTCCAGGTTCCCGGCAGCCAAGTAGCAGAGGACAGTGTTACCACGCAACTGATCTGCAGGCTCACCGGTCTGGACCTTGCTGACCCATTGCTGCTCCAGCCTGTTCCCGAGCGACTCGCATAACTTGCCGAATTCATCAGGACGAGCAAATGTGCAAAGGATGACCACAATCTCTTGCCAGTCAGCCAGATCCGCATTGCGCACAACATCGTCGAGATCTCCCGTCACAACGCTCTGCAAAAGACGAATGTAGGGTGTTGAAGCAGCACGGCGCTCAAAATATGCCTTTTGCGTGCGCTCCAGCAACTCGGGACCACCACAGATGGCAAGAACAAGAGCGTCGGAGAGACGTCCATCGTGAAGACAGACGTTGACAGCCGAATCGAAATCTCCTGCAATGATGCACCGGGTGATTTTCTTGTCGATGTCCGTGTCCGAAGCAGGATAGATGTAGAAGGGGTTCAAAGGCTTCGGCTTCAGCTCATTGCTGACAGGCGTAGCAGAATAATTGGCAAAGGTGTCGTCGGCAAGCTGCTGTTGATCTGTACCACCCGCAGAGAACAATGCGTTCATCTCAGCGTTAGAGCCGCTGAGGTTCTGGAGCCCTGCCTGATGGGGTACTTCATCGGGCTTGGGGGACGTAATGGATGTGTTGCTGCTGATGCTCATCTGACGGGTCAATGCGGCGACTTGATCCACAATCTCCTGCTTATCAAATCCAAGATGATGCACAAGTTGCTCGCGGGGGTTGGCCTCGAACAGTGCGCGAAGGACCGTCCAGTACTCTGAGGTTGACGCATTTGTCTGGGAACGGTTTTCGCAGAATTTGTCCAAGGATTTTGTTTCCAGCGCGTAGTCCAGATCAGCGGCACGCTGCGCCAGCTCCGGTTCCGTCACAACGCTGACAAGAGTAACTGAAGGAATGGTCGTTGGTGTGCCCGCTGGTGCAACAGCGCCAGGAGGAAGGTGCATGGGTGGAGCGGGTCTGTTCCTGAAAATAGCGAGCTTTCCTCCGAATCCAAAAGACGCTCCAACAGGACGACGGAGCCACTTTGGTGGCTGCTTCAGAGAGATGGTCGCAGAAGCATTTTGAGACTGATACTGCTGAGACGCGAATGGATCGTGGGCTTCCTGGGCGGCGTGGCCAGCTGTTGGTGGTGCGTTATCATGTGTCGATTGAATAGAGTGGACGTTGATCTGTTGCAGAAGTGGAAAAGATCAATTGTCAGCGCTCTATACCATGTATGCAATCATTCCTGGTCACAGAGGTGGTAGCATGTATGTACCTGTCCGTCAAACGAAGCAGAAGCCAGCAAATCGGGATTGCGTGGACACCAAGCGATGTCAAATGTCCAGCTTGAACTAGGAGGAAGCTATTAAAAAATAGAACGAGTGAACAACACGTTAGAAACCCTTGCCGTACAAAACCCCATGGTCGATGTAAGAGCAGTGCAATGCGTTGGGTAAAACCATACCTCGCCAATGATCTCTCCAGATTTGGGGTTCCAGCAGAGTGACCGGCAATCTTTGCCTGCAGAGAGCAGCAGATCGGAATCCTGCTGGCACCAGGACAGGGACAAAATTCCCTTGGTATGGCCAGTAAGCGTCTATTTCAAAAGTGCATGAAAGGTAGCAATAAATGGTGAGGATATAGCCGCGTGCGCGTTTCGCAAAATGAAACAAGTAGGTAGTGACATGACACAAATCGTACCTTCTCAGGAGCATGCGCATAGCGAAGATCCCACACCAAAATAACAGGATTGTTGTCATCCTCGGTTGCTGTGATGATTTGAGTAGCCTATAAAGCAAACGTAGACCAAGTGCATGCTCAGTAACCGATAAGAATATAGTCTTGAATAAAGCTGTGCTGATACACAAGACGGCTGTGATACGTACAACATCTGGGTTCCAAGCAATGGCTGTGATTCCGCGGCGGCTAGCACCCATCTGACCCATGTTGCCCATGCTTCCCATGCCTCCAACGCTAGCTCCGGGATAGGAGAGAGTGAGAACCTCACGTTTGGATTTCAGATCCCAAACGACTGTGTATCCTGTGGTTGAACTGGTGGCCAGGATGTGTTGGACATGGTTATTCCAGGCGACACAAGTGATGTCCTCAAGCTTTGAAGACCTAGATCCAGGTGTATATGGCTTTGTCAGATTGCCGAGATCCCAGATGAAGACCTACCAAGAACAGAAAATGGAGAATGAACGTTAGAAACGGGTCGTCAAGAGACCATTACAGATGTCATCGGAATCGTTATGGTGTTATGGTGTGCCAGGGTTACCTCGCCATTGCTGGAGGCGGAAGAGAGAAGATTCTGCTGGAAAGGGTTGAAGTGAAGGCCGCGAACAGGGCCAGAGTGATTGGTTTGCCTCGAAAAAAGGACATCGTCGCTATATTGTCAATCAAAAATGAGATAACATATCGTCAATACGTAATGCTGCTTGATGGACTTGAATGGTGAATCCTTATCCTTTACCTTCCACTGAGGATCGCGTTGGCATCCCACAGGTTGAGCTCGCCGTTTTCCATTCCTCCAGCAATGATACCATAAGGCCTGTCAACGGTTGGACTTGCCCATGCCAAACGGTTGAATCTGGGCGAGATGAGAATAGGGAACCAAAAGTTAGTCATTCACTCGGTAGCCTGGAATGGATGACACCAATTCCTTTCTTGAGCACGCTTACCTGGCATTGCTCGAGACAACACCGGCAGGCTGAGTGATCTCGAGTGACTCGGGCGACTTGTCTGCCAGGTTCAGATCAAAGATTTCGAGCTGCGAGGTGTTTGAGAAGTTGGCATCAAAGGCACCAGCGACTGTTCCTGTGGCGAGTAGTGGCGCGTGCTGACCAGGACTCCAGGCGAAGGTTGAAGTCCTTGAGATGGTTTTCTGCCTCATGCTTGGCCTCTATTGAAAGCGAATGTCGATGTTTTTGTTGTTTGAAGTATGCGTCCTCCTTTTTCTTGACTTGACTAAGATGATGAAGCCCAGAGAGAGAAGAGTGTGATGATCAGTGGTCTTTGTCGTTTGGCTCCTGCGAGTCCAGTGATGGGATGAAATAGATGTGATCTTTAGAGTCAACCGCGTCCAAATGTTTGCTCCGGATGTTAAAAAAAAAAGAAAAAGAACGCGTCTGCAAAAGGGAGCAGCAGAATGTGGAGCAGAGGGAGCGCGCAGTTCAGGGCCCTCGTCGACCTGCTGCTTCTGGTACTCCTACTGCTCCTACTGCCTGCTGGTCGAGCCTTGTCTGTGGTGATGAGGTTCGGACTGAGGACAGACACGACAGCAAGGCGACATATGGGCTGGGGCTCTTACGTTGAATGAAGGAGTGGACAGATGCACGCGACAGAAATGAAAAGGAAGAAGAGAGAAAGATGACTAAACCCTCTGGAGGGGATGGGAGAAGGAGTTTTAAAGAAACGAGAAAATGAGAGAAGGGAAGAGGGAGTAAGAGACGACAGGAGGGAGATGAAAAAAAGGGTCATCTTGATCCTCTCATCATCGAGCTCGTTTCTTGCCACGTCACAGACATCTCTCTCTCTCTCCCAACCTGGATGTTGACATCCTCAGTTAGTGATATATCTTGCTGGGTGTACCGTTCAAGAAAGCAGCCCTGCTTTTGCAATGCTTGGTCCTTGCTTCAATGGGCCAACACAATCTCTCAAAAATAACCTTGACACTTCCCAGCAGCCTTTTCGTATGAAACCCCAGATCAGCCAGCAGCAATGCTGCCTATACATCTTTATTCTTAGTGCATTATAACAATCCACACCTTTAACCGTTCTAAAGCTTGGCGAAGGTTGGCTTTTTCTTCTGCATGTTGGCAGCAGCAGCCTCAGGAAGATCCTATCCACACATCGAGCGCGGAACGAAAGAAAGAGGCCGTTTATCAGTATAGAGGACAATCCAACCTATTCTCGCCATGCGTCATCAGAGCAAGCAGATCAAACAACATACAGGCGTGGTCAACATGACCATGTTCCATGCTGCAGTGTAGTTCAATCCTTCCTGAACACTGTGGTCGCGAGAGTAGTTCAAGAGATGTCTAAAAAAAACCAAAATGAATGATTAGTAAACTTATCATAGTTTAATTGAAATTGGAAGCATCTCTCAGCAAAACTGATCGTCGTACTTGGTTCCCATGGCAGCAACTGGAGATTTCTCGGCAATGAACGTGGCGGTGGCAATGGCCTCCGCAAGGACCTCAGTGGGGCCTGGGAGGAGCCTGGAGATGAAGCCAAATTCCAGGGCTTCCTTGGCATCAAAGCTATTGACACAGAAACCTTGTTAGCCAGCAAGACCTTGCAAAGAATCATTGCGCTGCAAGGAAATAAAAAGAAACCAGGCACTTACTTTCGTCCGGTCAAGCAGAGCTCTCGGACCCAGCTGATGTTTCCAACGACCTTGGGCAGACGCTGGAGCGTTCCAACATCGGCAGCCAGACCAATATCGACTTCCTAAAAAGGTTCAATTGCATTCAATGGTACGCGTTCAGGATCGGCTCCTCTTTTGCGTAACACGTACAAAGTCCAGGCTATCAAAGAAAAAAATGCAACTGAAGGCCACCTTCACAGAAAAGTAGGCGTCCTTTGAGGCAAAGCGGATGTCGCAGGCGGTTGTGATGTCAATACCACCGCCAATGCATGGTCCGTGAATAGCTGCGATCACGGCCTTGTCGCACAGCTCAATGGCGCTCAAGCTGTCTTGCAGAGACTATCATTAGCGTGGCAAAAAGAGATCGAATTAACAAACGAACTTGATTCATTTTTATCAGAGTCTACAACACATATAGCTGTCATGCCGTACCTTGACAAATGGACGGATTTTGAATGCAGTACGGGAAGGATCATCCTCAACAATTGGGAGGTTAAGCGAAAACACTACAAAGCGAAATGTGAAATGCCAATCGAGTCAAATAATGCGTAAAAACACATCCCACCCATCTCGTAGTCTAGACCGACTAGATATTGGGCAACTTTTGACGAGTGTGAGATGGGAGGACAAGAAGGAAGGACATGGAGCATACAGTCGAGTCCACTGGTGAAACAGCGGCCGGAACCAGAGAGGACGATGGCACGAACTTCCGGATCGTCCCTGAGGGTATCAAAGACGGATCGGATGTCGGCCCACATAGAGCTATTGATGGCGTTCAACTTCTTGGGCCGGTTGAGTTCGACGTGAGCAACGAAGGGGGCGGGGAAAGAGACTTTGACAGTCTCGTAGGTATACTCTGGCATATTGTGGTTCGTGTGGGAGATGGAGGGAGAGGCGATGAGGTAGTGGGCGGAATGAAAAGAAGAATGAGGAACTTGCACAACCGAGAAGACGAGGAGTGAAAGTGGGGGGCCGAAACCTTACAGGAACAAAAGTGATCGGCGGCATGGAGAAACTCAAAGCCGATCATGTGATAGTCCAACGCGTGCAACGCCGGATCGAAGGCAACCTTGGAAACAAAACAGAAGGATCGAAAGGGCCGGTTCACTTTTAGCCAGACATGCTTTATTTAAAGATCCTATATCTCGTCGACCCAATTCTATGTTCCCATGAAGCAATAAAGCAGTTGTCAGTTCAACCAGATCGTCATCACACTCGTCTTGTTCGGTGCCTATGATACTCACTGCAAAAAGAAAGAAAGAAGACAGAGTCAGGTCAACTTCTGCGATGACTAAGACAGCATCGCGGTGTGAGATGTATGGATCGATCATGAGATGCACTCACCATTTTCACGGCGCACCTGATCCTCCTCTTCGGGCGTAAAGTCGTTTGTAATGTTAAAGGTCTTCCTGATTTCTTCTGGCGACTTGGCTAATGATACATGATTAACATTATCCAGTGAGAATCGTATCCAGGCCAACATCTCACTTCTCAAGTCCATGTCTTTGATGACGATGATGATGATGTTGCGGGGAAAAAGTCGACTTACCTTTGATCATGTTGGCAACTGTTTTGCATGTCAAATCCAGCAGCGGTTTGATATCCAGGTAGTTCGCCGCCTACAGTTTATGCATGGAAATATCAGCAACCGATTATCGTCGTAGGCATCCAATGCAACTATAACTTCGCCTCGTGATGGATTACCAAAATCAGCTCGTAAAGCGTTCCTTGGTCAACTTTGCAGTATTCCAGGTCCCATTCGCCAATGTCCGCTGTCGCATCATCATTTGCACTCTGAAAGTTGGGGTTGTTGCGGTGATGCGTGCAATATTCGATCACCTTTGTGAGGATCGGTCCTGATACATTTGGCAATGGGATCGCTTGTTGTTTCAAAGACGCGCATTCGAAGGCGTTTGACGCAATAGAGATATGGACGAAGATTAGCTGTGCGACATTATTCATTTCCCAATAGCAGCAAGCTGATAATGAAAAAATAAATAAATAAAAGGTAACAACAGAAAGACTCTTGACTTTGACATAGATGGTGGTCCCTGAAGGCAGTAAAGCATAGCTGACAATTAGGTCTCTCCTTACCTTGTCCGATTTCTCCAATGTCTTCAAGCATGCACTTCAAGAGCATGCTCTTGTCCGCAATGTCGCGATCAATCAGGAATTCTGTGCCTTCAGATGAGGTAAGAAGAATTTGTGAGGCTGATGAAGACATGTTCAGGTTGCTTTGTTGGCAGCGTTGGGTAAGTTGGCGAGGGGGTGAGGTGAAGTGAGTACTGGTTGAATGCCCTTATTGTTCGCCCACATAGTCACATTCGCGCCACCAAATACGTGCTCTAATGGAATGTGGTGCAAGAATGTGGGCCTATTATTGACTCTGCACACCCCTATACCGATCCATGTCCTATCCGCAATTATCTGCCTAATATCCAGTGCGGATGCGGTTCCAGTTCGGTGGGTGATAAGTGCATGACTTTACGTGTCAGGTCCATGCCCCTAGATAGCAAGTCACTAGCCAATATAAAACCCAATTGCTTCTATTTGTTTCTTTTGTTTACCACCCCTCTCTGATCTGATCTTCTTCCCTCTTCACTACCACTACCACACTCTCCCATCACCGAATCATCACACGCACCAAGGCGAAACGCGACTTCGACCCTCAGGTATAGGTAAGTCACCAAGTCCGCCCTGCATTCTCTTTCCTCCCTTTCTATCGCAATGATGAAAATCTTGATTTACCGTTGTCGGCGAACGCAGAGGTATCCGCTTTCACAGTGGACCGACCCACCTTGTGCACGCCATATGGCCATGGTATCAAAACGCACTCTCATCGGGTGCTGTCTGAGCTATCCTTCCTTAATCTATCTTTTTTCAATTGATGCATCAAGATTGAGGCAATTGAAGTGACATGCTGACTGATCAACCTTCATCCATTTCTTTGCATTGTCTACAGTTTTATAGAACGTTTTTTACATCGCAGGGCTGGTTGCACTGTGAGCGAATTGGGGCATATCTTCGTCTGGTGTCCTCTCACTTGATATGCATCGAGTAAATGGCTATGACTTTGTAGAGACTGTGTCTATTTCATGAATGCCAATAAAAATCATGTTCTATCCAAATATAATTGCTTTCTCATCGTATGTATGAAATGTGTAGAGAGGAAAAAGCGGAATGTTTGCCACTAAAATATAATCTGATGTTTTGAAAGGCACAAAAAAAATTTTTTCTTGGTCAAGTCCCATACTCCATTCCATTCCACAACCTGCATCAACCCTACATACATCTATAATGACAAAGGTCAAGGAATCAGGCGACGCTCTCGAGGATGATTTCCAGCTGTCAGATACTGAATACTTGAGCGACGGCGAAGACGCTGGTGAACAACTAGTGTCAGGCGACGAAGAAGGCAGCAACGTCTCTGCGACCGTTGGATCAAAGCGCAAGGCTATAGAGACACCCAAGAAAAAGAAACAGAACAAGGTAAAAAAAAAAAAGGCTCAAAGACACAAACGTCGCTGGATCCATCTTTCAACATAAAACCGTGGCCAAGAATATTATGTTAATTGGGTCAATGCGTTGTCCTTTTTTTTTATTTCGTTCGGAACCGGTCTGTCCCCCCTACCCGTCTAGTCAAAGAAGCAGAGAATCGAAGAGAACAACACGCCGCTCGGGAAACGTACCCGTGCTTCACAGATCGAAGCATTGAACGACAGTCAGGATCGCGCACTCGAACATCTTTCTTCAATTGAGCGTGAGGAGCGCAGGATACCCGAATCCGCCATTAAGGATGTTTCTCCCTTTGCGCTGGATCACACCCTTGTCCATCTGGAATCCTTTCTCAAGTTCGCAGTCGCCAACTGGAAGTCTAAGCTGCTCGTCAAGGATGCCAATGCAGCAGCATTATCAGCAGCGGAGCAGCGCAAAAACGATAAGAACACCAAGGAAAAGAAGGATACAAAGAAGAAGCCGTTGGAGACATCAACCGATCTACCCAAGGGTTCGCCCGTGGTTCTGATTGTCTCCTCAAGTGGTGTCCGTGCGGTAGATGTCATCCGGGCGCTGCCCTTGTTTGCAGAGGCTGCTAAGGTCGGGAAACTGTTTGCGAAGCATTTGAAGGTAGCCGAGCAGGTTTACTTTTTGAAGAACACGCCCACCCATATCTGCGTTGGAACGCCCAACCGTATTGAAAAGCTGATTGAAGATGGTAAGCAGATCCATCAGGGCTCCTGAATTTCAGGGGAACGGTTTGTTATTATCGCTTGGTTAACAGTATTATCTACTCTGGTTTCCATAGATGCATTGCATCTCGATCGACTGGAACTCGTCCTCTTGGACTGCCACAAGGACGCTAAGAAACGCACCATCCTCGATATTCAGGAGATCCGCGTCGATCTTTTCAAAATGTTGGGACTGGAGGCTCTTGACGAACGATTCAAGTCTGGTCAAACCCAAGTCGCCATCTTCTAAGCGAGCTCCGCACTATATTATCTCATTCATTCTGCATTTCTCCATCATGATCATTAAAAGCATCGTCTAGCATTTGGCATTTGGTATTGTATTTGTCACCAAGCTTCATAGTTGAATTAACTAATAACGACAATCTATGACCATGCTTTAATGTCATGATACTGGTAAAAGCACCATGACGATGCTTGCAAGATTCAAAGGCCAGTAGACGCAGCAGATGGTCGGTAGGAGCCATGTTCCCAGAACCTCATATCCCTCAAGCACCCAGCTCAGTACAAAGCTGACGTCTTTGGAGTACCACCACGCCGCTGCCAGGGCAAGACCAGGTGGTGAGATCGCTAGTAAGACAACAGCCTGCATAGCTGAGAAGGCCGCAACGTTGCTGGGTCTGAACGCCATGTAGGGCAATACAATGATTACGCCAAAGCTGACCGCCAGACTGAAGTTCAGGGCCGAGAGGCTCGTAACAAACAAGGCCGAAAGAGCGAGGATGAATGTCTTAAGCATAATCCAGTCTGCAGCAGGAGGCAAGTCTGGGGATTCTGAAGTCGAAGACGTCTTCTCGGCGACCTTGATGTTGGAATTCTTGTCCTTAAGAATACGGTTGCGAATGGTTGCTGATGAAACAGCTGACAGGACCAACATGCTGCACACGCCAATGCTGGCAATTAGTTTCAACAATGGTGTCTGAAGCGAGAGAACAGGGGAATCCCGATTGTAATTAGGTCTCTGGACAAGCAAAGTTCAATAACTGCAACCACATGACAACTACGAGTTTTTACCTCGCCAGGGAACCCGAACGCAGTCGTCAACAGAATGAAAGATGCCCAACCGGCAACAAAGGATATGGCAACGACGGTCGCAGGCACCTTGAAACTTCTTTCTCTGCGCGAGTAAGGAAGCGCAACCGCCACCTTTTTACCCTCCGCGATGGCTTCTAGCTCCAAAGGCAGATCACTCGACAGACCCCAGAGTGAAAGTGCCTGGAAAATGAAGCTGACTCCGAGAATGATGACAGGAGGCATGTACAATCCAATGGAGGTATAGCGTCTGACGCCACTGAGCAGGTAAAAAAAGAACGACTGGTGGAGATGTTCAAGTAGGTTGTTAAGACTCCTGACAGTAGACTCGAGCAATCTATACATGCACAAATACCAAGACAAGCGTTAAGGACGGTTTCGAACTCCTGGTCTACATGTTTGTGTGATCCAGCTCAAACTTGAAACACATACGCTGCCAGTCGGAAAAGATTGTAGCGTTGCGATGGCCAGCCTGGCTTGTCGAAGCCATAAAGTGTTATCGCGTCGATCTTATATCTATCAAACAAACCCATTTGTTAGCAACGTGTCGGTCGCTGTAAGGTTGTCGCCTGACGTCCACACCAGATCAGCAAGATCGCAACCTACTTTAAATAAAGGCCGTGATTCCCTGATGGTGTTCCAGCCGCCTGATACTTCATCATGTACAGCATCTTCTTGAGCGAGTTGATGTAATTCTTGGTCATGTTGTCCGTATGAGGAACCAGCTCATCGTGAAGGGTCAGCTCCACGGGTGCAATGCCCTCCGCGATTTCTGCGACCGTGTTGATCATGTCTAAGTTTGGCAGCTGTCCATTCACTCCCTCTTCAAGTCGATAAAAAGGATCAGTCGTACGAATGCGGATCAAATTCGACTGTGCGACAAACAAATGCCGTTCAAAAGACATACCAAAAAAGATTCCGAGGGCATTGTAGTCTCCAGTTCCTGCAAAATCGAGATTCAATGCTGCTTGAATGGCTCCACTCCTGATACGAAGCGTTTCCTCGGATTGATCTAAAGAGACAAGTATAGATAAGTGATAAGCAAATGCCTTTTTTTGCTTCCATATTATCACAGACGATACGGAAGAATAATTAAAGCTTGCCTTTACTGTTTTCCTCAAGTCCATGATATGCCTTAAGCCATGCTTGTAGACCTTCGGCTTCTCCGTCCGATACAACAAAGATGATATCCTTTGAGAAATGCGAGCAGCCTATGGAGTACGCAGTATACAGAGCAATGTTAATCTCCCGTCAGGCAGAGCAAGTCTTCAATATGCCGAGAAAAATGTCCAGATTCCCGCTTACGCTTGAAAACTTTTCCGAGAGCGAGGAGCATTGCGATGCCATTGGTATTTGCTATTGGAGTATGGCAGGCACTAATATTAGTCCACCGTTCGTCCATGCCTTCAATTATATGATATCGACGGTATATTTGACCTACTCTCCTGGTCCCTTGACGTCCATGATGCGCTCAAGACCAAAGCTTCAGTGCCATCGCTTCTCGGTGCGTAGAAGACAGCGTATGTGTTAACACCATGCTAGATCACATCAGTCGAAAGACACAACGTTTAGTTCATCCGCATAGTTCATTATCGACTGTATATTGCTGCCTGTCCATTGCGTACCCGTGAGTCAGTGCTAGTGTGGAGGGTATAATTCTGTGTTGCTGATTTCAGTCCGATCTGTGAGAATTCGATCTGCAGTGCTTCCGCGCGCCTACACGTAGAGACCACCAGGGTTAGTAAACAGTAGCTCACTGAATAGAAAAGGTAGGAAGATCAGTTGAGACAAACGGGGTCACATACTCGAAAGATGGCAGCTTTGAAATCCTTTGGATAACGTCGCGATATCCCTCCGCAGCTAGGTTATCATCCCAGCCGAATTGTACGTTGGCCTAGAATATGGGCCACAAAGATGATCCAGAGAAAACATCAATTGCCCTGAACAGCAGTTTTTCTTCAAAGTCGTTGAATGCGGAATATGACAAATGAGGCGCATACACTTCCTGGGAGTAACGCGTTCTCGGAGACGTATGTTTTCTTGCTGTAGTCCTGGTGAGGGAGAGCGAGTAACCACATGAACGACACTGCAACCAAGACGTAACTAGAGTGAGGAAAAGACGTGGGAAGTTATCCAACTGTTGGCTGCACTGCTTCAGGTCTGTCTTTTGGTTGATGGCATGGTATCGTCCAAGCATTCAAGATGCAATACCTCAACTTTGGCATCCAGCTGAGGACGAACCGCCCAAACTTTTGTCGCTTCTGCGCCTTTGTCAGACGACTTAGCAGACCCATGGCGCTTGTTCCAATATCAGTGGTGGTGACTCTTCCTTGTGCTGTGAAAGTCCTTGCGGTTGTCGATGTGATGATGAATGAGCGAGGATTGTCGAGAGCAGAGTTGAAACGTGGTGGAACGCGCGATGCATCCCCACATTCGTTTTTTTTATAGTGGCTTGAGGAAGGTACAGGGATGTTCAACTCTGCTTTGGAGCGTGGACTGAACCCTTGAGCATTCATCATCTCACTCCGACTCACACATCTCGACCGACCGAGGAAGACCATACCCACCATCGACCCTCGGCCTGCTCTTCACCGCCATCATCCCCTCTCCACTCATCCCTACCAATTCACATCTTCGTTACTGCCACCACAACTGGTTCTGTTCCCCTCCAGCGTCTCTGCTTGTCGCAGCAAACACCATCACCTCCAGTTATGAACGTGCTGGAATTGAAAGCATGCAAAGAGGACACACCCGACTTCCGCAAGCAAGTTAACGAGCATGAGGATGCCGTTCTTGCACTCGAGACTTCTGTCAGATCCCTGTTGAAACTATCCAAGGCGAGCGTGGAGTTGACTGAAGGTATGAGGTACCATCAGAGCACACGGATGTGTTCTTCAGGAACCAGATCCCACCGTTAACTCTAAATCACTATCATAGTTCCTGACCCCTTGCCCTCTCTTCTTTCACTTGCACAACCTGAATAGAGTACACCGCCAAGCAGTTGCAGATGGCCGAGGAGATGATGGCTCTCGCCCAGTCTCAGCGGGGCCATGACTTTATCGTCAGTAGGTCACCGTACCCGATCGGGTTATTGGCACGCGGTCTGTTCTCAGTCTGTGCGACCAATCTCATTTCTATTTTTGATTATTTTTTTTACTCGTAGCTCAGTCGATTGAGACGTTCGCGCGTGCGATCCAGGATCTGGAGAGGAACCGATCCATGATGGTGAGGATCTCCACAAGGCACATCCCACACTAGCGTTTTTTATAGAATGATCCTTGTGTTTAATTGCTTTAACGTCTGTATCCAACCCATGGCAATCTGTGTTCCTAGAACACTCAAATCACCCAAATGTTCATCGAACCTATGGAGACTTTTCTCAACCATGAGGTCGTCCCTGTCAAGGTCAGTTGTCATTTGATCAATGTTCTTTATTTCATGAATAGGGAAGTACATGAGAACTAAGCAACTGTCATACTTTTCTGCGAAAATACAATAGGAAGCGAGAAAGTCGTTTCAAAGGACTAGTGATGAGGCGGATCAAGCGCTTCATCGCTACATGAGCAAGAGGGCGCGTGATCAGACTATCCCAGAGGTAAGAACTCGTTCATTTGTTCGCCCTTGCCCTGAAGCGAGGGGACAAGCGTGTTAATTTTTGCCCCGATCTGCCTCCTTGCAGACTCAAGATCCTAAAATGACTTATTCCCTATTTGATTCATCTCTCATTAGGCCTCCAAGGATGTTGCTGACGCGAGGAAAAAAATGCATGTAGAGTATGTCGACTATTGCATCAAACTAAACGAGCTACAGGCAAGGGAAAAGTTTGAGTTTACAGAACATGTAAGGATTTCGCATTACAGGATTCAATGTTAAAAATGCTAGTGATCCCAGATACGCCTGCAGAACCATTTACCACAATACTCAATTGTTTACGCGCACTCTTTAGATCGTCACATACATGTATACCCTGAGTTCATTCTACCATCGCGGATACGATGTTTTGAGCAATGCTGAGCCCTACATGTCGACAATCACAGAAAACATCCAGGGAGTATGTCAACAGAACCGTGTGCACATTGGAAATTCAAGCATCCCGCTTTCTTAGTAGCATTCAATCTTATGTTGCTCGCCCTCATTTCATTGATACTAGGCTCGATCACGATTTACGGAAGAAAAGCCGATTATTAAGGCATTGAGAGAGGAGACATTGAACGTAAGGACTTTAGTTGGATCACAGGCACCGTTATTGAACGAGATGAACACCTCCAACACACAATGGCAGACAAACTCACGTTTTTACTGTGGACATAAATTAGGTTGGAAACGAGGTCTACTACCCATTGCGGCCCTTTGGAAGCAGCGCTGAGGTTCGGACACACGCTACCACGAAATCTGGATATCTATACAAGAAGGGTCCTCAGAGGGTAATGGCAAGCTGGAGTAGGCGCTACTTTGAGATCGAGGGAGAACTTCTGTCATACACTACCAGAGGTCCCAACCTGAAATCCGACAGCGACTCCAGCATGGTAATCAACTTGCGAGTATGTACCGTCAAAACGATCGAGAACGGAGATCGACCGCATCTTTTTGAGGTAATCTCGCCGATGCGGTAAGTTCTATGCCTTATCGCTCAAACGTATATTTGGGGCCTATCAACGCCATGCCAACATGCTCTTTCCTTTTCTTAAAAAAAAACTTAGTGTTCATTACTTGCAAGCTGAAAATTCGGAGGATATGAAGGAGTGGGTATGCTGTCTGCAAAATGCTATTACGGCAGCCCACAATTCAGAAAATGCACCGGAGGTCCGGGGATTCGGCAGTAGCAAGGAGAGGAGCGAGCCTTCATTTTCGCAGCATGGATCACCCAATCTAAACGGAAATACGGACCAGGACAAATTGCTGCTACTGCAGGTGCGCAAGATCCCTGGCAACGAAGTCTGTGCCGACTGCAAGTCATTAAGTAAGGAAGTGCACGGATTATCAGTGTGCGGGACATACCTTGTAGGATATGTCTAGGGTTCTTACTAATGCAAATTTGTATGTACAAACAATAGGTCCAATGTGGGCGAGTGTCAATCATGGAACAGTTCTTTGCATCGAATGTTCAGGAATCCATCGCAGTTTGGGCGTACATGTCAGTAAAGTGCGATCCCTCAACCTGGACAAATGGGAGACGGAAACCGTCGGTGTAAGTCTGCCTGTCGATCACATTTGGAGGAGAAGAGAAAAGAGTCTACGATTTCTGGTTCTTACTTCTTTAATCTAATTCCGGCATATAGCTGATGTTGAAGTTGGGCAATGAAAAAACCAACAAGATCTTTGAGGCCAAGATATTGAACGGGGCTGAAGAGCGTTGGGTCTCAGTCAACTCGGACAGGTAAAGAAGAGGACTGGCTCTGCTCAACATCTGCGGCCCTTCATTTCGTTACCTTGACCTTTCCTTCTGCTTTCGCTGCTATCTAGAGCTGAAAGGGAGAGATTCATTATGGCCAAGTACATCAGGAAGGAATTCATTGATGATGACAGCGATAAGAAAGAGTTTTTGACACGCTCAGTTCACGAGGCGTTCTGGGAGGCGATGGATGTGTCAGACTACAGCGAAGCGTTGCGTTGCCTGGCCCTGGGCGCCAATATCGACCATCACAATGATGACCACGGGTCGATGACTTCGCTGCACCGAGCAATTGTTCGACGAGACGACATTGCAGTTGAGTTCCTGTTCCAGTGGTTCTGTGACATTAATGCGATCGATGGCGAGGGCTGGAGCGCACTGCACCACGCAGTTGCGAATGATAACTCGAAGGTTCTGACCAACCTGATCAAGAGACATGCCAAGTACGATATCAGGAACAGGAACGATCAGGTATGTGGACGTGGCATGTTTCGAGCCGATTTTTTTTAAACCCCCTCCCCCATACTCGGACAGCTCTTGATTCTGACTTGGTGTCCTTCTACCTACGATGCTTTCCGAAAGACCCCACTGGACCTTGCAAAGTCGCTGGAGAAGAGCGAGGCCCTGATCGTCCTTCAGATCTACCAGTTTGAGCACCAGCAGACAGAGCAAACGCGACCTTCTAGTGCGCAATCCGGAAACATGTCAACCCCTGTCCTGTACCAGTCCCAAGCTCCTTCCCCGTCCCCATCGCTCCCAGGCTCTGCTTCAACATCGTTCTCAGAACCTTCAGGATTTGCATCTGCGGACACCATTTCCTTGGCTTCGACCGCAAACGGATCTCTCCCGCCGTTATTGGCGACGTCATTGTCAAGCACCATCCTGCCAACCATGGCTACGATGTCCAAACCAAAGGAGGGTAAACCCAGCTTATCTTCGAGAAACAGTACTGGGACCGTTTCAACGTCTGCGAAGTCGTCCTCAAGTGTGGCCTCCACACCAACGAGGTTCTCGGTGGCGGACTCGCGTTCCTTGGCAAGCACGATTATCACGAGCTCGAATCCTTGGGCTGAAGAGGCTGAAGCTGGAAAGATCCATGGGACTGAGGCTGTGGAGGAGACTGCTGAGGCAGCCTCGATCAAGGGAGAGGATGCGAAGTGAGCTTCAAGCAAAGCACAGAAACAACAGGACTCTAAACCATCCATAGAAAATAAAATAAAATAAAATAAATAAAATGCAAAGACATCAAACGTCTGCGCAACATGTTTACGGTTTTAACGTTTTTGACAATAGCGCTTGACCATAAGCGAGCAATCAGCAGTGTTTTTGATGTATGAGTATGGTGGTGCTTTGGAACATGGCGAAGGCGAAGGCGAGGGCGAGGCAATCTCGTGAACGTTCCACTGTGGAATACTATAACTTGCCTCGCAACAGCACTTGCATGCCCCATGAAATCTCTTCCTGCAACACCCTACTCATGCGGATAATTTACAGTGAAATCAGCAGTTGTGGGGATGAGCAAAGGAACCGTGGTAACGCCAGAAGCTTCAGGCGGCAGTAATGGCATGAGTGACAACCGCGGTAAAAAATTGAGCAGCAGACAGGACTTTCATTTCCGCGCGGAGAGTTAGGGTAGCGTGACAGGCTATTACCATTTGTGGAATTCACCGGTGAACTTTATTTTTCTGACATATAGGGTTATGTGGCTTGACATTTGTGACTGCTACTTTCATTCCTCTCCTCGCTTTCAAAGAGAATGCTTCGTCTCTCATCAGCAACCAGTGTACTCCAGGATTAATATTGTTCATCTCCAGCATGTCGCATTTCAAAAGTGTCACCAGCGAGTTTAAGAAGCGTCTGGCGGATCAGCCCGTCATCAAGCGTGCTGTGGTCACACCTCTGGCTGCTCAGGATGACGGCCCGCTATACACATCTTCAAATGCCAATCCGAACAACAATGGATTGCAAGTCTTCAAGACCAGCAAGAAGAAGAAGACTGAGGGTACATATCGACATGCGTGTGTGTCTGTGAAGAACTGCAGTATGTGTAAGATAAGGCAGCATGCTAAACACTTTGCCCATGCTTTTTTTTTTTTTTTTTTTTCCTATATTACTAAATAGTGTACTCTCAACCGCAGGACACAGGAGCAGGCAAACATATCATGAGTTTGGTCCTTAGTGCCATCAACTTTTTGAAGGTACAGCTTTAGCCAATTTGTGGGAAGAATATATATCAACATGAGACAGTCTATGATACCGAACTGAATGCTGACAGCAATATCGGACCTCGACTCAAATATGATTTTTTCAGTCGACAGATGAACCACAGACGGTCGAGGATATGAAGCGTAAAGGAAACGTTGATCTGGATGCCAACCCTGAGCTCTATGCCCGACTGAAGGCTAATGAGAAAGTAGATTATAATGAGCGGGATGGCACGTTTGCCTACAAGGTACGTATGCTGTCATGAAGTTGTGCATGGTTTCTATTGCTGATATTTTTTCGGCTGTATCCTGGGTGGATGGACTCAATTGATTAACATGCTTCTGTTACTGTTGCTGGTGTTCATTTCTTGTATTGCTTCAGCCAACATATCAGATCAAGAGCAAAGAGGATTTGTTTATGATGCTGGAAAAGCGGAGACATGAAGGAGGGATGGACTACAAGGAACTGAAGGACTCATATTCAAAACTCTTACAGGCGGTGGAAGAATTGGCAGCAGAGGGCAGGATATTGGTGGTACGGAATAAGGATGGCAATCCGAGGGTTCTTTTCTGGAATGATCAACGATACAACACTGCCATGGATCCAGGTACGAAGACCATTTTCTTTATTTTATTATTCGTGTACCACCCTGATGTGGGGAACAATCGGAAGAGAAATTTTGATTGATCTGGATGCATTTCTTTTCTTTCTTCCCTGCTCTCTTCTCGTTCGATAGAGTTCCGTCAGATTTGGCACAGGCTGCGAATCCCGGATGAGATTGATCTGCCAAAGGAACTGGAAAAAGCAGGGTTGACACATATGCAGGTGTTTGATAAGAAGGGACCGGGCGACGTACCGAAGCGCAAGCAAGTGCGCCGGAACCGAAAGATGAAGATCACGAACACGCATATGAAGGGCCTGGATCTTACCAAGGACTTTGTCATTCAAAAGTGAAAAAAAAAAAAAAAAAAAAAAAAAAAAAAACTCTCTCACTCCATCCGACTTCACTTTGCTTTTTTACTTCTCCAGAAGCAAATGCTGCTGCTGCAAGAGTACATCCATACTGACACAATTGTGCACACTCCAGGCTTCAAGAGGATACTCATCTCATCATACATACTGGTTGGCGTATTTTTAGATGAGCGGTAGCCTAGCAAAAATAAAAGATAAAAATAAAAAGGTATGAGGTTGCTTTGGAAGGATAGGACGACGAGATAGAGGAAGCCCTGCAGATTCCGCAGTGTACTCGGATTGTTTGTGGCAGAAACTGGGGTTGCTCAGCTGCATACGTAAGTAGGTGGACTGTGCTGCAATTGCGGTTGCTGGAACAGCGAAAGGGCAAGAGACGGTAAAAAAAAATAAAAAAATAAAAAAGGGCTCTTGGGTAATGATGAAATACATCTACTTGAGCACGGAGCAAGTGCCCGTCTAGTAGCCATATGAAGATAGTTTCCATAGGTTTATCCATCCGAGCCAAAGGGAAGGGATTCGCTGTAGCAGAATTCAGCCTGAAAAGGGACAACCCGACAGAAGAGGTCGTTACCCTCTTGTGTCCCATGGATATACAAACGTACACACCATTGTGCACATGTACACATGCTGTAAATGGACGACATTTGTAGACGACACCTGTAGATATACGTGTAGGGAGGTGAAGTAAGCATGAAAATAGAAGAGGACGTTCATCGCTCATTAGAGACCATGAAAGAAGGCAGGATTCAGCTTGCTCTGAGCATGCAGACAAGTACAGAACTGTACATGTAGTTGCCTGATCATGTATAGATAGACCCACAACGATAGTTGGATTGTGCGTGACAAAAAAACGCTCCCCCAATGCGAATGCTATCTATCCCTGGCTCTACAACGTCATTGAGGACCCTATTGAGTTCAGATGGCAGGGCTTTACAGCGCATTTCCATCGTTTGTTTTGAAGGTTCTACATCGCTACAAAGTTTTGTCATTTCTTCATCACCCCTGGATCTCGCTGCTAAATCAACTTTTTGCATCTCAGCGCACGCCATTGTCGTCTCAAGCACCAGTTTGCTTACACTAGCCGCAAGCATTTTTCAAAAACCATTTCCTCATCGAAGCCTTGGATGCTGTGGAAGATAGCTTCGACAACTATTAATAAACTATATATCAGAAATTTTACGGACAACGATAGATTTTGTGTAACAATCAGACAATGGGCGATGGGTTTATACATTGGCATGTAGACAAAGGAACTGCCTGCTGTTGCGGATGAAGATGATTATTCGCTTCAAGTGGCCAAGGCACTCTTCATATCAATAGGCGACGGATACTGAAAGAAGAAACGTCGTAGGTTAAATGCTGTTCCTGTTGCCTCCTAGCCTTCCCACATGAAGGTGTCACAGGCTCGAATCAAGAAGTGGCAGGACCTTCGCCCTACCGACAGCGCGCACATTCGTATCAACAATCACAAGCGGATTAAAGGGAGAAAGCCGACAAAAGAGGAGCGTCGAGCCATTCTATATCGCTAAGAGTGTTGCAAACCAGGGAGAGAAAATGGCAAAGCTGCTTCGACAGCCGAACCTATGGAACAATGTCAGAGATGTTGTATTGAACAGAAATATTAAAACTACTAGTATTCAAGGCACGCGCCTCTTTTACTTGAACCTCGGTCTTTACCAGATAAAACACCTTCACCGCTGAACACCCCCCCTTTGACTTTTGCAACGGCGCGCTCCCAGACTTGAACCTATTTCATCTTAACTGTGTTTTCTTTGTTGGACTGGTTGGCAGTGGAAAGAGGATGGCTATTTTGAGCAATCCATCCCTTTGTTGGCCTCTCTCGGTTCAAAAGGTAATGCGACCGCAGGGTCTATTCTGTGCGAATCATAGACGGAGATATATCAGGCATCTTGTCCTCTTATTTCCCCGCATCTATCAAGGCCTGCCGAAACAAAAGGCTTCGCGTTCTTAACAGTGCATGCATGCGTTCATGCCCATACAATCTGCGCCTTTTGGCAACTCTCCATTGCTCCCTACCTTGCAATGCACCTCATTTCACCAAAGCACACCTTTGACTTTATCAATCCTTCGCCTACCCATCCCCGACTTTCTCTCAGGACCATGCTACAATGCAAAACCTGACTTTTATCCCTGATCTCGGGTGGCATACGAAAGCCCAACAAGCCCAACAAGCCCAGCAGGCCCAGCTCGCGCTTTTTTTTTCTAAACTACTCCTCATCCTAGTCAGCACCACTATCACCGTCAGCCAGCAAGCACTGGAGTCATCCTCAAGCTCTCGACATCCAAGCACGATGCCAAAGTGAAGTGGGGATAATGGTAAGGTTGCTTCAGTGCTCTGGTATTTTATTCTACTAACATAGAACTATAAGCCCGCGCTCTTCGATCCACCTCTTCGGAGCACGATGTCATCTGTATTACTACATTTCGATTCAATTCAATTCAATTCAACTAAATGCCCTAATGGTTTGACTTTTCCTTTTCCTTTTACTCCCCCTTCTCTTCCCTCCTTTTATCCTCTTTCTTCTTTCTTTCCTTCCTTCCAACACTTTCCTTCATTCCCTCCCTCCCTCGTTGCAATCTTTCACCGACACCCACGTCTTCCTCTCTTCCTCGCCCTCTTTCTTTCTTCTCACATTCATACACCCTTAACCTTCGCAACCCTGCCTTTCCTCCTCCCCTTCGCCTTGACAGTGCCTGCAAGCATGAGTATGCCTACTAGCAGTAGTCATGCCACCACCCAGGCACCAGCAGCAACAGTCACCGCCACCACATCGACTCCAATTGCCACCAATGGACCAACGTCCACTGCTGCTACTGTACCCCATATTCGAATCGTCCCTCACCTGGACGCACCACGGTCCCTCCACTTCGAGGTTGTCGACAAGGACGTGCCCGAGGGCTTTGTCCTCAAAATCGGACGCTTCACAGATAAGCAGAACCTGCCCAACAGGGTCACTTTCAAGTCCAAGGTCGTCTCGCGTGGACATGCCGAGATCTTTACAGAGCATGGAAAAGTATGAATAACCGGTCTCTCTACTTTTTCTCTTTTGAAACATGGATGCGTTATTTTGTCTTATTTATTTATTTTTTGGCTTGAAAGACGCGCCGGTGGGGTTGTTTGATTTAGCAAATGCGTGTTGTTGATGCTGTTGGTGGGGAGCGGAAGAGGGGGGTTTTTTTTGCATATAGTAACCGTGTTCGGGACTCGCATATTTGTTTGCTAGTGTTGGCATCGGTTTTTGGTTGGTCTCTTGTCCCTTGTCCTTTGACTTTATTTGGTGTGGCGGTCCGGACTCGCTCCTGTCACCATGCACATGACCCACACAGCGGAGCAATACTTGCAAACAAACTTGCACAAGGGAAACACAAGGCACGACAAAACTGCGAATGGCGGGCAAAATGGCGTTTTTACATCCTCGCCCATCTATCGGTTTGGCTCAAAATGGTCAAGGTTGCAGGTCTTCCACGAAGACCGAGAAGGGGGATCGATGGACGGAGACATAACGACTAAAGGTCTGAGCGGCAAAAGGAGGTGGGAGGGAAGTAAGGAAGACAGCCTGGGCAAAGCGGGACAGGATCTCTATTCGCATCTCCCCTTCTACTTTTGTTTCCACAAATCTATCCCATGGGCTCGTATGGCTGTATTTGCTGCAGAGACTATGGCGGGACTATATGGTCTTGGATGACCAGAAACGTCTAAATTACACTTTAGTCCCAATATTACAAAGTGACGAGAAGGGGCGGGACTTATTTTATTGGTACATCTTCTTTCTCTCTCTTTTTCTCTCTCGAACAATTGTCTTGTCTACCACTTTGCTCAAAAAAGGGTATAGACTGAACATGAAAAAGATGGAGCCGCGCTCTAATGCTGAGGACAATGCTGGAGCAGACTGGCGTTATGCACTTTATGCCGCTGTTTGTGCTTTGTGTACCCAACAGGGCAATGGGTGGATGAATGACCAGGAGGGCAAAAGAAAACATAAAAAAACTCATCCTTCGCGGACACATTTTATTTTCCTGCATGATATATTGTACGACTAAAAAAAATGGCATCGAACTGTGCAAATAATTTACATGCCCTGCAATACCATCATGAGACAGTTCAGGTACATGTACTTGACCAAATCTACTCACGCGCTTCCTTGTACTCCCTATTGTCTCGCACGTAGTTCTTCATCCGCGATACGAAATCATCCTCAGGCACATTCTTGAACCATGCCCGACTTTCACCCCCCGGTATCGAGTCGAGACCCACGCTGCTCAAGGACGGCGATGTCATCCAACTCGGAGTTGATTATCAAGGAGGCACCCAGGGTAGGTCACACGAACTATGCCTGTTTCCCTTTAACTAAATACTGTGCTAGGAGAGTATCTTTAGCAGGGCAGGGACCATCCTTCAACACATTACACAAAAAAACATGCGCGTGTCTTCAAAGTTCGAAATTCAAAGGGAAAATGTCGCCTAGAAACCGACCAGGCGAGCTGAATTATCCATCGAATACGACATTTTGGCAGGAGTATCACCCGTAAAGGGACACGTATACCAGGGACAGCATCCATAAAGCAACCGACCAGACAAAGAAATCGACAGGCGTACAAAAATAGTTGGCTTACTTTGAATGGGGCCACAACAGCTTCAGGAAAGCAGCCCGCATCATAGTTCCGCAAAGTCTCGGCTGTAGACCTATCGCGCTGGCTGTTAGGCTATCGCCTTTTAAGACTTGCAGATCACTTTTTCGGGCCTGAAGGGTGCTCAGCATGTATTGGTATGTTGCGCAACTGAAATTTTAACCATTCTGCTGTAATCGACCCGATGGATGTGTAGAAATATACCGATGCGTCAAGATGAGACTGGAGCTCAACCGATCGTGGCAGCAGCAAGCCAATCCCTTTAGGTAAGAAGCGATGCTACCCCTCGTGCCTTGCAAGCATACCGATTCTCCATATTTTTTTGGCGGTCATGAGTTGTAAATGACATAACATGGCATTCAGAAGTTGTTATGGTCGCGTATGGCCTTCCCCCCTTTTTTTTTCTACACACCGCATTGTTTTTTTTCTCTATGCCATGTGTCATGAGTCAGTCGAGTAAACTAACTGTATCAAACTCTGGTCCTTGAACTTTGTAGGGAGAATACACTAAAGGCCATCCGGTCCTTGACGACTGCCAATGCTTCGTGCGCTACGGATTGCTGTATCTGTCTCTTCCGTATTGCATCCTTCCAAGCGCTCTTTGTCGCGCCATGTTCACATGTTTACCACTATAAATGTATCCGGCCGATGTTGGTCTCCAACCACCCAGGCTTTCTATGTCCGCTTTGTCGAACATTCGCTGATCTGGAGGATGTAGTCGAGATTGACGATCCAATTGAAGAAGAGATGCCTTTGCAGAGTAAGTCAGCCTACGCCTCATCTGAGCTCGACGGAGCAACTGTACCGTTAAATGAATTAACTCATCGTTGTTGGTTGTCCGTCTCACTTACTCTATAGGTCCTGTCGCTGCTATCGAAAGCAGACATAATTCGGTTGAGCAGATCAATGAGATCGAGCCGGCGGCGGTTGCGCAGCAGGTTGAGGCAGAACCAGTAATAGCAGCGATAGAAGATGTGTCTGAGCCAACACCTGCTCCAGAGCAAGCACACACGTTCCAACCACCAGAAAATCGACCGCCACCATTACCGCTGGATGGAACAGGAACAGGATCCGACGATGCTGCAGTCTTGGCTGCAACAGAAACCTCTGCACCTAGTTCACCATCGTCGTCCTCGCGACCAGTGTCAACAGCATCCTCATCAGGCCAGCAAGAGCAAAGTTCAGTGTCTGCGACGGTGTGCCCTATGAACATTGTCAACGCCGGATCATCGTCAACATCGGTCGATTCTGCTGTGCAACAGTCACCTTCGGCAGCGTTCCTGATGGCGCCCTCCCCACCAATGTTTGTTACAAGCTTTGGAGTGTCCCCAATCCCATTCGCGGCACCGGCGTCTCCTAGAGAGTCATCAACGTCATCGCCTTCATCAGCACAGGAACTGGAGGACCAACATCATCACTCGCATTCGCACGTACCATCGAGTCCGTCAAGCCATAGTCATATGAGCCACATGATCCAAAACTTTGTGAGGAATATCACGATCCCGCATAGGAACCGGAGCAGGACGAACTCGAGCTCGGCCGCATCCCCCGTGGTGGCGACCCACCACCAAGGAGCTTTGGTCGGTCATACTGGAGTAGCAGCCTTGAGCCAGAATTCAGGAGGAGGAGCGAGTACGGAGGTGTTCGGCAAGACTTTGGTGATGACACCACCGGCGCCGAATGTGCTGCTGACCAGCAACAACCGCGCAAGCTCAGGCCACTCGGGCATTTCAGAACTTGGAGTCGTTTCAGAATCGAATATGGAGCCTGGTTTGGTGGGCGGGGGTGTAGGCAGTAGTCAGCAGAGTAGCAGTCAGAGCTGCGATCGGGCTCATCGTGAGGGATCAGCTCCGCTGCATACTTCGCAAACGGTCGCGGCCGAGGCCTCTGTGTAAAAAGAGCAAAGTGCAACGCAGCACAGCACAGCTGAGGGACCGTATATATAATCATGAGCGCGACGCAATCGAGGACATTGCATACCAAAAAGATGAAAGCGCATTTGTAAGATACACATTGTAGGAGGGGGAAAAAAAGGAAAATTCAATAAAAACAAGTAAAATATCGATGATAATGCTCTATGTTCGTATGTACTTTATTACAAGTTAATGTGCATTTCTTTGCCGTGTGGATGACAGGCGGGGTATCGGGGAAGTGACTCTAGAAGTCGGTGTCGATGTCTTTACAGATGCTGAACCTGCAACGGTGGTGGTAGTATCATCTGTTCCTGGGGCAGCAGGGTTGCTGTTGAAGCTGAAGAGGGTCACGCATCCAATAACAACAATCGCGGAGATGAACTTCCATTCGTTGAAGCACTGGGCGGACGAGACTCCGCAGAACAAATAATGGCTCATGACAAAGACCAGGACGGCACGCAGGGACTGCATGATGCCGACCGCGATATTGTTAATCCTCGAGAGGAGCACGTAATAGTTGAGCGAATGCAGCATCGAGGAGATCGTTACAAGGGGATAGACGAGCGCGATGCCGAGCCAGCTGCCTTGATGCTCCTGAACAACCTCGATGACCTCTGTCTGCCAGTTCGGGATGGTGTGGATGCAGAGATAGACAAAAGTCAAAAGCGAGGCGTAACCTCCAACCATGGAGCAGACCTTCTCGGGGATGGGCTTCGGTCGGAAGGTCGAGAGGACTTTGTCGGAGAGGACGTAGACGCACGCGTAGAGAAATGTCGCACCCAATGTCACCAGCGCCCCGAAGGACTTCTCGAGCCCTAGAAAGAGAAAAGTAAACAGTGTGTCAGCAATTTATTTACATAGCCTTGCTCTTGGTAGTAATGACCATTGCGTATCCAATGAATAGACCAACGTGTCACAGGTACGCGCAGACACAGCCTTGCTAATTTCTACAACAAGGATCAAAATAGAGTGTCCTATGATTAAACTTACAGCTTTGAACAGGGCCGTCAGGCGATGCATCCTGGACGGTGCCGACGGCACTGATGGCCAGGCCAAAAGTGACACCAACGATCGACAACCATTGAATATTATTAAGTTCCCGGGCGAGGAAGATCCGTGTCAGGATCGCACACCAGATCACAATAGAGCTGTAGATCACTTGGTACATCTTCGTAGCGATGAATATAAAAGAAATGAACAAAGAGTGTTAACGAACCTTTTTCTGAGCACCATTCGCATAGACATAAATGCGCGCGTGAGCAAAATGGAATAAAATAAAAGCTTACTCCACTGCCAACATAGAAGAATCCGATAGTGACCAGAGCGTTCGCAATCACATCCATGACCGCGACTTGGATAACGGGCCAATGGAGTCCCAGTTTCGACTTTTTTTCCGCTGTCTTTGACGAGGAGTCTGAAACGTCCATCGAATGATCACCTGTATGGATCTTTCGGAGCCGCTGTTTCTCCATGTCAAGGTTATCGTAGTCGTCATCGTCATCTTCATCTTCGTTCTCATCCTCGTGGCAATGGCCAATGTTATTGCTTACAGAGTCATGGTTTGATTTACTGCCATTGTTATTGTTGTTGTTGTTGTTGTTGCTGTTGTTGTTGCTGGTGCTTCCGGTTTTGTTGACGAGGAGCCCGACATGACTTTTGATGCCCTGATCCTCAACATCACGCTATTTTCACGAGAGCAACATGCAAGGGATAGGGATAGGGATAACAAAAATCGATTAGATTGCGTTTTTTGATAAAGAACCCCAACTGATAAAATATCCTTGTGCCTCCCCTCTCCCAAAAAAAAAAAAAAAAAAAAAAAAAAAAAAACTTACAGGATGGGTCTCTGTCATCTCATGAAAGTCCGTGGTCAAGACATCGTACTCGACATGGGCGTTGCATCCCGCTGCTGTGGCCAATCGACGCTGTTTCCTGTCCGCCCACCATGACTGCAGCGCATAGACCAGCCCGACACTCATCATCCCGATATAGTTGAAGAATACGGTTAACATTGTTGTTCCGGCTATGAGGATACAATAGGACAAAAAAGAATATTCGAAATAGGTATAGAGTTACGAAAAAAAAAAAATGGGACTGTGGTTAGCAAACAAGTTTCTAAAGTCGTTTTGTCTAGACAATGCAGCCGGGAGTCTGAATACGCATAGTGTAGTCCGGTAGAGATCTGTATTGTAGAGGAAAGTTCGCATAAAAGATGGGCCTTACAAGCTGCTCCCTGATAGTAAAGCCATTGAACTGCAATGGTCGAAAAGATTCCAGTGGCTAGGAACGAGGCTTGATGGCCAATGGTGCTCCACTTTGAGTAGCCCCGTTCAGCAGATGACGACGACGACGATGAAGACGACGGATGCTGTTGGGCCGCTACCTGCTGTCGTTGCCGCTCATGCGAGTGCCGTTGTGAAGAAGGATCAGACTCGCCCATGAGGACGGGCGCTGTTAGTACAATGCTCAGCGGTTCAACGGCTGCAGCTGTGAGTGTTGCGACCGATATCTCGTCGTCCAATGATCCTTTTGGATGATGAGAGTAGTCTGGTAGAGAGCCATTGTCGTTGTTCTTGGGGCTGTTGCTCCTGTGCGGCAATAATGTCGAGTCGAGGGCCTTCATATGGTGACCATTGTCGTCCTCGTCCTCATAACCGTCGACGACGGCATTGTTGATCCGTGTGGGATGTTGCTGTCGGTGTTTCCGCTTGGCAACCGGGGTCGAGTAGGACGAGGTCGAGGACGAGAGGAAGGACCTCTGTTCCTCTTCCTGGTCAGAGGTCTCGCGGCTGCTGGTCGAGGGAGAGGATGGATTTGGGCCCCGGAGGGCACGTCGGGACATTTTTTATTCTGTGCGCCGTGGAAGGTGGGAGCAAGAGAGAGAAAGAGTAGAAAGTTGGCGGACTGGAGGAAAGGATGGGATGGAATGAATAGGATGAGAGACACCATCAGGGGAAGCAGCAAAGGGGCAGCCAGCCCTTAAGCACCTTTTGAATTGGTTCTTTGAGTGTTCCGCTGGGCGTTGAGCGTTGGACGTTGGGGGATAAAGTTCAACTGAAAAATAAGGTATCGAAACAAGAGCCCAGGATACCCTGGAGACCGCTGGTATAGATACCGGCGGTGACCTTCCTCTCCCAACGACTATATCTTTTGTGTGTACTGTAGCCTATGTAAATAGAAAGTCGATATACATGTGCATGTATACCTGAAAGTTAGGCCATGGTTACATCCAGGATCAAAAAAAAAAAAAGCTGCAGACTAGTCTGATTGCAATTGGCCAATGGGAAAGAGTTTCCCGTCTCACACCTTCGCCCCCGCCATTGTCTTCCCAACCGACAGGCCATCATCCCATCAACCTCCATCTCCTCCCTCTTTCAGTCCTTCCTTCATCCGCATCCCCCTCCTCCTTTTTTTCCATCCTCGGACCCTGCGATATACTCTACTTGGGACTGGATCTCTTGGTAGGTATCGTCTACTGAACTGGCTGGCACAGCAAAAAAAATCCCGATCAGATCAATGGAACCAACTTCCAACAATTCAATCATCTAGATCAGCAAGCTTTTCTAAACTCATGCGGGAACGAAAGGGAATCGCCACAGGGCTAGCTTGCCTCATCATTGTCTCGCTGGTGCTTCTCCAGCTTTATTCCAGAGAAGTCGCAGAGACCCCTATCCCCGGATTAACCACCAAACCCAATGTATTACCACCACTTAAACCACTCAATTACCGAGGCACAAACAAAGAAGACGACTACAAGAGTCCATTCAATATCGAAAACTTCTGTAACAACATGCCAGAACACCGTCGACACCCCAGAGGCATCCTGATTACAGACAAGCCCAAGGGTGTACCCCTCAAAATGTTCTTCTGGCGCCAGATGATGTTCGGCAGCGAGGTCGACTGGGCGATCGAATCCCGGACCCTGTGCCCCTTCCCGCCGGAGCTTCAGCCCTTCTTCGACCACTACCTCAAAGCACATATCAAGAACGACTCCATTCACTGGGAGACAGGGTACGCACCCTGCTGGTTCTGGACTAACTGGCTGGGTACGGCCGATGATATACACCGAGAGTGCTATACGGAGGCGAACGGGGTGGTGCCGTACATCGTCACCAACAACTATACGTCGTTCCGCGACTTCGACATTATCTACTTTGACTACCCCTTTTACGACAACATCCCAGAGGCGCCTTACTTTGACAGCGGCAGGATGCCACCGCGTGTTGCGCATCAGAAGTGGGTCATGCGATTCCATTCAGAGTCCATCGGATACTACCCAAGCGTAGCGTTGCCTCAATACATCCAACAATTCGACTTTACGTTTGGCAGTCCCGGCCAGTTGATGGATCTTCCCTTGCCACTGCAGTACATCAGTGAGAAAGGTGCGCTTGATATGGCGAATGTAGAGCCCAAGGTCCCATTCGACAAGAAACCCGACCATTATATGGCCTTCGTGGTCTCGAATTGCTGGCCGAAGAACAACCGCAACGAGCTCATGGATGATCTAGTCAAAAAATTCGGTGCCCATTCGTACGGCAATTGCATGAACAACAAGAAAATCCCCAAGGAGATGACGGACGGCATGGACTGGGAAAACGCCAAGACGCAAACGATCGCCGCCTACCCTTTCGCACTCGCGGCTGAGAACTCGAACTGCCTGGGCTATGTGACGGAGAAGATCTATAATGTCTACGCCGCGGGTGCGATTCCTCTCTACTTGGGAGCGCCTGATATTACGGATTATGTACCGGAGGGCAGTTATATTGATGCGAGCGACTTTAGGGACACGGACGAGATCATCAGCTACATGAAGACGGTAGATCGATCACAGTTCTACAAATGGAAGGATGAGGTCAAGAAGGACGTGAAAAAATTCTGTAAAAAATGCTTCGCTCCAGCGTCGACGGATGAGTGTATCATCATGGAGAACATACGCTACGTTTGAAGTAGAGGAACGGCCAACTTGAGAACATCAACCACACAGCATCACCTAGAATCATTCCTCTTATATATTTATAATAATATTGAATCATAAATCCTTGATTTGAAGGTTTGAACGGGACGTACATTGTTTGAGCAGAAGCTGCTTAACTTGTTCGTACAAGGTCCGTGCCCCCAAGGGGACCTGATGTCCATCTGAGCTGCCCTTCGCTCGCAAGGACGGTGTTTTCAGAAATCCTATTCAGAGCTTTTTTTCAATCCTCTCAATAGAGTTTACTTGTAGGTGTGAAAACCTCATTCTACTCTTGTCTGATATGCTATCTTCAATGGTTGTGACAACACGCGGTGGGGAATGACCAGAGAGCACGAGCATTTCGAATCTATCACTCCCGTTCTGGTTGCTTGTTATCGATGGACCACTTGCTGCTGTCGTGACCATTGGTCATACACGAGGTCCTACTTTATTTTGACACCCCATGTCTCCGGCTGCCAATGGTTGGGTGCTGTTGAAGCAAGGATGCTGAGCGGGACCCAAGCATTGGGATCGATAGTAGTACGCAAGCCCATGTATGTTCTTGCATGGAGAATAAAGGAGTTTATCATGCGACTGGCATCACAAGTGAGGTGATATGGATAGTCCGGAAGGAGATTGACGTTGACCCTTGGAGTAGCACTGATGATCTCCCACTGAAAGGTTTGCTCATCACTGCTATTGGTTTCAAGTAGGACGAACCAGTCTGTATAGCTCATAGAAGACCAGGACACATCCTAAGCTCCGTAGTATACACATGCAGCAGCATATATTCGCTCTCTATTTGTGGCCACGCAGAACGGCTGCAGAACACTAATCGTCATTTCACTGTCCAATTCCGACATGCCGCGTCGAGACGGGTGATGATGATATGTTGAATGAGGCGAATCGAAATTGACTACGGCCGTAAAGTGAGATGAGTGCAGGCTGGCGATAGAGCTACGGTCGATATGTGGTGTAACATGCACAGTAATGGTTTGCAGCTTTGAGCATTCAATATTTATTGTTAACAGCGCTTCATTGAGTATAGTGCTGGGAATGTTGGTGTTTTTAATGCGCTGTAATATGATCCGCGCGGGATTGCTCCTCTATCAAGCTGGCGGTTCGTGTTCTCGCTTCTCGGACTCTTGTGCTTCCTGTGGGTGTCGTTACTGGCTCGCCCTGGCTGTCGTTCGCTGCTCGAAAGTAGTTCTGCATCTGCTGCGCTCTGGATGATATTGACTGTTGCTGGCTCTTCTTCTGCTGCTGATACACGATCGTTGTGATGCTGCTGCTGCTGCTAATGCCAGACGACGCTGACTTGGTTAAGAGACTTGATTCCGACTTGCATTCCACAGCCTTGTCTTCAGAGGCCAATATCGCATCGACAGCCTTGGCCGGTTTCCTTCTCCGGAGCCGGATTTGCTGGTTGACCCAGTCAATAAAGAACTTGAAGTTCATGACCGACTTGAAGATAAGGAAAGCCTTGTCCGCTGTATGCATATCAGCTCGGTTCATGACCAGCTCGTGTGTGAGTGCAAAATCCCATAGAACCCTGAAGAGTACAAAGGTCCCTCCAAAGAGGATGTCGTTCCTCAAAGATTTGTAAATGAAGCCCAGGCCCATGATGAGTGTAGGAACTTTGAGTTCATCATGCAGGACAAATGAAGAAAGACGAGAAGGGGTTAGGAATGTAAAAAAAAGGAGTCCGCAGTGCTGATAGAAACTACTATGGCTTCCAGTCGTCCCTCCCAAAACAAAACAAAAAAAAAATGAGAGGCTGGAAAAACACCGACCGCTACTTACTTTCAAGGATCATAAACGAGGCAAAGATGTGGGACTTGCCGGAAACGACAGTGTAGTAGCAAATGCCCGTGTACACGGTATGATGGAACCATCCAGCCAAGAAGGTGACCCTCTCGCGGTAATGAAGCAGACCACATACCATATCCAAGATCAGGTAACAGGCAAAGAAGGTGACGGCCACTTGTGACATCCAACTGTCCGATGGTGTAAAGCACAGATCGAAAAACCACCTTGAGTGACGGAGGGCCGTCCATGATGTCGAGTAAGAAGCGTCGTGTGCCTTGTAAAGTGCGATGATCTTCTCAGCATCCATGGGCAATTGTTCCGCTTTTTTTTGGTCGTGCAATGGCCACTGCTTCGTTGAGAGAGTAGGATCCAAAGCAACCACGATGGTACCCTGCGGATTCAATTTGGGATCTGGTGTGGGCTGGAATGTGATATCGTGTCGATAGAATTGCCCACTGCTAGTAGTGTTATAGTGACCACTGACAAGGCTGTAACTCTCGTATGGAACTGGCTCAGAAAAGACTGTCCGTAAGCTGCTGAAAGTCGCGTACGGCCCTAGCACAGACACAACTGCTGCGGTCATCAGGGTCAGGACCCAAGAGAGACGCTTGCGGTTCTTTCCGATAAAAGGCACAAAGGCCTTGATGAGATAAAAGTAGGTGAGATGGACTCCGAAGCTAGTGAGAACCATATACAGATGCTCTGTGGTGAGAATAACTGGCGCCATGGTTTGGTTGTATGTGTCTGCTTGATGAGTTCTTGTCCCGCACCGTTGCTGTTTCGTAGACAATGCCAATATGATCACGGCAAGGTCGAGGAGTATGTGAAAAGAACAAAAAGATGGATGTGAAGAAGCGATATTGAGTTCGGTTCTGTGCTCCTTTTATATAGTTTTCTTCGCTCAGAAAAAGGGGCCGGCGTACCGTACGTACTCTAGAGAGAAGCAAATCCGAATCGACGAAAAGCACAACAAACGATTTGATCCCTTTCAGGAACGCGCCTGAAATGGCTGCTTCTCATTCGTACGGACGATGGAGAGGTATCAACAAAAGAAGTCTCCAGTGTAAACAATAAAACGAGCACAGGCATCCATTTGTAGAGTACTAACCCTGCTGGACACACGGATCCCTGCCAGGGGGTCTTCCTCTCCCAACATCCTTCGCGATACACGAACACGCATGGAACATGTCCTGCTGCACAAGGACGGGATGATTAGCACAGACATTTTAAGATGTACGATGGATAGCCAGCCAGCCATGAGTAAACGTGGACAGATAATGTTATTCAAGCGAACTGTGGTCCTAGACCGCGCGGAATTCTCAGCAACAACCTCTCTGCGGTTTCTCCTGTGAAGATTAGCCAAAATACAATAATACTTTAGGACTAAAGGGATCCAACTGTGCAGACCCTTAGTAACGCTCTTCTCGATATGATGCTGTGGAAGGGCAGAGCTTTAGGACGATACCTCGTCATTATAAGGGAAGATATAATTTTGCACGCGTTAACCCTCAATAAGACACTGAAAATCTAGGCAGCTATCATAACCCTGATATGCACCTCACAAACTCATATGCACGTAACCCAGCAGCACTACTCTTTTCCTCATAAACGAAACAGACCACACCATCATGGATAAACAGACTCTGGCAACCATGTAAGTAGCTCTCAAGGCCGCATTGACCAATTCACAGCAGCAACCTATCCTACGCTCTTTTCCTCACTGAACACACGGACGTATTCTTCATGGCAGCAATCAGCGAGAATGCAGCAGGGATCGTTAAGAGTTCGTGCGCACACAGCAACTTTGGTGTGCATCTTCACATTCACTGTGGTAATGGGTACATTAGATTCTCCAGCTAACGTATCGCAGTCAACGTAGCAAAGATCGTGAACACAGTAGTTCCGAAGGGAATTCAACAAGTCCGCGCCAACGTTCATCACTTGAAGTAGATCAGTGTCGCTTGAGTGTTCCTGCGATGCAACCAACCCATTGGGCGCGTAGGTTGGGTCTGAGACCGGCTTCCATTGAGGCGGACCAAACTTTCGACTGAAGACGGTCGTCCAATGGAACGTTATTTTTGGTGGCCAATCTTCTTCGCCAACCTTATTTAAAGTGGCTTGCAAAGTTTCCAATTTATGAATATGAATAAATGGTGGTTGGTCCCTGACCTTTTCTTCACACTTAATCCTTTCCCTCGCCCCCCAATATCATCAGCCATGTCCTCCCCTATCGAAGTCGTCAACATGTCCCCCGAGGACTACCGCAAGCGCAAGGTCGCCCTCATCACTGGTATGGATCTTTTTCAGCGTCCTCTCCTTCGAGGCGCCAGGCGAACACTGGTGTGGGAAAGGATGGCGGTCCGTGGTCTTCGGAACCTCGAGTCTGTTCATCTGATCAGCCCTCATCATCTTTCATCATCATCTTTTCATCATCAATCAGATGAGACACTGACTCATTGCTTCTCCAAATAGGTATTACTGGCCAGGATGGTTCATACCTTGCCGAGCTTTTGATCGAGAAGGGTTACCAGGTCCATGGTATCATCCGCCGCTCGTCGTCCTTCAATACCGGACGCATTGAGCACCTCTACAAGGATGCCCATGAGAGTAAGCTACGCAAGCCATTGAGCGTCTGCTCTGTCATGTTCTGGCCACCAATAGAATCTTCATCCTTGTTCAATTGTTCGATTGCATCTGACACGCCTCTAACACGTCTCTTGCTCGTGTGTATAGACCCCAAGATGCGTCTTCACCACGGTGATTTGACCGACTCGACCTGCCTGGTCCACATCATCTCCAAGGTCCTTCCCACAGAGATCTACAACTTGGGTGCTCAGTCCCACGTCAAGGTCTCCTTCGATATGTCCGAGTATACCGCTGATGTCGATGCCGTCGGAACCCTCCGTCTGCTCGATGCCATCCGCACTTGCGGTTTGGCCCACCTTGTCCGCTTCTACCAGGTAAGACTCGTCCGCTGCTCGCTGCATAACACAGCAAAGGGTGGTCCCAGGGTTCATATTCGATATCTAACCTATCCTTTCGTCGTAATAGGCCTCAACGTCCGAGCTTTACGGTCAGGTCCAGGAGATCCCTCAGAGCGAGACCACTCCCTTCTACCCTCGCTCGCCCTATGGTGTTGCCAAGATGTACGCCTACTGGATCACGATCAACTACCGCGAGGCCTACAACATGTACGCTTGCAACGGAATCCTCTTCAACCACGAGTCCCCCCGCCGTGGTCGCACCTTCGTCACCCGCAAGATCACCTGCGCCGTCGCTGCGATCCATTTGAAGAAGCAAGAGTGCCTCTACCTCGGAAACTTGGATTCCAAGCGTGATTGGGGTCACGCCCGCGACTATGTCGAGGGCATGTGGAGAATGCTTCAGCAGGAGACTGCCGAGGACTTTGTCTTGGCCACCGGTGAAATGCACACTGTCCGTGAGTTCGTTGAGAAGTCATTCAAGGCCATTAACAAGACCATCCGTTGGGAGGGCTCTGCTGAGGAGGAGGTCGGTATCGATGAGGAAGGCAAGATCCGCGTTCGTGTCGATCCCGCTTACTACCGCCCCACCGAGGTCGAGTTGCTTTTGGGTAACCCCAAGAAGGCCAACGAGAAGCTGGGCTGGAAGCGCCAGGTCGAGTTCGACGCCCTTGTCGAGGAGATGGTCAAGGCTGATTTGGTCGGTGTTGCTGCCGGCGATGTCTTCAACTAAACACTTATAGACTTAGAGAGTTGTTGTGTATTTATAAATCTGTCTAAACATTTTTAATGTCATCCCAGGCTGTGAAGCGCTGCTATTCATCTTTTGATTTCTAGTGAATGACGCGCAACGGTTTGAATGCACTGGTATTGACTATCCAAAATACTCAACCAATCAAACGAAGGCCAGCCCAGTATCTAGTACCTAGCTCTGTTGAGGTCAAACTTCAGTCAGTACGCGTCCGAGAACACTTTGAATGCAACTCAAAAGTTCAAAGCCAGAGCACTAACGATGAAGACTCCCTCCCTTGACTGAATGGACGAATAGAGTGCGCTATCTTTATGTCCAAAGACATGAGCGAGTCCAATAACACCGCGGATGATCGAGGGAGAATTAAGCGTGACCCTCGGGAGTGCAGAGCTACAGGGTGAATTGCAACGTTGATGGTTGCATGCACCGGTGGCCAAAGCTAGCTAGGTCACACACACGTTACTCAAGAAGGAATCTCCCTGTAGCAACCAACCTCGAGATCAGCTCGAAAAATGAGGGCTTGAACGCTGACGTTTTAACTGAGTGTCTTGTATGTTGCATTTGACGCTGGCGTAACCGGGGAGCAGATAGGTCGATGATGGTTCCGTTATAACGCTGCTGGAAGGTGTCCGGTTGGCGACAGCTGTGACGATCTCGATGGGCAGCAAAAAAAAAAAAAAAAAAAAAAAAAAAGACGCAGGATAGGACTAAGGTCAGAATGGGCGCCCACCAGGGCATATCATCCAAGATGGCGCACATAGCAAGATCTACCGGGGCGACTGAGTCAATACCATCATCTGGGAACTTTGGAATAGACTTGCATGAAGCTGATGTTCAGATTTAAAAGCTGTCGGATCTTAAGAGTCCAAGACAAAATGCTACTGTAATACTCGTAATTGAGAGAGCGAAGAAAACGTCCATCTGCAGAGATCCTGACGCCCCGTACTCAGACTCATCAAAGCAGCCAATGGAGTTCAGGGCAATGGGAGCAGACAATCTCAATTTCGATCTCTGGTCTTTGTCCTCTTATTGGTGAGCGACATTGGGAGGGAGGGGGGGGGGGGGGGGGAGATGACCGATGAAGGGAGGCGATAACAAGCGTCGACAGACCAACAAAGCGACAAACTGGTTTGTCTGAGTGGTCAACCCTAGAAACACGTCGGCAATGAAGGGCTTCTCAATATTGTACCAAATCCTTTTTTTTATTTTATTGTATTTTATTTTTTTGAAAGAGAACGAGGCGGTCGTGGTGTGATCGATATCAATATCAAGAACATTTTGGCAATGATAGAAGAGCTGATTGTTGGAGGCGATGACACTGCCCCAGAATAAACCTAAGAACCGCATGCGGAAGGCGTTGTACGACACGGAGGGATTATCATGATCTAGTTGAGGCAGGAGGCCGATGGTTTGATGCAGGGCATATGCTTCTTGCCATTTGAAAGAAGCAGGGGAAATCTGATGTCGCGGAAAGAAGGCAGTAGCTCGAGTTAAGGAAGAACGAAAGGCTGCAGCAATGTCACAGAGTGAGAACTGAAGCTGCGTTCTCGTGAAGGTAGTGTATGTATGGTGGTGATAACACCAGTAGAGGTCAGCGCCTCTCCCTCCCCCTTATCGGTAAGAGGACAAGGGTGTACTAAAAGAGCTATTATACATAGGATACATAGTATACGTCGCATATATGGGACTTTGGGCGTAAAGAGAGGGACTTTTAATTTGGTCCTTGCCCCGCCTCATTTATCCTAGGACAGCAGCTCGGAAACTTTCTCTGACGCGTTCCTAGTTAATCTACCGTAAGCTCTGACACCCGTAAACATAAACATTGTCTCCAACAGCAACAATAGCCGTTCTAGTCTATCTGAGCACATCGGAACCCACAATAATGTTGTGGCACCATGCGTTCCCAGCGGAGCTCGTTCAAACGCGCTCAGACAAGATGACTGACGGACTCTAAAAAGCTCACTTGTTTATTCCCCGAAGCTGCAACAGCTGACTTTAACCCCCTGTCTTTGTCCCTGCCCTCTACAGAAACAAAACTGCCCCACAAACAAAAAAGAAAAAAATGGAACTCAATACATTTGGATAAATGCGCAAAAACGGTTGTGATGAATATATTACAGATTTTAATGATGATAATAGTAATAATGCTGGGTTGTTTTTTACATGGCTGACATGCATCTATCGTTACTTGGCTGGATGTCATGATACATTAGACAACATTACTACAGCTGCTCGCCGTTGAAGTTGGATAAACCGTGGTAGCAGTGGTCCAGGGCACCGGCGTTGAGGTCCGGGTTGTAGGGGTCGGGATTGCCCCACCAGTAAGGCATCTCCCCACCCCAGCTCTGGAAGGCGAAAAAGATGACCAGGCCACTGATAGCAAGACCAGTATCGAGTGCAGCCGAGGTCAGGTAGTTGTAACGAGACCACCAATTGTACTGGTAGCGTCTCAACAGGAAGGAAAAGATGAAGCCAACAAAAAGGCCGTTCGAGTACATGTAGGGCAGGCCTGGAGGCATGTTGGCTGTGGCAGCGAAGAGCACGGGCCAGTGCACGAACTTGAGCCAAGTGACCTGGCGGAACTGCTTCGACAGGAGCCAGAAGATCAAAGGAAGGACGGCTCCGACGACGAAACCCCACTGAACGGGAGCGTAGAGCGCGCCATCCTGGCTACCAAACATGCGAGCGGGTCCAATGGCCCCCCAGATGACGGAGGCAGAGTAGAACGTCCTCGTGGTACGGCAGGTGAAGGGATATCCCTCTGGAGTGCAGACGTTAGGGCGGGTGTTGATCAGCCATGTGGCAGTGGCGAGGTTGATGACGCAAGAGATGACAGACGAGATGAGCTGGGCCGCGAACATGATGCGAGGGGGGATCTTCATGTAGTGGCCTAGCTTGAGATCACCGACAAAGAAAAGGGCCTGAGCATTGAGGATGTAGCCGTAGGTCTTGAAGGTGACATTGGCGATGGCATGACCAGGAAGCAGGTAGCCGATAACGTACTCCGTGACAATGTTGAGGCCAGGCTGCTGGTTCGTCACAGCCTGGACGATACCGACGGGAAGAACAAAGATGAGGGCGAGACACAAGGCGAGGAAGACCGCCCACCATGGCATGTACCCCCAGACGACACATGTCACGAAGCTGAGACCCACGGTGACCACAAACAAGAGTCCATACCACCAGTCAGGGACCTCGGGGTAGGCACGCATCAGACGGCAGTGAATGTCCTCATTCTCAGCTCGTGCAGACCTCCAGCGCTCGACGATCTCCTGGCCGTTATACAGCATGACATGGACAATGGTGGCAGCGAGACCAGCAAATCCAACTCCATAGGCCAGGGCAAAGAACGAGTCCATGCGAAGGGGTCCATACGCCTTATAGGCTTCCTCATCAAAGAAGCCATTCGCGTCCATAATCGCGCTCTGGTCATAGTATGTACCGTTCTCCAGGTACAGGTAGGGAACGACAATGGGAAAGTTCTTAGAGTGCCAGAGGTTGGAGTAGTAGGCCCATGGGACCATAATATAGGTGACCAAGACAAACCCAACGAGGATGTTGACCTGTGCGAACCAGGGGGTGGTCATGGGCTGCACATAGGCTGAGATCGCGGACCAGTCGAGGGCGATGGTACCGATGCCCAGACCGTTGGAACCCGTCAACTGTGCGAGAATAACGTTGTCAGGGTTGATCCAGCAAATCCAAGAGATCACTCCGATGGTTGGGAAGATAAAGCCAGGGAACCAGTAGTAGATAAAGGAGCCGATGCAGACGATCATGAAGTATTTCATCCTCGACATGCGGCCATTGTCCTCTCGGATGTGTGCGGGGTGGAGGGAGCGGAAAAGCGAGGCTGTCACCAAGTTTGAGGGCCAAACCATATGGGCGGGGCGGACCAAGAAGCGACGGAGCCCTCCAGCAACGGCAAATCCGGTGATCTGGGTGGTCAAAACCAGAAACATACCGGCGATGAAGGGCTTTTCATCTTGATACCAGAGCTTTTGGAGGATAACAATGTCGACAGCGTAAGGCGTACCGCTGTTGCAGGCGACCATAGTGCCGATGAGAACGTGCTCCTTGATGGAAAAGGGACCGGGGTTGAGCGAGAACCTCCAGCCAAAGATGTTGAACTGACGGGAAGGAAGGACGCGCGCCATAAAGTGGCCCATGGGAAGGGAAAGCAAGGCGACAACAGGGTAACTGATGGAGACGGTGGTCTGGCGGAGATAGAAGAACTGATTGACGAAGGAAATGACACAGGTCCAGAAAAGACCCAGGGACCACATGCGGAAGGTGTTACATGGGACGTTGGAGTCATCCGTGTCTGTGATTAAGAGGCACGGGCGATTATAGTAACGAAGGACGCGTGTTAGTTTGAGAATGGCGCTACAGGGCCGTCTAGGCAATGGGGATGAGGGCAGAGGTGGGTCCTATATGACTTACTGGAGATAGTAATGCGGACTTCCTCAATGGGGGAGTCATCTTCGTCGTCTAGGAAATCCTGAGCCTCAGGATCAAGCCCGTACTTCTTGGGCTCATAGTCGTACTTCTCGGGCTCATAGTCGTACTTCTCGGGCTCATAGTCCTGCTTCTCGGGCTCGCAGTCGTACTTTTCGTTGGAGTATTCGAGTTCGTATTTCTCCATGGCAATAGGATGGGACGCGACTGGATAGGCAGAGTTAGGTAGAGATATAAAAGGATAGAGGGGGAAGAGATATTCAAGTGTTCGTTTTTTTTTTGACGAGTGTGACAGGAGAGTGAGAGGGCGTGCGGATATAACAAGCAAAGAGGGAGGGGCAGGTGAGTCAAAGAAGTGGGTAGACAGGAGTTCACGACGAATAAAAAAAAAAAGAAGAAAGAGCCGGAGACACGCGTGTATTTATGCAAACAGGGGAGCGTAAAATATCTCCCTCGGCGAATTAAGTGCACGCGAAGGAGATGGTGGAGCCCTCTGTAGGGCTGCATGCAATAAGCTGACGGGA